AACCACTGTCATAAATACGAGTCGGTTGCCAAGCGTCTGAATTTCGATCACGTGACCGTGGAGACATTGCAACGGTCGTAAGTGTAAAAATCGGTCCTCGGTCCTCTTTTTTCCCCCAGTGCTATTGTAACTTCAAACGGTCACTAAACAAAACCGTTGTAAGTTGAGGACGGCCTGGATATTCAGCGGCATAAAAATTCAGAGCATGTAAAAAAGAGCATCAGTTTTGTTTTTTTCCCCCCACGGGTTTCTTCCTTGTCTTTTAAGCTTTTGTGACGTGCCGGGTTGCTAAATGAAGGCCTAACACAATGGTTCTCAACCTTTTTAATGCCGCGACCCCCAACCGGTCATAAGTCGAGGACTACTCAACCGGTCATAAGTCGAGGACTACTCAACTGGTGCAGCACCGTTTGCAGAATGGGACTTTTGGCGGGCTCAGCAGGGCAGAGACAGCCTGGACAATTCCTACTGGCTTTTGAAAACCAATCGAATTAGACTCTATTCAAGAGAGTCTATTCTATTGGCTTTCAAAAGCCAATAGAATAAAAGGGAGGAGCACAGCTAAGGAAAAGGGGGAAAAAATGGGCGACTGCGTTGTTTCCCGACCCCCGTGAAATGGTCGTTCGACCCCAAATGGGGTCCCGACCCACAGGTTGAGAACCACTGGCCTAACGTGTTATTTCTTTTCTTTTTTATTTTTTTTTCTCTCCTCGGGCCAATTCTCCACTCTCAACTTTCTCCAAAGGGGAAAGGGCAGCAGGTTGACGTAAGTGTGAGCTCACCTCTCTGCTTTTTTGCTGCCTGAAACTGAACCGGTTGCATTTCTGCCTAAAGCAGGCTCGGACACTTTTAAGACTGGTAGACTTCGATTCCCAGAAGACCCCTGGTCCGGATCCAAGCCCGCGGTTTCATCAAAATGGCCGACTGAGGAATTCTGGGAGTTGAAGTCCACAAGTCATCAAAGGGCCAAGTTGGAAGACCCCTGGTCTGGATCCAAGCCCACCATCAAAATGGCTGACTGAGGAATTCTGGGAGTTGAAGTCCACAAGTCCTAAAAGGGCCAAGTTTGAAGACCCCTGGTCTGGATCCAAGCCTGCAGTTTCATCAAAATGGCCGACTGAGGGATGCTGGGAGTTGGTCCACAAGTTCTAAAAGGGCCAAGTTGGAAGACCCCTGGTCTGGATCCAAGCCCACCATCAAAATGGCTGACTGAGGAATTCTGGGAGTTGAAGTCCACAAGTCATCAAAGGGCCAAGTTTGAAGACCCCTGGTCTGGATCCAAGCCTGCAGTTTCATCAAAATGGCCGACTGAGGAATTCTGGGAGTTGAAGTCCACAAGTCGTCAAAGGGCCAAGTTGGAAGACCCCTGGTTTAGATCCAAGCCTGCAGTTTCATCAAAATGGCCGACTGAGGAATTCTGGGAGTTGAAGTCCACAAGTCCTAAAAGGGCCAAGTTTGAAGACCCCTGGTCTGGATCCAAGCCCAGTTTCATCAAAATGGCCGACTGAGGAATTCTGGGAGTTGAAGTCCACAAGTTATCAAAGGGCCAAGGTGGAAGACCCCTGATCTAGCTAGAAAATCCAGCCTCTAACCTTTGTCCTCGCTGCCCCTGTTACCTGAGAGGTGAAAAGAGCCACACCTGGAGAACAAGTTTTTAGTTTTTTTTACCTTGCTTGCCCTAACCTGCAACTCCTAAATAATAGGGAAGGAAGAGAACAGCAGAGGTTGTGTCTTTTCCATTTTTCTTCTACTGTAAGTCTCGTAACTCCCTTCTCAACAATGTTTCAGCAATGTTTTTCAACCTGAGCAACTTTTAAGATGGGTAGATTTGTGTTGGTTGGGGAATTCTGGGAGTTTCGGGGCCCTTATAACCCGTCTTCAAGGGCCAGCATGGGAATTCTGGGAGTTGAAGTCCATCCATCTTAAAGAGCCAGCTTGAGAATTCTGGGAGTTGAAGTCCACCAGTCTTCAAGCACCAGCATGAGAATTCTGGGAGTTGAAGTCCACCCTTCTTAAAGGACCAGCATTGGAATTCTGGGAGTTGAAGTCCACCACTCTTAAAGGACCAACATATGGAATTCTGGGAGTTGAAGTTCACCCTTCTTAAAGGACCAGTATTGGAATTCTGGGAGTTGACATCCATCCATCTTAAAGGACCAGCATTGGAATTCTGGGAGTTGAAGTCCACCAGTCTTCAAGCACCAGCATGAGAATTATGGGAGTTGAAGTCCACCCTTCTTAAAGGACCAGCATTGGAATTCTGGGAGTTGAAGTCCACCGGTCTTAAAGCACCAGCATTGGAATTCTGGGAGTTGACGTCCACCCTTCTTAAAGGACCAGTATTGGAATTCTGGGAGTTGACATCCATCCATCTTAAAGGACCAGCATTGGAATTCTGGGAGTTGAAGTCCACCGGTCTTAAAGGACCAGCATTGGAATTCTGGGAGTTGAAGTCCACCGGTCTTAAAGTACTAGCATTGGAATTCTGGGAGTTGAAGTCCACCCGTCTTAAAGGACCAACATTGGAATTCTGGGAGTTGAAGTCCACCGGTCTTAAAGGGCCAGCATTGGAATTCTGGGAGTTGAAGTCCACCGGTCTTCAAGTGCCAGCATGAGAATTCTGGGAGTTGACGTCCATCCATCTTAAAGGACCAGCATTGGAATTCTGGGAGTTGAAGTCCACCCGTCTTAAAGGGCCAGCATTGGAATTCTGGGAGCTGAAGTCCACCCGTCTTAAAGTTGCCGAAACACTATCCTAAAGCCAAGAAATTCACTTGATTTTCTTATTCTTTTTTCTTCCTCCTATTGCAATCTTTACAGATACTCCGCGACTTACAACAGCTTGTTTAGCGACCATTCAAAGTTACAGCCGCACCGAAAAATGTGACTTGTGACCGTTTTCCATAGTTACGACCCTTGCAGCATCCCGAGGATGACGGGATCAGAATTCAGACGCTTGGCAACCGACTCACATTTACGACGGTCGCAGCGTCCCCCTGGGTCCCGTGATCCCTTTTAGGACCTTCTGACAGACAAAGTCAGTGTGGAATCCAGATTCACTTAACAACTGTGCTCCTCAGTTAACAACTGCAGTGATCCCCTTAAGCACCAGGGCCAGAAAGATGGTAATATGAAGTAAAACTCACTTAAGAGCCACAGAAACTTTGGACTCAATTGTAGTTGTAAGTCAAGGACGATCTCTACTTACGACTGACCCACCATCAGCCAGAAAGCAACACCTTTGATAAGGGACTGTCCCCCCCCCCCAGAATAAGGAACATAAATGTTGCTCCTGGTTGCAAGGGAAAATGGCTGCCTGAGCCACGAAACCACGGTCTGTCCTGACGATCAAGCTGCGGTTAAGGGCACCGTAACCAAGCTAGGTTGGGCCGGGCTCTTGTAAATCCCTTGCATTCATTTTAGATTTATTTAAGGGAGGAAACAAGCGGTGGAATCTGAAGAATTCACATTATCTCTTGAAACATGAATGTTTGGCAGGGGAGAGGGCTGCCTGTTCCCACCATCCAGAAACACGTTGTTTTCACACACCTTATCTAACCTCTCCTAGCAAACAGAGGCTTAACGCCAAGCCAGTCCTCTAAGCTCTGCTTGATTAAAAAAAAAAAAAAAAGTCTGTTTGGGGGACAGTGGGAGCCACCCACCTCAACCAACAAAGGTGGATTTGTTGAAGTTTGGGTGGGAGAGTTTGGCTTCAGACAACCCATGAAAACCCGGGTTATCAAAACAGGCCTCTTGTATTTCCAAGAATGGATGACGCCCAAACAGATCAGTCCTCTTTGCAGGATTTATTGACAGGTAGTTCTCGACTTCATTCGAGGTTACAACGGCATTGAAAAAAGGGATTTACGACCGTTTTTCACACCCTGATGACCCTCGCAGCATCCCCGGGAATCAAAATTCAGACGTTGGGCAACTGACTCAGATTTATGACGGTTGCCGTGTCCCCGGGGTCAGGTGACCTCCTGGCAAGTGAAGTCAACGAGAAACTTAAGGTTGATTTAACAACCGTGTGACTAAGTTAACGATGCAGCGATCCACTGCAAGAAAGGTCGTAAAACTCACAACAAATGTTTCACAACAACAGAAACGTTGGGCTCAATTGCGGTCGTAAGTCGAGGACTACCTGTAATTGGGGGTAACCTGTGACCCCTTTTCACCCTTGTCTTCTTAGGACTACAACTTCGTTGCTTGTACCTTACGATTGATATTGTTTTATTTAGTTATCCCGGTATGATTTAATGTTGTTTGCTTATCTAGTATCCTATGACTATCACTAAGCGTCATATCTTATGATTTATGAATGCATTTTTATGTTGATTATGATCATTAATTAATCACTCGTTGCTTGTATTTACACTGAGAACTTCTGCACGGGAGACAAATTCCTTGTGTGTCCAATCACACTTGGCAAATAAATAGGCAGATGTTGTTGCTTCGTGGGGTTTCAGCCCTTCCAGATCAAGCTGCCTTTGGCAATTGACCGACGGGGATTTTGTCAATGCCGCCGGCGTTCAAGGGATGCTCCCGTTGCTTCGGGATTGCACGCGAGGCGTGTATCGCTATCGCTACTACCTATCGTTAATTCTATAAATAATGCAGATGTTGTTGCTTCGTGGGGTTTCAGCCCTTCCAGATCAAGCTGCCTTTGGCAATTGACCGACGGGGATTTTATCAATGCCGCCGACATTCAAGGGATGCTCCCGTTGCTTCGGGATTGCATGCGAGGCGTGTATCGCTATTGCTGCTACCTATCGTTAATTCTATCAATAACGCAGATGTTGTTGCTTCGTGGGGTTTCAGCCCTTCCAGATCAAGCTGCCTTTGGCAATTGACCGACGGGGATTTTGTCAATGCCGCCGGTGTTCAAGGGATGCTCCCGTTGCTTCGGGATTGCGCGCGAGGCGTCTATTGCTATCGCTACTACCTATCGTTAATTCTATCAATAATAAAATTACATTTATTCATTTTCCCTCTGGCAGGCCCCAATCCGCAATCCTCGAAGGGGACCCACATTTTGGTGCCCGTCAGCAGCTCTCTGCCCGGCATGGGCTGGTCGGCGGAAATGACCAGCTCAGACGACAACAGCATGTGTCTCCGCGTCTGCCCCTCGCCCAGGGCGGTGGTGGGCAAGTACCAGTTCAGCGTGAAGACCCGGAGCAGGGCGGGCGAGTACGCCGCCCCCTTCGACCCCAACAACGAGGTGTACATCCTCTTCAACCCCTGGTGCCCAGGTGAGTCCTGGGGAGAATAAGGGGGTGAGAGAGAAACACAGAGGGGAGGGTAAGACCGGAATCCACAGCCCGGCTTTGCTCAAGTGGGCGTTTTGTAGCTCAGTTGGCAGCTTAGCTCCCAGAATCCCTTTGTTAGCACGACTGGGGAATTCTGGGAGGTGAACAGCCCGATGTCTGGAAGGCTGACGGAGCCAGCCGTTTACTGGAGTGTCGTGTCTGTTATTGATCTGCCTATATATGATTAATTAAAGAATGTCCCTCTGTTTTGTTTTTTTTGGGGGGGAAGACAATCACTTTGGATGGGTGGAGGGAGAGAGGGAAGGAGGGACGGAGGGATAAATGGATGGATGGATAAAAGGAAGGAAGGAGGAAAGAAGGGATGGAGAGATGGATGGAAGAATGGGTGAATGAATGGATGGATGAATGGTTGAATGGAAGGTAGGAAGGAAGGAGATGGAGAGGAAGGAAGGAAGGAAGGAAGGAAGGAAGGAAGGAAGGAAGGAAGGAAGGAAGGAAGGAAGGAAGGAGATGGAGTGATCAATGAAAGGTGGGTGAATGGAAGGAAGTAGAGATGGGATGGATGGATTGAGGGAGGGAAGGAAGGAAGGAGATGGAGAGATGGATGGAAGGATGGAAGGATGGGTGAATGAATGGATGGATGAATGGTTGAATGGAAGGTAGGAAGGAAGGAGATGGAGATAATGGAAGGAAAGAAAGAAAGAAAGAAAGAAAGAAAGAAAGAAAGAAAGAAAGAAAGAAAGAAAGAAAGATGGAAGGAAGGAAGGAAGGAGATGGAGCGATTAATGGAAGGGTGGGTGAATGGATGGAAAGAAGGAAGGAAGTAGAGATGGAAGGATGAATGGATGGATGGATGGAAGGAAGGAAGGAGATGGAGCGATCAATGGAAGGGTGGGTGAATGGATGGATGGAAGGAAGGATGGAAGGAAGGAAGGAGAGATGGAAGGATTGATGGATGGATGAATGGATGGATGAACTCCCAGAATTCCCCAACCAGCCTTACAATGGGAGGGAGGGAGGGAGGGAGGGAGGGAGGGAGGGAGGGAAGGAAGGAAGGAAGGAAGGAGTCATCCATTCACACCTTTAATCTTTTTCTTAATAATGATTTATAGCAGTGCTTCCCAAAGCTGGGTGAATTACCCCAAATTTGGCCAAAGTGGTCTTTCTGTGAGTAACAACACACAAAACCATTACCCAATCACAACTGACACATTAAAATCGGCTCGATGGGGTTTACGTCCATTGGGTAAATACATCGTAACCCAGTCCTTGACTTAACAACCCTTCCTTTCGGCGACCAAAGTTACAACCGCAGGGAAAAGCGTGACTTCAAACCAGTCCTCACACTTACGACCACCTGCAGGATTCCCCACAGTTACGCGACCCAAATCCAGGCCCGCAGCAAACCGGCCCGGATTTCTAACCACCACAGCCTCCCGGCGTCCTGGGATTCCCCCCCCCCCACTTGTGACATGGCCAGCCGGCTTCCGGCCAGCACGCAAAGTCAACGGAGGAAGCCGGATTCGCTTAGTGACCGCAGGCTTCGCTTAACGACGGCGGCGGTTTTGCGGAAGAACTGTGGCAGAAACCTGGCGGAACTGGGCAGAACTCCATCCCCGCCTCGCTGAACGGCACCAATGCGGGTGTGGTCGTAAGCGGAGGAGCCCCCGGCATTTTGCCAGGTGGACGGTCGGGTAGACGGTCTAAAAAAATCCACCGCGAGTTTTTCCCACGGTTCCTCAAAGATGCTCAAAACAATCCAAGCTCAATCTCCTCGCCCCGACACACACCCTCTTGACCTGGGTGCGAAAGGCGCTGGCTTAATTTTCTGCCCGAGTCAGCAGGGCGTGGGAAGGAGTAAACCTTGATTGCTTATCTACCTAGACAGGTCGAGAAAGAGGAAGGGAACGAAGGAAGAACCGGGAGAAGAAGAAAAAAAATGCATTATTTTTTCCTTTTGGCCGGGTTCCGTCTTTCTCAGCGCAAGAGATTACAGGGACGTCCTCGACTTACGACGGTTTGTTTCGTGACCGAAGTGACAACGGCACTGAAAAGAAGGGACTTAGGACCCTTTTTCCCACTTAGCAACCATTGCACCATTCCTGCGGTCACGGGATCAAAATTCATGTTTATGACGGTCGCAGCGTCCCAGGGGGGTGGGAGTGTCACGTGATTCCCCTTCGGCAATTTTCTGACAAGCAAAGTCAATGGGGGAAGCCTGATTCCCTTAACGGCCGTGTGACTCACTGAACAACGGCAGTGATTCACTTAATGACCGTGGCTAGAAAGGTCGTAAAGTGGGGCAAACCCCGCTCCACAAATGTCTCGCTTAGGAAGGGAAATTTTCGGCTCATTTGAAGTCGTAAGTCGAGGAGTGCCTGTAACTGGATTTACTTCCAACACTGGAAGTTTTTAAGAAGAGATCAGACAGCCATTTGTCTGAAATGTATAGGGTTTCCTGCCTGAGGAGGGGGTTGGACTAGATGACCTCCAAGATCCCTCCCAATTCTGTCTATTCTATTCTATTCTTATTTCTGTTCTATTCTTATTTCTATTTATTCTTATTTCTATTATATTCTGTTCTTATTTCTATTCCATTCTTATTTCTATTCTATTCCATATTTCTTTTCTATTCTATTCTATTCTTATTTCTATTCTATTCTATTCTATATTTTCTATTCTATTCTTATTTCTATTCTATTCTTATTTCTGTTCTATTCTGTTCTTGTTTCTATTCCATATTTTCTATTCTTATTTCTATTCCATTCTTCTATTCTATTCCATATTTTCTATTCTACTCTATTTTATTCTTATTTCTGTTCTATTCTGTTCTTATTTCTATTCTATTCTTATTTCTATTCCATTCTTCTATTCTACTCCATATTTTCTATTCTACTCTATTCTATTCTATTCTTATTTCTGTTCTATTCTGTTCTTATTTCTATTCTATTCTTATTTCTATTCTTATTTCTATTTATTCTTATTTCTATTCTATTCTTATTTCTATTCTATTATTTCTATTTTATTCTATTCCATATTTTCTATTCTGTTCTGTTCTATTCTATTCTATTCTGTTCTGTATTTGATTATTCTATTCTATTCTATTTTTGCATTTGAAGGTATTTCTTAGAGCTCAGAGTTCAGTTTGACGACTAGACTTTGACGTGGCCGTTTCTTAAGAGGGGAAAACGGGAATTCCCCCATCCTTGTCTTCGTAAATAAGAAATTCCTTACTTTGGGACCTTCTGGAAAGAAACTGGCAGGTGTGATGTGGTCGTTCCATATAGAAAACCTAGGAACTGTATCACACTCCACACCCTTCTTCCTGTTTCCATCCTGAACGGCTAAGGAGCGGCAGAAAAACTGGGCTGGAGAAAGGAATACATTTCCCCTTGATCTTCATGGCAGGAAAGACCAAAGCAAATAAATCTTTAGCTTGGCATAGAGAAAAGGAGAAAACAAGGACTCACACAAACACACCACCCTAAAGAGAACACTTAGGTCACGTTCCCTGAGCAGGAAGGAAGAGAAAGATAAAACCCTTTGATCCATTTTTTTTAAAAAAAGTGTTGATCAACCATCCGGAAATGACTTCATTATCTTTGTTCATCCGTCGCTGGAAAGTTTTTCCCCCAAAGAGAGATGCCTCAAGTCCTCGGCATACGACCAAAACCGAGTCCCCAATTTCCGTTGCTAAGTGAGACAGTCATTCAGCGGATTTTTGCCCCATTTTATAAACTTCCTTGACACCCTTGTTCAGAGAATCGCCTGACCCCGGGACATTGCGACCGTCATAAATATGAGTCGGTTGCCAAGGATTTGAATTTCGATCACGTGACTCTGGGGATGCCCCAACGGTCGTAAGTGTGAGAAACAGTCCTGAGCCCACTTTTTTCACTGCTGTTGTAACTTCAAACAGTCACTAAATGAAGCGTTGTAAGTCAAGGACTGCCTGTATTTTAGAAGAAGAGCATTTTATTGTGGCAATGTTAACGAAGCTCATTTGTTTCCGGAGGGATTGCAAAGCGGCTCACGCATAAAGGAGGAAAACAAACATGAAATCCATTTTTATTTGCCAGAAAATATCAGCAGATGCAAAAGTATTTTAATTAACAGAGAGAGAGAATCAAGATCACGTGAAGTGTTAATACCACTTTACAAGGTCTTGGTAAGGCCACACTTGGAATATGGCATCCAGTTTTGGTCACCACGATGTAAAAAAGATGTTGAGACTCTAGAAAGAGTGCAGAGAAGAGCCACGAAGATGATCAGGGGGCTGGAGGCTAAAACATATAAGGAACAGTTGCTGGAATTGGGGATGTCTAGTTTAACGAAGAGAAGGACGAGGGGGGACAGGATAGCAGTCTTCCAATATCTCAGGGGCTGCCACAAAGAAGAGGGAGTCAAGCTATTCTCCAAAGCGCCTGAAGGCAGGACAAGAAGCAACGGGTGGAAACTAATCAAGGAGAGAAGCAACCTAGAACTAAGGAGAAACTTCCTGACAGTTAGAACAATTAACCCAGAGGAACAACCTGCCACCAGAAGCGGTGACTGCTCCAACACTGGAAGTCTTTAAGAAGAGACTGGACAGCTATTTGTCCAAAATGGTATAGGGTTTCCTGCCTGAACAGGGGGTTGGACTAGATGACCTCCAAGGTCCCTTCCAACTTTACTACTACTACTACTACTACTATTATTATTATTATTATTATTATTATTATTATTATTATTAATTTCTCCAACTAAAGAATGTTTTTTTTTTAAAAAGCTACATTAGATCACCAAGGCCCGCTTTGTGGCTGAATCGACTCCTTCCTCCCTTTAAAATATTTTCAAAAGAAATGCTGGAATGTTTCCCATTCACTTGAATTTCCCTCGCTTTTTTTCTCCTCTTTTAGAGGATACGGTCTACCTGCAACAGACCGACTGTCTCAAGGAATACGTGCTGAACGAAACGGGGAGAATTTATTACGGAACAGAAAGTCAGATTGGGGAGCGAACATGGAACTACGCCCAGGTAAGATGCTTTTTCTCGTTGCAATAATGTTTGAGGAGCGAATGGTCTTTGAAAGGACTCTGGAGTTATAGCTGTGCCTACAAATCCCAAATCGCCTTTGGGTCATATTTCCTGTGAGCAGCTGCCCTGCAAGAATTTAGTGGCTATTTTGTTAAGGTTGAAAAACTGAGAAATCTAAGGAAGCAGTGAGGAAATATAAGATGTTTGATGTGATGAAGAAAGAAAGAAAGAAAGAAAGAAAGAAAGAAAGAAAGAAAGAAAGAAAGAAAGAAAGAAGGAAAGAAGGAAGAAAGAGGGGGAAGGAAGGAAGGAAGGAAGGAAGGAAGGAAGGAAGGAAGGAAGGAAAGAAAGAAAGGAAAGAAAGAAAAGAGGAGGAAAGGAAAAAAGAGAAAGAAAGAAAGAAAGAAAGAAAGAAAGAAAGAAAGAAAGAAAGAAAGAGGGGGAAGGAAGGAAGGAAGGAAGGAAGGAAAGAAAGAAAGAAAGAAAGAAAGAAAGAAAGAAAGAAAGAAAGAAAAGAAAGAAAAGAGGAGGAAAGGGAAAAAGAGAAAGAAAGAAAGAAAGGGGAAGGAAGGAAAGAAAGAAAGGAAGGAAAGAAAGAAAGAAAGAAAGAAAAGAGGAGGAAAGGGAAAAAGAAAAAGAAAGAAAGAAAGGAAGGAAGGAAAGAAAGAAAGAAAGAAAGAAAGAAAGAAAGAAAGAGAGAGAAAGAAAGGGGAAGGAAGGAATGAAAGAAAGAAAGAAAGGGGAAGGAAGGAAGGAAGGAAGGAAGGAAGGAAGGAAGGAAGGAAAGAAAGAAAAGAGGAGGAAAGGGAAAAAGAGAAAGAAAGAAAGAGAAAGAAAGGGGAAGGAAGGAAGGAAAGAAAGAAAGAAAGAAAGAAAGAAAGAAAGAAAGAAAGAAAGAAAGAAAAGAGGAGGAAAGGGAAAAAGAAAAAGAAAGAAAGAAAGAAAGAAAGAAAGAAAGAAAGAAAGAAAGAAAGAAAAGAGGAGGAAAGGGAAAAAGAAAGAAAGAAAGAAAGAAAGAAAGAAAGAAAGAAAGAAAGAAAGAAAAGAGGAGGAAAGGGAAAGAAAGAAAGAAAGAAAGAAAGAAAGGGGAAGGAAGGAAAGAAAGAAAGAAAGAAAGAAAGGAAGGAAGGAAGGAAGGAAGGAAGGAAGGAAGGAAGGAAAGAAAGAAAGAGGAAAGAAAGAAAGAAAGAAAGAAAGAAGAGAGAGAAAGAAAGGGGAAGGAAGGAATGAAAGAAAGAAAGAAAGAGGAAGGAAGGAAGGAAGGAAGGAAGGAAGGAAGGAAGGAAGGAAGGAAGGAAGGAAGGAAGGAAAAGAGGAGGAAAGGGAAAAAGAGAAAGAAAGAAAGAGAAAGAAAGGGGAAGGAAGGAAAGAAAGAAAGGAAGGAAAGAAAGAAAGAAAGAAAGAAAGAAAGAAAGAAAGAAAGAAAGAAAGAAAAGAGGAGGAAAGGGAAAAAGAAAAGGAAAGAAAGAAAGAAAGAAAGAAAGAAAGAAAGAAAGAAAGGGGAAGGAAGGAAGGAAAGAAAGAAAGAAAGAAAGAAAGAAAGAAAGAAAGAAAGAAAGAAAGAAAGAAAGAAAGGAAGGAAGGAAGGAAAGGAAGGAAGGAAGGAAGGAAGGAAGGAAAGAAAGAAAGAAAGAGGAAAGAAAGAAAGAAAGAAAGAAAGAAAGAAAGAAAGAAAGAAAGAAAGAAAGAAAGAAAGAAAGAGAAAGAAAGGGGAAGGAAGGAAGGAAAGAAAGAAAGAAAGAAAGAAAGAAAGGGGAAGGAAGGAAGGAAGGAAGGAAAGAAAAGAGGAGGAAAGGGAAAAAGAAAAGAGAAAGAAAGAAAGAAAGAAAGAAAGAAAGAAAGAAAGAAAGAAAGAAAGAAAGAAAGAAAGAAAGAAGAAAGAAAGGAGAGGGGAAAAGAAAGAAAGAAGAGGGAAAAGGAAAAAAGGAAGGAAGGAAGGAAGGAAAGAAGGTAGGGAAAAAGAAAGAAAGAAAAGAAAGGGAGAGAGAGAGAGAGAGATTAGACAGTTATTTGTCTGAAATGATATAGGCCAGAGGGATGGACTAGAACACCTTCAGGGTCCTTTCCAATTCTGTTTTTCTGTATAAACAAAAGCTTTATTAGTGAGGAAGGGAAGGGAAATAGAAAAAAAAAGGAAAGGAAAATAGAAAAGAGGAAAGAGGAAAGGAAAGAAAAAGAAAGGTAAATAGAAAAGATATTTTTTTAGAGAGGAAAATCACTTTGGATGGGTGGAGGGAGGGATAAATAGATGGAAGGAGGGAGGGAGGGAGGGAGAAGAAATGAAGGAAGGAAGGAAGGAAGGAAGGAAGGAAGGAAGGAAGGAAGGAAGGAAGGAAGGAAGGAAGGAAGGAAGGAAGGAAGGAAGGTTGAAAATGACACCAACATGGCTAAGTTCCTCACTAGGGTAGGGGAACCCCCAGAACGTGGTCCAAATGGCTGCTCCGTTGACCTTCCTTCTTTTCTCCCATCAGTTTGACCAAGGGATCCTGGATGCCTGTTTGTTCATGCTGGATAAGCGCGGGATGCCTCACGCCAGTCGGGGAGATCCGATCATGGTTTCCCGCGTCGTCTCGGCCATGGTGAGTTGTGATAATGAACCCAGATGGGAAAATGCCAATTATTATTTCATTTATCTGACTGCACGCTTTCCACTGTTTTTGTTCATAATCTTCCACGATTACTTCAATTAATTCTCCCCGTCCTTTCCTTTCTTCAGTAGCCATTCTCTGTATTCCTTTCTTTTCTCTCTCTCTCTCTCTCTCTCTCTCTCTTCTTCTTGGGCATTAAATTAGCTAACTAAATCCAAGTTCAGCTGCGACTTAGCAACTGAGTCCAGATAGTCCTTGATTTACCACCACGGTGGAGCCCAAAATTTCCATTGCTAAGCAAGACCCTTGCTGTGAGTTTTGCCCCGCTTTACGACCGTTCTTGCCACCATTGTTGAGTGAATCACCACAGCTGATATGTTAGCAACACCGTGGTTGTCCGAGGTCGCAAAAGGGGATCACATGATCACACGGCGACCATCTTAAAGACGAGTCAGTTGCCAAACATCTGAATTTTGATCACATGACCGTGGGGAGGCTGCAACGCTCATAATTGGGAAAAATAAAAATCTCTGTGTCGCAATTTGGCTAGAACGCAAACTTTGGATACACACGTAGTCCTTGACTTACAATCGACACTTCGAAGTTACAACGGCACGGCACTGAAAAATGTGACTCGTGACCGCTTTTCACACTTAACGACCGTTGCGGCGTCCTCACGGTCACGTGATCAAAATTCAGAGGCTTGACAACTGACTCGTATTTATGATGGGGGGGGATCCCTGTTGTGACTTTCTGACAAACACAGTCAGATTCGTTTAACGACTGTGTGGCTAATTTAGAAACCGCAGCGATTCCCTCAAAAACCGTAGCAGGGATGATCGTCAAACTCACTTAAGAACTGTCTCGCTTAGCGGCCAAAATTGCGGTCGTAAACCGAGGACTGCCTGTCTCCAAAGACGGAATTAACACCCTCTCTCACCTCAGCTTTCTGTTTTTTACCCACCAGTTCTATTTGCACAGATCTGTTAATATGTCTATTTTTTAAAAAAATAAATAGTCCAGGGAGAACCAAATATACCACAAAAGCCTCATTTTTCTGGATTTGTACATTTAATAAGTATTTTTAAATAAAAAAATAAATAGCCAAGGGGGAACAAAATATACCACAAAAAACTCATTTTTCTGGATTTGTACACTTAATAAGTATTTTTAATAAAAAAATAAATAGCCCAGGGGGAACCAAATATACCACAAAAAACTCATTTTTCTGGATTTGTACACTTAATAAGTATTTTTAATAAAAAAATAAATAGCCCAGGGGGAACCAAATATACCACAAAAAACTCATTTTTCTGGATTTGTACACTTAATAAAAGTCAATTGCGGGAACGTGGCGCAGCCTTTCAACCTGACGAATTAGCAAATGTGTAAATTAATTGAGGCAGGTCTGGTACATCCGGTTGGATCGACCTGTTTCTGTTGAAGGAAATCACACAGGTGAAGCCAAGGCCTGTCTGTCTTTTCGTCCATAATTGGGGTGCCTTTCTTGCAATATTGGGGAACAGGATAATTGCTTAGGTTCCCCGACGTTAATCAGAGCCTTTTTGTTATCGTAAGGCCGGATGGCTGCTTCACCAGGCCTGAATCACACACAATATTCTTCAAAGAGGCCACGATGCGTTGGGAATTATCACAACGGGGTGTATCTCATTCCTACTGCTTCTGTTTAATTTCCTCTCAGCTCCTCTGCTTTTTCCTGTCCCTTTGCTGGCTCAGCGATGGTTAGGCCCCGAGGTCATTCTTCTCACCACAATCCACACAAAAAAAACTGTGTGCTGTAATAAACCTGAAAGGGTCACAAAACTTGAGAAACCACAACGAGCCACAGGAATGACCTCTTGAGGAAACGACACTGTAAGAGTTATACGGGCGCAATAAAAACAGAAATTCAGGCCAGGCAAGGGAGAAAACCTTGAAAAGAATCTCAGATATTTTAGGCCAAGCGATGATTTATTTATTTATTTATTTTTGTCTACAGCTAGTCCTCCACTTATAACCAGAATCGAGAGCAGACATTCGGTTGTTAAGTGAGTTGGGCTTGGTTTTACGACCCTTTTCCCGTGGTCGTTAAGCGAATCGCTGCAGCTGTTAAATGAAACAGGCGGTCCTTAAACGAAACTGGCTTTGCTGATCAGAAGTTGCTTGGGAAGGTCACAAATGAATAGAATAGAATAGAATAGAATAAGGGATAGAATAGAATAGAATAGAATAGAATAGAATAGAATAGAATAGAAAATATGGAATGGAATAGAATAGAACAGAATACAGAAAGAAGAAAAGAGAAATAAGAAATAGAATAGAATAGAAAACAGAAAGAATAGAATAGAATAATAAAATACAGAATAGAATAGAATAGAATAGAATAGAATAGAATAGAATAGAATAAGGGATAGAATAGAATAAGGGATAGAATAGAAAATATGGAATGGAATAGAATAGAACAGAATACAGAAAGAAGAAAAGAGAAATAAGAAATAGAATAGAATAGAAAACAGAAAGAATAGAATAGAATAGAACAATAAAATATAGAATAGAATAGAATAGAATAGAATAGAATAGAATAGAATAGAATAGAATAGAATAAGAAATAGAATGGAATATAGAATAGAATAGAATAGAATAGAATAGAATAGAATAGAATAGAATAGAGAACAGAATAGAATAGAATAGAATAGAATAGAATAGAATAGAATAGAATAGAATAGAAGGGACCTTGGAGGTCTTCTAGTCCAGCCCCCTGCTCAAGCAGGAGAACCTAGACCATTTCAGGGGATCACACGACTCTTGGACGTTGCAACCGTTGTAAATATGTCCCGATTCTCAAATATGCCTAATCTGATCTTGCAATAGTCACAAGTGCGAGGACCAGCCATGTCATTTTTTTTTCAGTGCCCTCGTGACATCCCTGCCGTAGGCCTTGTTTCGATCCACGACGATGTTGTGTTGTTTCCTCCCCAGGTGAACTCTCTGGACGACAACGGCGTGCTGGTCGGGAACTGGACCGGGGACTACTCCCGCGGCACAAATCCTTCAGCCTGGGTGGGCAGCCGGGACATTCTGCTGAAGTATCTCCGTACCGGATACCCCGTGCTCTACGGGCAGTGCTGGGTGTTTGCCGGCGTCGTGACCTCAGGTGGCCGCTGTTCGCGGTTGACGTGGGGAGGGTAGTGGGTCACGAGAAAAGAAACGAGAGCATCAAGGAGGGTGCGGGGGGGGGGCTGTTCTAGGTTGTGTTTTGTTTTGGGGTTTTTTTTTTTACAAATTTTATTAAATGTACATTTTAAAAACAAAAATGGACATGATTCAACTTCCCTGGCTTCATGCTATTAGTATTACCTTATGTTACAGAAAGAACAACAGAAACTTAAAATACATTCTATAACAGCACAGAGTATAACAAACTGTGCGTATAACATCTGTAAACTTTTTGATAAACCATTTTTCAATCGTCAAAATAAATATTAAAAAAAAAAAAAACTCACCAACATGCTGGAAATTTAGAAGGCTTCCATGGACTTACTATGTGATAGTAAGTCCATGGACTTACTATCACATGTGGTGGGAATGTTCAAAGGGGCAAAATTTTGGGAATCGGATAAAAAATTGGCTGGAAGAAATACTATTACCAAAAATTGATTTAAAACCAGAAACCTTCTTATTAGGGATTATTAATGATAAACTCAGCAAAAACATCTTTTTACTTACTATGGCATATTTTAACCACAGCAAGATTGGCATGCGCCTAAAAATGGAAAGGAAAGGAAACCCCCACTGAGGAAGAAATAATAAATAACATTTTATCCTGCGCCGAAATGGACAGGTTAATTCTAGAGATTAAAAGTAAAATGGAAACAGAGTATTATGAAATTTGGAAAAATGTGTACGATTCGTTAGAGATAAGGAGGATCGCTGAGATGATTATCGATTGACTAGTTGATATCATGTTGTTGTTGTTAATTGCGAAGTCGTGTCCGACCCGTCGCGACCCCATGGACAATGTTCCTCCAGGTCTTCCTGTCCTCTACCATCTTCTGGAGTCCATTTAAATTCACACCTACTGCTTCAGTGACTCCATCCAGCCATCTCAGTCTCTGTCGTCCCCTTCTTCTAGTGCCCTCAATCTTTCCCAGCATTAGGCTCTTCTCCAGTGAATCCTTCCTTCTCATTAGGTGGCCAAAGTACTTGAGTTTCAACTTCAGGATCTGGCCTTCTAAAGAGCAGTCGGGGTTGATCTCTTCTAGGACTGACTGGTTTGAACGCCTTGCAGTCCAAGGGACTCGGAGGAGTCTTCTCCAGCACCATAGTTCAAAGGCCTCAATTCTTTTGCGCTCAGCCTTTCTTATGGTCCAGCTTTCACAGCCATACATTGCAACTGGGAAAACCATGGCCTGGACTATACGCACTTTAGTTGATATCATAAGGACTTCTTATTAGTACCTATATTAGGACACAACTGGGGCTGGTCTAGATTGTGGAGGTTTTTAAAAAGAGATTGGAGAGCCATTTGTCTGAAATGGTCTAGGGCAATGGTTCTCAACCTGTGGGTCGGGACCCCATTTGGGGTCGAACGACCATTTCACGGGGGTCGCCAAACAACGCAGTCCGCCATTTTTCCCCCCCTTTTCCTTAGCTGTGCTACTCCCTTTTATTCTATTGGCTTTTGAACGCCAATAGAATAGACTCTCTTGAATAGAGTCTAATTCTATTGGCTTTCAAAAGCCAATAGGAATTGTCCAGGCTGTCTCTGCCCTGCTGAGCCCGCCAAAAGCCCCAGTCTGCAAACAGTGCTGCACCAGTTGAGTAGTCCTTGACTTACGACCGGTTGAGTAGTCCTCGACTTACAACTGGTTGGGGGTTGCGGCATTAAAAAGGTTGAGAACCACTGGTCTAGGGCACAGGTCGGCAACCTGCGGCTCCGGAGCCGCATGCGGCTCTTTGAGCCTTCCCATGTGGCTCCCAGCCTCCTCTGCCTTTGCAGAGAGAGACAGAGACAGAGAGAGGCAATTGCGCTTCCCTGCTTCTCTCTCTCTCTCTCTCTCTCTCTCCCTCTCTCTCTGTGTGTGTTTGTGTTTTTGTGTGTGTGTGTGTGTCTGTGTGTATGTGTAAAAGAGAGTGCACTCACAGTATTCTCCGAGGAGCTGAAAAGCTTACTGGGCGGAGCTCCTCCCTTTGCTGCGTCTCTGCAGGAAGCAGGAAGCAGGAAGGGCAAGAGAGAGCTAGCTAGCCCAGCTAGGCTGACTCAGGAATTCTGGGAGTTGAAGTCCATGAGTCATAAAAGAGACGAGGTTGCTTGTTGGACAACAGCTTGAAGCTTGCCAGGTGAGCAACAGATAGGAGGGGGGGAGAAAGAGAGAGAGAGAAAGAGAGAGGGAGGGAGAGAGAGAGAGGAAAGAGAGAGAGAGAAAGAAAGAGAACGGGGGAAGAGGAGTGGCAGACCAAGGGCAGATAGAGAGGGAGGGAGAGAGAGACAGACAGAGAGAGAGAGAGACCCTTTTGACATCTAAAATGAAGATAACACTGCATATATCCTTTTTTTACCTGTGTGTGTGTGTGTGTGTGTGTGTGTGTGTGTATATACACATATACATATATATACACACACAGATACACACAGAAACACACACACACACACCTATAATAAAGGTAAAAAAGGATATATGCAGTGTTATCTTCATTTTAGATATCAAAAGGGTTTTGCGGCTCCCAGTGTTTTGTTTTTGGTGGGAAACGGGTCCAAGTGGCTCTTTAAGTGTTTTGGGTTGCCTACCCCTGGTCTAGGGTCTCCTGCTTCAGCAGGGGGCTGGACTGGAAGACCTCCAAGGTCCCTTCCCATTTTGTGATTCTACTATAACCTGGCTCCAGACTTTTCCTTTTAATCTTTTAATCCAATCAGTCCTGTAGGGGGGAAAAAGGGAGAATAATAATAATAACAGAATAATAACTTTTAATTGCCGTCGAGACTTCATAATTTCTCGATGGCCAATGAACCCCGCACACGGACACCTTTTGCTCTAAGTTCAAGACAGCAAGCATCCCATCAGAAAAGTCCCCCCCCCTCAATTTTGGGGGATACCGATAGAGTGCAACCATTAGGCCTCTCTGCTGATACCCTTCCTCTCTGTCTCTTTCCCTCCCCAGTCCTGCGGTGCCTGGGCATTGCCACCCGGACTGTCACCAATTACAACTCGGCGCACGACACGGATGTCAGCCTCACCATGGACATCTACTTTGACGAGAATATGAAGCCCCTGGAGCACCTGAATGCTGACTCTGTCTGGTGAGGACTTGGAACCTTCTCCTCCTCCTCCTCCTCCTCTTCCTCCTCCTCTTCTTCCTCCTCCTCCTCCTCCTCCATGGACGTTGGGGTGGTGTGGATGAGGACAGGTGTGCAGAGAAGAACAACAATAAGTTAGTCTCCTGTTAGCTGGGCCTTCAACTTGATCAGTGTTCTTCAAGAGATCAAGAAGCATCCGAGGTTAACAAATCTTGGTCGCCACGGTACAAAAAAGATGTTGAGACTCTGGAAAGAGAGCAGAGAAGAGCAACAAAGAGGATCAGGGGACTGGAGGCTAAAACCTACGAAGAGCGGATGCAGGAATTGGGGATGTCTGGTTTAATAAAGAGAAGGACGAGGGGGGACATAATAGCAGTCTTCCAATATTTGAGGGGCTGCCTCAAAGAAGAGGGGGTCCACCCGTCCCAAAGGTGCTTTTTCAAATGGTAACTGGACTTTCTTGTTTGTCCTTGAAGATGTTTCCCTTCTGATCCAAGAAGCTTCATCAGTTCTGACTTATTCAGTCATAACTCAAGAAGTTTCTTGGAGGAGAAGTGAAACGTCCTCCAGGAAAAAACAGAGAAAGTCCAGTTGCAACTTTTGAAAAAGCACTTTTGGGACAACCGAGACCTGGATAACTGAGAATTCTCCACAGACAAAGGGGTCCACCTGTTCTCCAAAGCCCCTGAAGGCAGGACAAGAAGCAGCGGGTGGGAACTAACCAAGGAGAGAAGCAACCTGGAACGAAGGAGAAATCTCCTGACAGTGAGAACAATTAACCAGTGGAACAGCTGGCCACCAGGAAGTTGTGAATGCTCCATCACTGGAGGTTTTGACGAAGAGACTGAAGGGCTGCTATTTGTCTGAAATAGTATAGGGCAGTGGTTCTCAACCTTTTTAATGCCGCAACCCCCAACCGGTTGTAAGTCGAGGACTACTCAACCAGTCGTAAGTCGAGGGCTACTCAAATGGTGCAGCACCGTTTGCAGAATGGGACTTTTGGCGGGCTCAGCTGGGCAGAGACAGCCTGGACAATTCCTACTGGCTTTTGAAAGCCAATAGAATTAGACTCTATTCAAGAGAGTCTATTCTATTGGCTTTCAAAAGCCAATAGACTAAAAGGGAGTAGCACAGCTAAGGAAAAGTGGGGAAAAAATGGCGGACTGCGTTGTTTGGTGACCCCCGTGAAATGATCGTTCGACCCCAAATGGGGTCCCGACCCACAGGTTGAGAACCACTGATATAGGGTTTCTTGCTTGAGCAGAGGGTTGGACTAGATGACCTCCAAGGTCCCTTCCAACTCCGTTCTTCTGTTACATACTGAATGCTTGAATTTCCTCCTTGCAGGAATTTCCACGTGTGGAACGACTGTTGGATGAAGCGACCGGATCTGCCTTCAGGTTTCGACGGGTGGCAGGTGGTGGACGCAACCCCCCAGGAATCCAGCAGTGGTAAGTTTGGGGGGGGTGAAACAGAACTCCTATGAAATGGGTGTCAAGGTTCCGACGGATGAACCCAACTGAGTGAACGCCGCCAAGATGATCCAGTCTCTCAGTGCAAAACTTTATTGAGTACGTCCTTTTGGCACGAACGAAAGCGAAACCAGCTCCGGTTAATTCCCGCGCAAACCACTATAATTAAAATATAGAACCCTCCATTCCCTTCTTAGTGAAGGTCACATTGTCTAATCAAGTGTCAAAATACCGTTATGAGAAAGTGTCTATAGGTTGGCAAACATCTGCTGAAACGTCCTTGGTTCCCACAACTTGACTTCTTGTTGTCTGGAGTTTGCATTCCATTTCCCCCTCTCCTTATGTTGGCAATATCATGTGCGTGCTTCGAACTTGATGACGAGATCTCCACATTTGGAACCCTGGAGAAGGTTCCAGATTGGAAGCGTGACGCTGGGTGGAGGAGTCGGTCCTTCTTCTACCTTTCCTTCCTCGCGTCACCTTCCATGTCTTCCCACAGGGATCTTCTGCTGTGGGCCCTGCTCTGTGGAGGCCATCAAGAACGGTCTGGTCTACATGAAATACGACGCTTCCTTCTGCTTTGCCGAGGTGGGTCCTTCTTTTAGCGATGGACAGATCCCGGGAGGCTTAGTCGAAATCGGTCCTTCAGGCACAGCGGGGAGAAAATTGGCAAGAGGACGGATGAGTGACGATTTGTCTCCTCAGGTGAACAGCGACAAGGTGTATTGGCAACGCCAGAGAGACGGCACCTTCAAGATCGTCTATGTAGAAGAAAAAGCCATCGGGCATCTCATCAGCACCAAAGCCGTGGGATCCCATCAGCGCCAAGACATCACGAACATTTATAAGCATCCCGAAGGTACAACAACGCTGAGCGGGGAAGGATTGGGACAACGGCGACATAAATACAGTTATTCCTTGACTTGCAACCATTTGTTCAGTGACCGTTTGACATTATCAACTGTACTGGAAAAAAAGTACGTTACCGCTGTTTTTCACACTTACGACCGTGGTCATGTGATCAAAATGCAGATCCTGACAACTGACTCGTATTTATGACGGTCGCAGTGTCCCAGGGTTGGTGGTCACGCGATCCCCTTTTGCAATCTTCTGACAAGCAAAATCGACGGGGGAAGCTGTATTCACTTAACGACCGTGTCACTAATTTAACAACTGTGGTGATTCACTCACTCGTAAAATAAAATTAGCAAATGTCTCGCTTGGCAACATAAATCTGGGATTCAGTTGTGGTTGTAAGTCAAGGACTACCTGTAAAGCAAGGAAATCTGGAGTTATATTTTGGGGGTGGACTTTTTGAAAAGAAAGGAGCAAATCCTATTTTCTGCTTTTATTCCGATACAAGAAGGAAGATTTATTTCTGTTCTGTATGCATTTCCATCAGGAGCTTGGGATTTCAGATGACTTCAGGTAGTCCTTGAGAGATGGTCATGTTGCTTATGTTGCTAAGTGAAACATTTGTTAAGTGAGTTTTGCCCCATTTTATGACAGGTGTTAAGTGAACCATTGCCTCTGCTAAGTTAGTAACAAGGTTGTTAAGTGATCTGGCTTCCCCATTGATTTGCTTGTTAGAAGCTCGCAAAAGGGGATCACGTAACTCCGGGATATTGCAACCGTCGTAAATATAAACCAGTTGAATATTGAACATGTGACTGGGGGGGGGGGAAATGCTGCAACAGTCGTAAGTGTGAAAAACAGTCCTGGGTCACTTTTTTCAGTGCCATTGTAACTTCGAACGGTCACTAGATGAACTGTTGTAAGTCGAGGACTGCCTGCATTTCATCAAGGTCTTCTTCGTATCTCTCTTTGATCCGAGGGACCCCTTTTTTGAATTCTCCGTTCTTTCTCTCCACAGGAACGGAAGCGGAGCGCAAAGCAGTGGAAACCGCCGCCAAGCACGGCACCAAGGCCCACATCTACACCAACAAGGAGTGGGGAGAAGACATCTCAGTGACGGTCGACACTGAAGAGGCCTACACCGGACAGGACATCTCCTTGAGGGTCATCCTGAAGAACCGGAGTTCGATGCCTCGCAACGTCTCTCTCAACCTCTTTGTGGCGGTCATGTATTACACAGGAGTCACCGGCAGCAATTTTAAACAGGAGCAGCGGCAGGTCCAGATTCCTGCAGGAGGAGGTAACCATCTGCGGCTGCCTGAGGCACGGCATCTTGTGCCAAAACTGGGAGGGACCCGAGGGTATTGGAATTCATTTGTTGGAATGTATTTCAATGCAGCAACTTGAGTAGTATTCAGCCAGCAGATGGCAGTGTTTACAAGTTTGGATCTGTGGTATATATGTTCTTTGTTGAAATAGTTGAGCAGTAAAGCACATGGTGACGGTGCTTTTTGTTTGAGCTATGGTGCTATATATATATAAACAGAAGGAGAAAGGTGCTGCGAAGCGGAACGGGTTATGCGAAATAAGGAAAAGGAAAACTTGGCATTTGTGTATCCTGAGGGTCTCCCCATACATGACCCCAAATTTGTCCGCCTTCCTTCTCACAGCTCAACCAGTTCCGATGGTCATCTCCTATCCCGAGTACAAGACCCATCTGGTGGACCAAGGAGCCATGAAGCTCAGCATTTCCGGGAAAGTAGCTGAAACCGGACAGGTCATTGCGAAGGAGCACACTTTCCGTCTTCGCACCCCGGACCTCACTCTGACGGTACGACATGGACTCTTGGCTGTCTTCACCAGCCGTGTCCGACAAACTAGGATTCTCAGGAGATGTTGGTTAGATAAATTTATTTTTGCAGCTGTCCCCAAATTTGGAGCTACCGGTTCCTGTCAAGAGACGTGTTCTTTGGGATAAGGGGAACTACATTCTACATTAGTCCTCATTTAGTGACTGACTTTTTAAGCGGTTGTTCATAGTTACGACCATGACAAACAAGTAACTTCACGACAACTCTTTGTCTTTACGGCCTTCACAGGTCTGTCAAGCCAAGGAAAGCTCCCGGAAGGTCATAAGCAAAGTCATGGTTTCACTTACTGACCACTTCAGTTAATGACAGGTGCCAATGTGGTGGCTAAATAAGGATGAGCTGTATTCTGTAGGGAGGGTCACTGGGAGTACTGCCATACCATTCAGATGTTTGTAAAAAATACTACCCCTAGGAGGGTGTATTATTTCACTTTGCAAAATTTCCTTTGGATATATCTAAAACCAGTGTTTCTTTGCGCCAGGGAGTAATTATATATAAATATATTTCTAAAATACAGGTAATCCTCGAGTTACGACCACAATTGAGCTCAAAATTTCTGTTGTTAAGTGAAACATTTGTTACGTGAGTTTTGCCCCATTTTACATCTTGCCACAGATGTTAAGTGAAACACTGTAGGTGATAAGTTAGTAACCCGGTCGTTAAGTGAATCCAGCTTCACAAAAGGGGATCATGCGACCCCGGGACGCTGAGACCGTCATAAATAGGAACCAGCTACCAAGCATCTGGATTTTGATCACATGACCATGGGAGATGCTGCAACAGTCATAACTGAAAAATGGTCATAAGTCACATTTTTCAGTGCCGTTGGTGAATGGTCACTAAATGAATTGTTGTAAGTCAAAGACTGCCTGTAGGCCAGCGATTCTCATCTGTGGGTCGGGACCCCATTTGGGGTTGAACGACCATTTCACGGGGGTCGCCAAACAACACAGTCCGCCATTTTTTCCCCCTTTTCCTTAGCTGTGCTCCTCCCTTTTATTCTATTGGCTTTTGAAAGCCGATAGAAGAGACTCTCTTGAATAGAGTCTAATTTTCTTGGCTTTCAAAAGCCAATAGGAATTGTCCAGGCTGTCTCTGCCCTGCTGAGCCCGCCAAAAGTCCCATTCTGCAAACGGTGCTGCACCAGTTGAGTAGTCCTCAACTTATGACCGGTTGGGGGTCGCGGCATTAAAAAGGTTGAGAACCATTGCTGTAGTTCAAATATCTGAACAACCGGTTCTCTGATTGGATGCAGGCCTGGGCCTCCGAGGCCTAGAACGGACTTCCGGAAGTGGTATCCACGTACTTCCGGCGGGCCGTTCTAGGTCTGCGATGCCTCCTCCAGGCCTCCCAGGCCTAGAACGAACTTCTGGAAGCAGTGTGCATTCAGCCGGTTCTCTAAACTCAGCAAAATTTAGCTACTGGTTCTTCTGAACCGGTGCAAACCGGCTGAACCCCACCACTGGTCCTCAACCTACAACCACAACAGGGGCCAGAATTTCTGTTGCTAAACAAGGCAGAGGTTTAGCGAGTCGCAGTGAATTTTGCGACCTTTTTTTTTTTTTGCAACGAATCAGCGCAGTTGCCGAGTCATGCAGTTGTTAAGGGAATCTAGCTTCCCCCGTTGACTATGCTCGTCGGAAACCGGCTGGGAAGGTCACGTGACACCGTGACACTCCAACTGGCATAAGTACACGCCAGTTGCCAAGCGTCTGAATTTTGATCCCGTGACCGTGGGGATTCTGCCATGGTTGAAAGTGCGGGGACCGCTCATAAGGCGTACACCCCTTTTTTCAGCGCGGTTGTGACTTTTAACGGTCCCTGAAGACTAAAATACTATCTGTAGTTTCTTTTTACGGTCCTCTGACGATCCGTTCGCAACCGCTTAGTGCCGTTAATCCTTCCTCGTCTCTCATCCTCTTCCTCTCTCCTCCGCAGCTGCTGGGTCCGGCCATTGTTGGACAAGAAACCCAAGTCCAGATCGTCTTCAAGAACCCTCTTCCTGTGACCTTGACCCAGGCCACCTTCCACATGGAAGGTTCCGGACTTTCGACTCCCAACACGATGACCGTCGGGTGAGTAGACCTGTAGAAAGCTGCCTATTGTGGCGTTTTTGCTCTTCCTATTATCTGGTATTCTCAGAAGACACAGAATGGAAGAACAGAAGAACAGATTTGGAAGGGAAACCTTGGAGGTCATCTAGTCCAACCCCCGGCTCAGGAAGGAAACCCTGTACCATTTCAGACAAGTGACACTCCAGTCTCTTGTCTAATCTCTTCTTAGAGAGTTTTGGAGCACCCACAATTTCCAGTGACAAGCCGTTCCACTGGTTACTTGTTCTCACTGTCAGGAAATTTCTCCTTAGTTCCAGGTTGCTTCTCTCCTTGATTAGCTTCCATCCGTTGCTTGTTGTTCTACCTTTAGGTTGAGCCCCCCCCCCCCTCGAGGAAGACATTTCTTCACCTTTCAGCCCAAATTCGGGACCACCAAAATAATATTTTATTGCCCTGTCCATCTGACACGTGGTGTTTTTTGAAAAGGACAGATCTTTGCAATCAAAAATTTTAAGAAAGAAGTAGGAATTATTTTGTCTCACAAATGGCCTTGTTACCTGGCCAAGTGATCATGCATACTATCAAAGTGTGAAAAAATATTTGGAAGATGCAATTTTCAGGGGAAGGATGGTCTAAGACAGGGGTCTTTAAACTTGGCCTTTTTATGACTTGTGGACTTCCAACTCCCAGAATTCCTCAGCCAGCATGCCTGGCTGGGGAATTCTGGGAGTTGAAGTCCACAAGCAGGGCTCTTCAAACTTGGTCCTTTGATGACTTGTGGACTTCAACTCCCAGAATTCCTCAGCCAGCGTGCCTGGCTGGGGAATTCTGGGAGTTGAAGTCCACAAGCAGGGCTCTTCAAACTTGGTCCTTTGATGACTTGTGGACTTCAACTCCCAGAATTCCTCAGCCAGCAAGGAATTCTGGGAGTTGAAGTCCGAACATCTTAACGTTGCCAGGATTGAGAAACACTGATTTAAGTCACTTTTTTTCCGGGCCGTAGTAACTTCAAACAGTCACTAAGTAAACGGTTGTTAGTCATGGACTCCCTGTGCATCCTTTTTCCTGAGCGGGATTGGCAAACATGACCCACAATCTCTTCTTTTCACGTTGCAGGGATATCGGTCCGCATCAAACGGTGCGACTCTGCCAGAAGTTCACCCCGCTCCGTGCCGGACGTCGCCAGTTGGCTGCCAGTCTGGACAGCCCACAGCTCTCCCAGGTCCACGGCGTGCTAACCATCGATGTGGCCCAGAGCCCTCCACCGGGCCCATCAGCCTCTCCGGCACCTGTCCGGGGTTCTCCCGCCCGGGGCAGAGCCTCGCCTTCCCGCGTCCGAGGGTCCTCGGCAGCCGCTCGATCCTCCCCTGGAAGACAGCCCGCCAACCACAGCACCCCAGCCAATGCCAACACCAACACAAATGCCAACACAAATGCACGGGCTACCCCCAGTCGACAGCCCAATCCCGGACGAGCCCCCAATGCTCACGGGACGACTGCCACTGCCAGGCCAGGGGCCACGGGGCGACCCGTGTGAGCCAGCTCTTAGCCGTGACTGCCGAGTGCGACATGACAGCACAGCCAAACCAGCTGGCAAAGAGAGGAGGGGGGGGTCCCTGCCCAAGCCACAGAACCACAGTGGGGTGCACCAAGCCCACGAGGCCGGCGAAATGTTTTTCCCGGTGGTGACCGTCAGGAAACGTCTCCACTTCTTCACCCACCGATTTCTCTTTCCTTCGCTTTCGTTCTGCTCCCCCCTTTTTCCCGCCTATTATTGTCTTCTGTGAATAAGCACCCAACCGAATTGGAATTTGTAGGGTGCAATTGAGGCATCTTCCCTCTTCCACACCGTTCGTCCGAGATGGGGGGGGTGTTGAGGACTCGGCTGCTCCTCCAGCTCTGGGACCCCCTTCACCCCATCTGCCCCTCCCCACTGCCCCAGGGGCACGACTCACCCACCCCCGTGCAAGGAATGTTTATAACTCGACACTTATATTTCACCGCGATTCTTGTTTCCTTCTTAAACGCGCCACCAATCTTCACGTCTGCATGCTTGTTTCCCACAAATGGAGAAGTTCTGGAGAGCTTCCAACGGAGAAGGCATAAATTTGCTTTTCAAATTATTATTCTTCCTAAGATGAGTGGGGGCCTTTTCACTTGAGCCAAAGGAATTGTCTAGGAATTTTTCCCCATGGTTCCCCCCCTCTTTTTATTTGGACAGATTTGGGGTGGGGGAGGTTGGGGTTTTATTAGCTCTCCTTTTTTTTCCAGGATTTGTCCTGGAAGTGTATTTAAGGGGGAAGTAAATCGAAATCACATGGCTAAGGAAGGTTAATGCAACGTAAGTTTGGCTAGCCATGCTTCTGCCATTCACGCGCTTAAAATATATGCAGATTAAAAGTGTCCAGAGAGCTGATCATGTAACCCTAAAGCGGAGTGGAGACGGTTTTTAATTACTAGCCAGATTCTTGCTCTTAATTATGTTTCTATCGTACTGCATTTAACCTATATGGAAAACGAATGAAGCAAAAAAAAAGAGAAAAGCAAGGAAAAAAAAGCTGTATTTTTTGTGTGTTCGAACTAATATAGGTATTTATTTGAAAATAAATGGTTTTTAACTCTTAGCGTGTTTTTTAAATAGCGGCGTGCTTTTACGTTTTAATTTATTCTGAATTGTTGCTGAGCTATGAAATGTGTGGGTTGCCTGTCGACCAGAAGTCTTGAAATTGTCAGCTGCAAAGGCTGGCAAGATTATTTGAGCCCAGCGTGCTACAAACTGGATCCAAACTGTAAAAGTAGATTAATATCTTTTGACAGGCTGGTCTCGATTTACAGCAATTCATTTAGGGACCATTCAAAGTTACAACGGCGCTGAAAAAAAAGAACGTGTGACCGTTTTTGACACTTAATGACCGTTGGAGCCTCCTCAGGGACAGGATCAAAATTCAGACGCACGGCAACGTGACTTGTATTTATGACGGTCGCCGTGTCCCAGCTGGATCATATGATCCTCTTTTGCGGACTTCCGACAAGGGAAGTCGACCGGGGAAGCCAGATTCATGTAACAACTAAGTTAGCAGTGATTCACTTCACAACTGTGGCAAGAAAAGTCGTAAAGTGGGGCGAGATTCACCTAACAGCCGTCTCGCTTAGCAACAAAACATTTGGGGCTCCATTGTCGTAAAGTGAGGACCGCCTGTGTTTACGCATAAGCAGGAAGAGGCACCCCAGGGATAGAAACCTAAAAAAAATCACTTTATATGCAGTTGAAACATATTGAGTTTAGAATGAGTTCTTTCATTAATCAGCATCCTTTGATATGTCTCTGACGAAGCGCACATGTGCTCCATAACATTACGTGTGCCATGTAACACTTCATAGCATCCCACGACATCCTTAGTATGATCTAGTTATGGGGTAGGCAACCTTGGCTCTTTTATACTGGTGGACTTCAACTCCCAGAATTCCTGAGCCAGCCATGCTGAGGAGAAACAGAGAGGTTTCCAAGCTGAGCCATGTTGGGTCAGGAATTCTGGGAGTTGAAGTCCACGAGTCATAAAAGAGGCAAGGTGGCCTACTCCTGATCTAGTTAATGCTCACTCTCATATTCGGAAAGCGTGGCATTCACACTGTAATGAGATATAAAGGAGTTTGCAGGTTACTAACACAGGGGTCTCCAATCTGTGGTCCGTGACCCACTATCGGTCCATAGCCTGCTGGTCACCAGTCTGCGGAACAGGCTGACCAGTGTGTGCGCACTCGCCCCCACTCATGCTAGTGCAACCGCGGCTATGCAAACGGGACGAAAACAGGATGGTACTAGTGCCCGTGCAGCAAAAACGGGAGCTGCGAGCGAGTGTGCTACCCGGGTGCTATCACCGCCCTGTTTGTGTCGCGCGGGCTCGCCGTCCCACTTCCGTGTGCGCGTCTGCACAGAAAATGCTTCCCCTTGCCTTTCCCTCCGGTCCGCCAACTGAGAAAGGTTGGAGACCTCTGTCCTAGAGTTCAAATCTACGCCCAGGTAATCCTCAACTCATAACAATTCATTTCGCGACTGCTCAAAGTTACGACGGCATGGTTACTTCAACTCCCAGAATTCCTCCGGCAGGAGTTTTCAGCCCAGCCTGCTTCAGAGGGCAGCGTGACGTTTAAAATCAGCTGTCGTATTTTTTAAGGGGGCTTTGGCAAGTGCCAGAAACAAGTCCTTGACTTACAGTCGTTCGTTTAGTGACCGTTCGGATTCGATGGTCATTGTAAGTTGAGGATTCCCTGTAACTTTGGCAAGTTTTTTTAGCCAGTTTTTAATCAGACTCTACATTCTGTGGGGAGCTTGCTTTGCTTTGTGACTTCAGAGAATTAGAACACATTAATAAAAGGAAGTCCCAGTTTCTGGAGTCAAAGAGGCTCCTCTCCGCGTCTGCCATCTGAACTTTTCACTTGTCATTCCGGCCACTTTTCATTCTTTGCCACACTATAAAATTCAGAATGGCGAGTCAGAATCCCAGCTGCATTTTATCAGAATGGCACTGGAGTTGCTGGGCTACCGAACCACAACTTTTGTGCAACTCTTTGTTAAAGCTGTTCCGTCTTTTGCAAGACGTTGCCTGTAAATGTCTAACTTCTACTTCCCTATTTTTATGATCACTGAACTAACAGCCATTTCTCAGAAATCTTACCCAAGAAAACTGCAGGGACATGTCCAGGCCGTCTTCAAGAACTGGAGGCACAATTTAATGGTCGTGTGATCCCCTGAAATGTTATAGGTTCTCCTGCTTGAGCAGGGGGCTGGACTAGAAGACCTCCAAGGTCCCTTCCAGCTTCTATTCTATTCTATTCTATTCTATTCTTTATTATTCTATTCTATTCTATTTTTCTATTATATTCTATTCTATTCTTTATTATTCTGTTCTGTTCTATTCTATTCTTTATTATTCTATTCTATTCTGTTCTGTTCTATTCTATTCTATTCTTTATTATTCTATTCTATTCTATTCTTTATTATTCTATTCTTTTCTATTCCATTCCATATTTTCTATTCTATTCTATTATTCTATTCTATTCTATTCTATTCTTTATTATTCTATTCTATTCTATTTTTCTATTCTATTCTATTCTTTATTATTCTATTCTGTTCTATTCTATTCTGTTCTATTCTATTCTTTATTATTCTATTCTATTTTCTATTCCATTCCATATATTCTATTCTATTATTCTCTTCTCTTCTCTTCTCTTCTCTTCTATTCTATTCTGTTCTATTCTATTCTATTCTTTATTATTCTATTCTATTTTTTATTCCCATATATTCTATTCTATTCTATTCTATCCTATCCTATCCTATCCTATCCTATCCCATCCCATCCCATCTCATCCCATCCCACTGCAGTGATTCACTTAACAACTGTGGCAAGACACTTAGCAACTGTCTCACTTAGCAACATACATTTTAGGCTCATTTGTGATCATAAATTGAGGACTACCTGTATATGTAATAATTATTAGATGTCTTATAGGAGAGCAATCTTGCCTGTTGAATTGAATTTTTGTTCGAGGCCCTGGCAAATGAAATTTTCTCTTGCAACAGCCTCAGCTGCGATGTCTTGTTTTTCTACGCACAATCCAAAGGCCCAACAGCTGCCCCTTCTCAAAATAAAGTAAAATTTTCCAGTGTAGCTGAAAGGGGGTGAAAAACACACACACAAAAAAGTTTTTTTCCCATGGTACAAAGTGTCTTTTGGATCTCCAGGATCGGGAGAAAATTGCCAACTTGGCGGACTTTAAAAAGGCTTCCTGGTCAACATAGTTCGACTTAATTTATTGCTTCAGTTTTTATAGCTGCCCAGCTCACATTTCCTGACCCTGGGCAGCTTACAATGAACACAAAACACAGTCCCAAAAATGTATAAAACCACCCTAACAAAGAATACGGAGCTCAAAGCAATCGAACGCCATAGATTTGAGGTGATGGGTTCTAGATTTCTCGGCTCAGGTTCCCAAAGATAAACAAACTCATTTAGGATTCCAGGAACAGATTTTTATTGAAATAAAGCTTTGGCAAAAGCTGGTGGTCTTAAACTCATGGAGATTAAGCCACACACACACAAAGCACATATTTATATCCTCTCACGAAGCTAGTCCCCACCCCACCACCCCTATTGAACTCAACAGCCCACCTGCTCATCCCGATCAGCTAATCCGAATCGCCTAAACAGAATATATTTCAGTTCAGCCCCTCCCAAGAAAAAGCCCTTATATTTCATATACCCGTTCACCATGACATGTTGCTGACATTAGCCTTCTCTTTGTTTTTATATTTCCTTGAGCTAGTGGTTACTTCTAGCTTCCCACGGAAGCGACAGATTTCAAAGTAATTATCCTGCCCTGTGTCAAAGCCCTGACTTCTAAAAGCCATTTGGCCATTATTCATTAAAATAGATGGATTTGTATGTCCTTATCGCCCACCTTACAAAGAATAGTGTTAAACAATTTTCTGATATTATTTGATCTCTTACAGTTTCTTCCTAATTGCCTATGTGAAAATGAAAAGGAAGACTTTGACCCATCAGTTCTCAACCTTGGCAACTTTAAGCTAGGTGGACTTCAACTCCCAGAATGGACTTCAACTCCCAGACTTCAACTTTAAGCTAGGTGGACTTCAACTCCCAGAATGCCCCAGCCAGCTATGCTGGCTAGGGCATTCTGGGAGTTGAGGTCCACGTAACTCAGTGGTTCTCAACCTGTGGGTCAAGACCCCATTTGGGGTCGAACGACCATTTCACGGGGGTCGCCAAACAACACAGTCCGCCATTTTCCCCCCCTTTTCCTTAGCTGTGCTACTCCCTTTTATTCTATTGGCTTTTGAAAGCCCACAGAATAGACTCTCTTGAATAGAGTCTAATTTGATTGGCTTTCCAAAGCCAATAGGAATTGTCCAGGCTGTCTCTGCCCTGCTGAGCCCCCCCATTCTGCAAACGGTGCTGCACCAGTTGAGTAGTCCTTGACTTACGACCGGCTGAGTAGTCCTCGATTTACGACCGGTTGGGGGTCGCGGCATTAAAAAGGTTGAGGACCACTGACCTAACTTAACGTAGCCAAGGTTGAAAAATAAGCACTCTGGCCTTGTGGTAGAGTCCGCCTTCTTGCACAGAGCCAATTTAAGGCAACAAACCAGCTTTGCAGGCCAGCATGCTTGGGAGAGGGAGATTAGCTTTGGAAAATCCCCTTGGATTTTGGAGCTGAGCCTGCCTCGCAGGATTGTCGTTATGGGGAGAACTGCAGGGAGAGCCTGCCGTGCAAGGAATCTTGGGTTTTGGAAAGGAAGGCAGACAGAAACCAAATAAAATGAAAAACAAGGAGCCACGTTGGGGATGAACTCAGTCCCTAAATCCCATGAGCCTCAGACACGCGGGACTACAACTCCCATCAACGCCTAGGAGACCAGCAAGAAGGCGGAAGCCCGGCTGGTGCTATCCCTCACACAACCACCAGGGGCCGCTGACGCTCAAGCGGAGGACGGGAGAGTCCCTTTCCCTAAACCGGAAGTGACGATCCCGGTGGGGAGTAAGGCGAGGCGAGTCTCCATGGCAACAGAGCGGAAGTTTAGCTGCGGGAGGAGCGGAGGTCCGGGATGAGTCCCGAAGGGGAGGCCTGTTCGAAAGTAGCTCGCCCTTCCGTGTGGGGAGAAGCGGGGCGGAGGAGAGAGGGGAGCGGCAGGGCGTAAGCCCCTTTTGGGCGTAAAGCTGTCAAAAGGGGTGTGTCGCACGGTGAAGGCCCGGCGCCATTTTGGGAGGGCGGAGCTGCCGCCGGTGCAGGTGGAGCGCAAAGAAGGCGGGAGTAGGAGAGGCGGGTGCTTAGGGGCGGGGCCTCCGCTGAGTGGTTGGACAACAAAGAAGGCGGGATCGGGGGCGTGCCCCGGCGTAGGGACGGGCGCTCTAAGAGGCGTGGCCTCAACCGGGGCGGGGCCACAGCGGAGTGGAGCGCCAAAAAGGCGTGGCTTCGGCCTGTGCGGCCTTTACAGGAAGAGAGAGGATTGCGGCGGGCGATGTAGAGGCGGGGCCTCCGCTGGGGGCGGGGGGAAAATTGAGCGCTTACAAGGCGGGGCTGAAGGCCAGGTTGGCGCGCAAAGAAGGCGGGACAGTGGCCTAGGGGGCGGGACTTCAGGGGGCGCGGCCTGCACTGAGAGGCTGGGCGTCGGCAACGTAGAAGAATCGCGTGCGAAGGAGAAGAAGGCGGGGATTGGGCGGGACTTGAAGGGGGCGGCGGACGCGCGCGAGAAAGGCGCGGTTTCGGTGGGCCGGGACTGGAGCGCCAATAGGGAATGGGTCCGGCGGTAGAGGGGGCGTGCCTTCGGGGTGGGCGTGGCCCGAGCTGTCAGAAGCAGCGCCCGGCCGCCTCGGCTGTCAGTCTGTCCTCCGCTTCGCAGCGAGGCGGTTCTTCTATGGGCGACGAGCGGGCGGCCGAGGAAGTAGCCGCCGCCACCGCCGCCGTCTCCCTGCGGGTTGTGGCCGCGGCCGCTTGGCACGTAGTCCGCGGCCGCCGCTTCTCGGACTTCCCGCGCGTCCTGACCTTCCTGGAGAGCGTGGCGGAGGCGGCGCCCGAGCTGGTGCCCTTCCAGCATCTGGCCAAGCTGCGCCTGGGTCTGCAGGCCAAGGTGGGTGAGCTTCCCGATCTGGACCGAGCAAAGCTCCTCGGGGAAGGGGATGATGGGCACTGGAGGGAGTGATGGGTCCGTGACCCGCTTGTGCCCCGTTTGGGGAGGGGTCACTTAACCAGGTTTGGGAAGCAATGAATGGGGTCTTTCTCCATCTGAGCTACTTTGAAGCCTGCTGGACTTCAACTCCCAGAATTCCCCAGCCAGCACAGCTGGCTGGGGAATTCTGGGAGTTGAAGTCCAGCAGGCTTCAAAGTAGCCCAGATGAAGCAAACGGGGCTAGAGAAACAGCATCTGCCCCAGCGTTGCACTGCCTTCGTTTTGAGTTTAGTGGGGAGCCGGTTGGAGACTTTTATTTATTAATTAATTTTATGAATGAAAAAAAAAAATACCCTCGGGTGGTTTTTAGGCAGAATCGTCCTCCACGGGCCCCCTCTCGCTTTGTCTTTTTTTGCCCAGATTGTCATGAACCTGCTGCAGGAAGATCAGCCCCCCGGGAAAATCTACGATGCTGTGGACAGCTACTTTCCAGAGAACGAGACTCCGCCCAGCCACGCCAAAGCAGTCAGTCTCCCCTTGTCTTTGTAGCAAGGGTCCTACTCTTTGTGGACAGCTCCATTCCCCTGGGCCTTAAGGAGATTCCGTCTCTCTGACCCCCCCCCCCTTTCTCTCTGATTTATTTATTTTTTTTCATCCATAGACGGCTGAGGACCTGAAGATGGTACGAACAGCCCAAGAAAACTTCAGAATCCTGGTACTGAGGTTGCTGAGTGACTGTATCAAGAGGGAAATCTATGTGCAGGTAAGGCTGGGAGGACATGGGTATCTACAGAAGGCTGAACCCCTTATCTGTCTGTCTATCTATCTTATCTAATCTATTTATCCAACCATCCATCTATCTATTCACCCATCCATTTATCCTTCCATCCATCAACCCATCCATTCATCCATCCAACCATCCATCTATCTATTCATCTTTCCCACCCCCTATCTATCTATCATCTGTCATCTATATCACTTCTTTTCTGTTTCTCTATATCATCTCTGTCTCCCGCTCTTTCTATCTATACCAGCGATTCTCAACCTGTGGGTCCCGACCACCATTTTTTTTCAGCTGGCGGCACCGCGCATGCGCGCCACGCCGCACATGCGCACCGCGCATGGGGACGCCGCCGCGCATGCGCGGCGCATCCTTATGACCAGGGTCGCCAGGAAAAAAAAGGTTGAGAACCACTGATCTATACCTATCATCTATATCACTTCTCTATTTCTCTATATCATCTGTCTCCCTCTTTATCTCTTGCTTTCTTCTCTTTATCTATTTTTATGTAATCTATCATCTATATCACTTCTCTATTTCTCTATATCATCTCTGTCTCCCTCTCTCTCTTGCTTTCTTCTCTTTTTCTATCTATATCTATTTAATCTATCATCTATATCACTATTTCTCTATATCATCTCTGTCTCTCTATCTCTTGTTCTCTTTCTCTTCCTCTCTCTCTCTTTCTCTCTCGCTCCCTCCCTCCCTACTGCCTATCTCTTTTCTCTCTCCCATCCCCTTCCCCCCCTCTGTCCTCCTCCACCTCTCCCTCTGTCTAATTTTTACTGAGATTATCAACATAGAAGTGAAACGGAAAAAAACAAGAAAAGGTGTTATCTTCCCGCTCTTTTCAGTCCAGTACCACCCAGCTAAGAAACTCGCAGCCTCAGCTTTTTACTTTTGCCCAGTTAGTCTAGAACAGGGGTAGGCAGCCTTGGCTCTTTTATGACTCGCGGACTTCAACTCCCAGAATTCCTGAGCCAGCCATGCTGAGGGGACAGGGAGAGGTTTCCAATCTGAGCCGTGCTGGCTCAGGAATTCTGGGAGTTGAAGTCCACGAGTCATGAAGGGGCCATAGTTCCCTCACACTGACTGAGGAATTCTGGGAGTTGAAGGTCCACAAGTCATCAAAGGGTCATAGTTTCCTCACGCTGGCTGAGGAATTCTGGGAGTTGAACTCCACAAGTCCTCAAAGGGTCATAGTTCCCTCACGCTGGCTGAGGAATTCTGGGAGTTGAAGTCCACAAGTCAGGTCCTAGTTCCCTCATGCTGGCTGAGGAATTCTGGGACTTGAAGTCCACAAGTCATAAAAAGGTCCTAGTTCCCTCACGCTGGCTGAGGGATTCTGGGAGTTGAAGTCCACAATTCATAAAGGGTCATAGTTCCCTCACGCTGGCTGAGGAATTCTGGGAGTTGAAGTCCACAAGTCATCAAAGGTCATAGTTCCCTCACGCTGGCTGAGGGATTCTGGGAGTTGAAGTGAGGAGTTCCCTCATTCTGGGAAGTTGTCATAAGTTCCCTCACGCTGGCTGAGGGATTCTGGGAGTTGAAGTCCACTCAAAGGGTCATAGTTCCCTCACGCTGGCTGAGGAATTCTGGGAGTTGAAGTCCACGAGTCATACAAGAGCCCAGGTGGCTTACCCCTGGTCTAGAACCACTTTCGATAGCAACAAACCTATCTCATCTCCAAATCCCAAAAGTCAGAATTTCATTTTTTGTTTCCTACTGTCTCGAGCCCAAAACCTACAAGCAGTTTGCATCCAGACAAAGCTGGATGTGTTCTTTTCTTGGATGAGAGCAATGCATTTCAGCCATCGCCACTACTGCCGTCGGTTTTCCCAGCCATTCTGCCATCAACAGGGAAACCTTGAGCCACACCGAGGGAAAAGAGGTCACAGCAAAGGAACCGGTTGCCTCTTTTGCCAGACGGGGTGAATTGAGCACCCCAGCTTCAAAGGGCAAATTTGAAGATGACAGAGCCTGCTTCGGGGCCTGGACAGGTGTTTGGCTTTCAATTATAAAGCCCAGTGCGTTGGGCATCCCTTTAGGCCTTATACAGACCGAACAGCCATTTGAACTAATATAGGACAGGTTCTCCTGCTGGAGCAGGGGGCTGGACTAGATGACCCACAAAGTCTCTTCCAATTCTGTTATTCCTCCTCCTCCTTTTCAAAAAGAGAATGGACAGCCATTTGTCTGAAATGGTATAGGGTCTCCCGCTTGAGCAGGAGGTTGGACTAGATGGCCTCCAAGGTCCCTTCCAACTCTGTCCGTCTATCCTATTCTAAACCCCAAGATCAGGGGTAGGCCACCTTGGCTCTTTTATGACTCGTGGACTTCAACTCCCAGAATTCCTGAGCCAGCCTGGCTCAGCTTGGAAACCTCTCCCTTTCCCCTCAGTGTGGCTGGCTCAGGAATTCTGGGAGTTGAAGTCCACCAGCCATGAAGGGGCCATAGTTCCCCCATGATGGCTCAGGAATTCTGGGAGTTGAAGTCCACGAGTCATGAGGGGGCCAAAGTTTCCCTCATGCTGGCTCAGGAATTCTGGGAGTTGAAGTCCATGAGTCATGAAGAGGCCATAGTTCCCCCATGCTCGCTCAGGAATTCTGGGAGTTGAAGTCCACCAGTCATAAAAGAGCCAAGTTTGAAGACCCCTCAGAGGAACATATGAAAGCATAATTAATGTTAATTAATGTAGACTTTATTAGTTTAGAGCAGGGGTAGGCAACCTTGGCTCTTTTATGACTCGTGGACTTCAACTCCCAGAATTTCTGAGCCAGCATGAGGGAAACTATGGCCCCTTCATGACTCGTGGACTTCAACTCCCAGAATTCCTGAGCCAGCATGAGGGAAACTTTGGCCACTTCATGACTCGTGGACTTCAACTCCCAGAATTCCTGAGCCAGCATGGGGGAAACTATGGCCCCTTCATGACTCGTGGACTTCAACTCCCAGAATTCCTCAGCCAGACTTTATGACTTGAAGTTCATGAGTCATAAAAGAGCCGCGGTTGCCTACCCCTGGTATAGGGTCTCCTACATGAGCAGGGGCTTGGACTAGATGACCTCCAGGGTCCCTTCCAACTCTGTTATTCTGTTATTCTTCCTCTTCCTCCTTTTCAAGACGAGACTGGACAGCCCCTTGTCTGAAATGGTGTAGGGTCTCCTGCTTGAGCAGGGGGTCGGACTAGACGACCTCCAAGGTCCCTTCCAACGCTGGTCTTCTGTATTCAGTAAAGACTGTCCTGTTGTTTGTTTAATTTTTTTTTTGTGGCTTTTAGGAATACCTGGAAACGGATTACGGGGAAGCCTTTGTGAAAGTGGTGGAGGAACTCTTCTGCGATTACCTCTGCCAGCTGGAACACATTCTCCCGGAGCCCAAATTCCAGCAGGTACGAAGGGGGGGGGGGGTAAAAGAGCCAGAAAGATAGCTGATGGGGGGAGAGGGAAAAGAAACGGCACTTGGGGCAGTGGCATTGCTGCTTTGTGGTAGGGCTGGATGAATTACAGGCCGTCCTCAACTTACAGCCGCCATGGAACGCCACGTTTACGTTGCTAAGTGGAAGCATTGGTTCGGTCAGTTTTGCCCCATTTTACAACCTTTCTTCCCTCCATTGTTAAGTGAATCGCTGTCAGTTGTTGAGTTAGGAACGTGGTGGTTACCAGGAGACTGGGAATTCCAGTGCCTCCTTAGCCATGAAAGCTGGCTGGGTGACTTTGGGCCAATCAGCAGGAGGCGGTGAGTTCTAGTCCCGCCTTAGCCATGAAAGCCAGCTGGGTGATTTTGGCCAATCATCAGGACATGGTGAGTTCTAGTCCCGCCTTAGGCATGAAAGCCAGCTGGGTGACTTTCGGCCAATCAGCAGGAGGCAGTGAGTTCTAGTCCCGCCTTAGTCACGAAAGCCAGCTGGGTGACTTTGGCCAATCATCAGGAGATGGTGAGTTCTAGTCCCGCCTTAGCCACGAAAGCCAACTGGGTGACTTTGGGCCAATCATCAGGAGGCAGTGAGTTCTAGTCCTGCCTTAGGCATGAAAGCCAGCTGGGTGACTTTGGCCAATCACCTGGAGACGGTGAGTTCTAGTCCCACCTTAGGCACAAAAGCCAGCTGGGCCTGTCCTTGCCTCTCAGCCCAACCTACCTCACAGGGTGGTTGTCCTGCAGCAAACAGGAGGAGAAAAGCCTGCTAAAATACGTTGACCGCTAAATACGTTGAGTTATTTGTTAAAAGAGTAACGGCGAGATACAAGCCAAAATAAAAACCGGCCCTGCAGATCACACGCAATTCTGGGCTTCCCCACACAAGGGCAGAGTGTGTGTGTGTGTGTGTGTGTATTTGTGTGTGCTGTACCTTGGGGGGGGGGCAGAATATTCCACGGGGCTGCACCTGTCGGCGTGCTTTAACCGGCGGGATCCACAGCGTCCTTTCCTTGCCAGACTGGGTGGGCTTGGATGGGGAAACGGGGGCGGGGGGAAAATTCCTCTTCTCTCCCTTTCCTTCCCAGCTGTTGGAGGCTGCCAGCCTCCAGACCCCCCACCAGCTTTCCCAACCCAGCATGACCATCCTAAACCAGTACTTCACCGCTGTGGGATACCAGCCTGCAGGTAAGTCTTTACGGGAGCCCCAGGGTGGGGTGGGGGGTCTTCTGTGGCCCCTTAACCTGCTCCCTCTCCTCTAGGTTGTGCTGAGGCCCCCTCCACCCCTCCCCATCTGTCAAGCACCCCACGCCAGAGCGAGGACGAGGACCCCCCCTCGCCGCCTTTGACCCCACAGCCGGGCAGGAGCCGAAGAGAAGATTCCCCTATCTGCCTCTCAGAAGGGTAAGCATCAGCCTGGACAGGTGGTCCTCGGCTTACGACCAAACTCGGTTGCTAAGCGAGACAAGTTTTCTCCCCCTTTTGCGACCTTTTTTTGCCCCAGTTCTTAAGGGAACCCTGGGAGTTTTTGAGCGAATTTGGTTTTCCCCATTGATTTTGTCTTGTTGGGAGATTGCGAAAAGGGGATCACACACACACACACACACACACACTCACACACACACACCCCAGGACGCTGCAGCTGTCACAAATACGAGTCGTTTTGCCAGGCGTCCAGATTTTGATCCCGTAAACCAGGAGGATGCTGTGAAAAAGGATCACAAGTCCCATATTGTAACTTCAAACAGTCGTTAAAGGAACGGTTGTAAGTTCAGGACAACCTGTAACACGGTCGTTAAGTGGATCCAGCTTCCCCCATTGAGTCCGCTCGTCAGAGGGTCACAAAAAGGGGATCGCCTGACACACACACCCCGGGACGCCGCGACCATCATAAATACGAGTCGGTTGCCGAGTGTCCGGAGTTTGATCGCGTGACCGTGCGGGGATGCTGTGACGGTTGTGTGAAAAAGGAGTCCCTTTTTTCAGTGCCATTGTAACTTTGAATGGTGACTGAAGCAACGGTCATAAGCCGAGGACTTCCCTTTGTTGTATTTCTCTTTCCCAATCTTGCCGCTTTTAAATAGCTGACCGTATCCCCTTTGTTATCTTCAGGGAATTGCACAGACTGTCCTCAATCAACTCGGAAACGGGTAGGTTTCAAGATCTCTCTCTTTTAACAACCCTGCAGAGTTAACACAGATGTACAAATCCAGTCCCACCTGAGGTGGTTGTTAAGTGAGTCACTGCAGTTCATTGAGTCGCTGTTGTTAAATGAATCAGGCTTCCCCCCTGACTTTTTGCTTGCCAGGCGGTCGCCAAAGAGGACCCCGGGATGCTGCCACCGTCATAAATACCAGTCAGTTGGCTCTTTGAGCCTTCTCCTGCGGCTTCCAGCCTCCTCCGCCATCAGCAGAGACAGACAGAGAGAGGCACTTGCAATTCCCTTCTCTCTCTCTCTCTCTCTCTCTCTCTCTCTCTCTCTCTCTCTGTATGTGTAAAAAAGAGAGTGGCCTCACACTGTTCTCGGACAAGCTGACAAGCTTATTGGGCGGGGCTCCTGCCTTTGCTGCGTCTCAGCAGGAAGCAGCAGAAAGCAACAGCTCTCTCTTTCCTCCCTCTCTCTCTCCTTCTCTCTCCATATCTCTCTCTCTCTCTCTCACTCTCTCTCTCTCTCTCACACACACACACACACACACACAGAGTGGGGGAAGAGGACTGGCAGAGCAAGGGCAGGAGAGAGCCAGCCCAATAAGAATGAGCTTGTGTGAGCTTGTCGGAGAACAGCGTGAAGCCAGCTTGCCAGGTGAGCAGATCAGAGAGAGAGAGAGAGAGAGAGAACTCATGCACAGCTGCCTCTATTTCTTTTTCATTAAACTCTTCAATCAAGCGCCCTCCCTCTCGCGCGCATACGCACGGACGCACCCAAGATTTGCAGGTCCCAGTCTTTTCTCTGGGAAACGGGTCCAAGTGGCTCTTTGATTGTTTGAGGTTGCCGACCCCTGGCCTAGAAGAAGCAAAACCACCTCCGGTTTTCCCCCTCGAAAGCTTGCTTATTAAACAACAGATTCCCTCGCCCCCACCCCACTGGGTGTTCACCACGTCCTGTAGTAATACTTCTTGCTACGGGGACTGTCCACCTCTCCATCGAGCGCCCTGCGTTAGTGACCTTGGTGTTCCTGCAGGCTTTCAAAAGACGCCCCTGCTGGCTGGGGAATTCTGGGAGTTGAAGTCCGCGCATCTTCCACGTTGCTACGGTTCAGAAACACTTGATTTAGACGCTAACCCTGGGTAAAGGCTTGGAAATAAATCTCTTGTTGTTGTTGTTTCTTTCTGTGGATGCAGCTGAAGATCTGGTGCCAGATTCAGAAAGCGAAAGAACCACCTCCCCTTTGAAGGTGAGGAAGAAGCTGAGCGATGGTTGGGTAGCAGGCGGGATTAAGACCAAGAGGATGAACAGAGGAGCAGAACACTCTTAGCTTACCTGCTGAAGGCCTGGACTGCTTGGCGTTAAAGCCAGGGTAACCCCTTTAGAATGTGGGGGTCCTTGGTGCTCTCTGAGCTTGGTTCTTTTCTTGCGGACGTTTCATGACCCAACTAGGTAACATCATCAGTGCTAGAAGGGAGGAGGGGTTTGTAGAATAGAGGAGGATTGTGGGGTCCTTGGTGCTCTCTGAGCTTGGCTGTTTAAAGAGTCAGCATATTGCCCCCCCCCCCTCCAAATAATCTGGGTCCTCATTTTACCAACTTTGGAATGCTGGGTCAGGACTGAACTGCTGGCAGTCGGCAGAGTTAGCCTGCAATACTGAATTCTAACCACTGGGAAGGGGAGGGGAGGAAGGAAATGGAATGAGAAGGAAGGAAGGAAGTGGAATGGGAAGGAAGGAAGGAGATGGAATGAGAAGGAGGAAAGAAGGAAACGAGAAAGAAGGAAAAACAGGCAGGAAGGAAACGAAGGAAGGAGAAAGAAAAAGAATGAAAAGGAGGAAGGAAAGGAGCAAAAGCACACACACTTATACACCGCTTCACAATGCTTCACAGCCCCCTCTAAGCGGTTTACAGAGTCAGTCTCTTCTTCCCTCCCCCCCCCCAACAACCTGAATCCTCAGGATGGGAAGGCTGAGTCCACCCCAAGCCAGTCAGCATCGAACTGCTGGCAGTGGGGCAGAGCCTGCAACCCTGTACTTTAATCACTGCGCCACACTGAGGCCGGATGCTCAAGTGTTCCTCCCTTTTCCCTCCACCCCCCCACCCCACCAGGGCGAATACCAGACCACCCGTCATCGCACCCTCATCCCCACTTTTCAGGAGCACCTCAGGGACAGCAGCAGCCCGTGAGTGACCCCTGCATACCTTTCAAAATTGCTTAACTTGAGACAACGCGCAATCTGGACGTTTCCGGCCAGGCGGTTCCTTGGCTTCCGCCACGTTTGCCCTGATGTGAGGGAGGGGAATCGACAGTCTCTCCTCCACTTCCGACCGCCGTTGAGCCCGTCTTTTCCGTCGCAAAGCGAGACCGTTCCTCTGTGAGCTCGGCCCCGTTTTGCGACCGTCCTCGCTGCACAGGGGCGCTAAGGGCATCACGGCGGTTGTTAAAATCAGCCGCCTGGTTAAGCAAATCTGGCTTCCCCGTTGCCCGTCGCTTGTCCGAAGGTCGCAAAAAGGGGGATCGCGGGAACGCCGGGATGCTGCGACCGTCATAAATACAAGTCGGTTGCACAAGCGTCTGAATTTGGATCGTGCAACCGCAGGGATGCTGCAACGGTAGTTAAGCGTGAAAAATTTAACTGGCAGCATCCCTGCAGTCGCGCAATCCAAATTTAGACGCTTGTGCAACTGACTCATATTTATGACGATCGCAGCGCAGCTATAACTGTTGTGATTCCTCGCCAGCCAGTGGATCCGGCAGTTGAGTCTGAGGAATCAGAGGATGAGGAGGGGCCTGGAGTGACATCAGAGTCAGAGGAAGGCTCTGAGGAGCTCCAGGACTTACAGTCGGACGAGGAGCCTGGCCCTTCTACTCGCTGAGACACAGCTGTGCTGGGAGCCTGAGTTGGACAGTGATGAAGAACAGCTGGGACAAATCACGGATGCACGAAGGCACAGGCAGGAGAAGCGAGTAGGACAGAGGAATGCAATGGGGTGCCTCCAAAGGCAAAGGAGAAGGCGTTAGGAAGCCATGCCTTGGCTGAATATTAAAAGGGAAGGCGTGGGAGGTGCTGGTTGCCAAAGACAACCGTTTGTGTTGGGGATCAAGTTTCTGTGAACTGTGTTTGTTTGCCTTGGACACTGACTCAGGTCTGTGAATAATAAAAGGGGATTGTTTTTTTCCTGCGGTTCCAGCCTGCTCGTTGGAAGAAAGGTTTTTCCTTGTGAGTTTAACAAGGACTCGTGTAGGCTGGGACAAAACAATCACTTTGAACACTCACTAAACCAGTGGTTCTCAACCTTTTTAATGCCGTGACCAACTGGTCATAAGTCGAGGACTACCCAACCGGTCATAAGTCGAGGACTTTCCCTGCCCGGGAGTGCTGTGCATGCGTGGTGCCGCCCCCTTGCGCCGGCTGAGGCGTAGCTGGCAAGGGGCAGCGACAGCGCAGGGCGACCACCGGCTGGGCCACCAGCTGGCCCAGCCCAAGGGAGATAAGGCACCCGCCGGGCCCCATGCGCGCCAGCAACCCTCCCTGCGCCCACCGGCCTCCCACCTCCCACCCCTGGCCCTCTTTTACTTATATTTTTAGTAGTTGCTCAGCAGGGAGGAGTGGAAGCTTCCAGACAGCTCGCCTTCGCTGCGTTTGCAGAATGGGGCTTTTGGCGGGCTCAGCAGGGCAGAGGCAGCCTGGACAATTCCTATTGGCTTTTGAAAGCCAATAGAAGTAGACTCTATTCAAGAGAGTCTATTCTAATTGGCTTTCAAAAGCCAATAGAATAAAAGGGAGCAGCACAGCTAAGGAAAAGGGGGAAAAAATGGCGGACTGCGTTGTTTGGCGACCCCCGTGAAATGGTCGTTCGACCCCAAATGGGGTCCCGACCCACAGGTTGAGAACCGCTGCACTAAATGGACTGCCATTAAGTCGAGGACTACCTCTATTTAAGTCGAAGGCCACCACAGCTGCAGTGTCCCACAATGGAGAACACTGGCATGAGGGGGACGGGGGCAAAGATTTACCTGCCGTTGTTTCCGGGCGCTCCTGAAACTGAGGAGGGAACGATTGCTCGCCAGTTCAGCGCCCGTTAACAACAAAGGGTGCCTGGGAAGACTAGTTTGGGGACAAGGATAGGCCCCGACAGTGGCTCGTCCCGCCTCATTTTAACATTTCAGCTTTTTAAAAAAAATTTCCTTCAAGGTTGAATAGTTCTCCGTTGTGATTGAACATCTCCGGCTGTCCCTCCGATAGAGACTTCCGAAGCCCAGCATTCGCCGGCGATTTTAGAACTTTATTCAGAAAACACGATAAAAAACTTGGACTTGGTTTCATCTGGAGGACGGAAGAGGAGTAGACGGCAGAGTGCGTTTTGTCTACGGCCGAGGCGGCGCGTCGAACGGCTCGCGTGTTTTGCGAGTTTGTCTCAGGAACGTGAAGGGCGGGACCCTGAGTGGTTGAGGCACCTTTGGGAACTGGAATGTTAGAAAGCCTTGGAAAAATAAAAGTGTTTGCAAATGCCTTTCTCGGAGGGGTCCTGGGGGGGGGGGCGGGGAACTCTCTGAGCTGGGTCAGATGTTTCGTGACCCAACGAGGGAATGTCATCAGTGCTACAAGGGAGGAGGAAGAGGACTGTGGGGTCCTTGGTACTCTCTGAGCCTGGCTGTTTTCTTGCAGATGTCTCATGACCCAACTAGGGAACATCATCAGTGTTAGAAGGGAGTGAGGTTTGCAGAGAGGAGGAGGAGGAAGAGGACTGTGGGGTCCTTGATGCTCTCTGAGCTTGGTTGTTTTCTTGTAGACGTTTCATGACCTAACTAGGTAACATCATCTATGTTAGGAGTGGGGTTTGTGGAGACGAGGAGGAGGACTGATGGGTCCTTGGTGGTCTCTGAGCTGGGTTGCTTTCTTGCAGACGTTTCATGACCCAACTAGGGAACGTCATCAGTGCTAGACGGCAGTGGGGTTTGCAGAGAGGAGGAGGGAACGATAGGAGGAGGAAGAGGAGAAGTGTGGGATCCTTGGTGGTCTCTGAGCTGGGCGGTTTTCTTGCAGACGTTTCATGACCTAACTAGGGAACATTATCAGTGTAGGAGGGAGTTGGTTTTGCATGGAAGAGGAGGAGGACTGTGGGGTCCCTGATGCTCTCTGAGCTTGGAGGTTTTCTTGCAGACGTTTCATGACCTAACTAGGTAACATCATCTATGTTAGGAGTGGGGTTTGTGGAGAGGAAGAGGAGGACTGTGGGGTCCCTGGTGCTCTCTGAGCTTGGTGGCTTTTCTTGCAGACGTTTCATGACCCAACTAGGGAACGTCATCAGTGCTATTGGCAGGGAGTGTCTTCCACGGAATGGGAAAGAGTGAAAAATTGAGGTTTGTCGCCCTCGGAACAAGAGGAAGAAGCAGCGCTGGCTTCTCCAGCCTGGAGGAATCGGCGTGCTTCTAAAGGAAAGCGCTATCCTGCCTGGCTTGGCGTTTGGGGATTAGCCGAGAGCTTTGATTTCCTCAGCAGCCCGGGGGGGGGGAGGAAGCAGGGCCCCCCTCAAGGCTGATCCTCCCCCCCAAAGATGGGGTTCACTTGCTGGGTGACGCGGATGAAGGTGGTCCGACGGCTGAGCTCCTTCAGCTTGGCGGCGCCCACGTAGGTGCAGGTGGAGCGGATCCCGCCCAGGATGTCCCTCAAGGTGTGCTCCACGTCCCCCTTGAAGGGCACCTCCACCACTTTGCCTTCGGAGGCCCTGCGGGGGGAAGAGTGAGGAGGGGGCGTTGCAAGGAAGGTCCTCCCCTGGCGGACCTCCCAGCTCCCTTCCAGCGCTGTGACTCTATGATCGGCTAGCTCTTTTAGGGCAGGGGTCTGCATGGCTGGCTGGGGAATTCTGGGAATTGAAGTCCACAATTCTTTTAAGTGGCCGAGATTGTAGATTCCTGGTCTAGGCTACCAGTGGGATCCAGGGTGAAAGTTCCTCCCTTTCTCCTTCCCATTTATATTTTTCTATTAACTCACATATATACATATATATATATACACATACATGTATATACGTATACACAAACATGCACATATATATATATATACATACACATATATACACACATATACATATATATCATGGGTGTCAAACTGCTGTCTCATGGGCCGGTTTCATTGTACTGAAGCCGTCCCACCCCATTGCCGGCACTGGCAAAACCGGCCCAATACGTGACATCGCGAGTTTGACATCCGATATACTTGTACACACACACACATATATGTGTGTGTGTATGTATATATGTATATATATATTGTGTGTGTGTGTGTGTGTGTGTGTATGTGTGTGTATGTGTGTGTGTATATATATATATATATAAATTTGATTTTGTTGACAAAGTTAAAGGGAGACTAGCATAGCTATTTCGAGCTATTTAGCTCTCATCGGCTAGCCATACCCTTCTGAGATTCAAACTTGGGCTGATTGCATGTTAGCTGATGAGAGCCAAATAGCTCAAAACAGCTATACTAGTCTCACTTTAACTCTTTGTCAGCAAAATCTAAATTTACAGAAATAGTTTATTGCAGTAGCGAGTTGAGCCTGCAAAACGCTCCTAGATTGGGGCTGAAAGGCAAAAGTAATCATAACAGTAGACCAGGTGCTCTATTAGACACTTACTATATATATATATGTATGTATGTATATATGTAGGTCTTCGTTGTTTGGGTTTTCTCCCGCGTAAGATTGGAAGTGTCTTGGCGACGTTTCGACGAAGTCCCATTCGTCATCTTCAGGCTGGTGTTTTCAGCTTCGTGCTTCGAGGAGCACGAAGCTGAAAACACCAGCCTGAAGATGATGAATGGGACTTTGTCGAAACGTCACCAAGATACTTCCAATTTTACGCGGGAGAAAACCCGAACAACCAAAGACCTACATACAAAAACCCGCGAAAACCTCAGAAAACAAATATGTGTGTGTGTGTGTGTGTGTGTGTGTATGTTTTCTGAGGTTTTCGCGGGTGTTTGTATGTAGGTCTTTGGTTGTTCGGGTTTTCTCCCGCGTAAAATTGGAAGTGTCTTGGCGACGTTTCGACAAAGTCTCATTCGTCATCTTCAGGCTGGTGCTTTCGGCTTTGTGCTTCTAGGAGCAATGTGTGATTGTAGCTGTTTCCTCCTTTTAACTGCCAGTGGGGATATGAACTGATTGGATGAGAGCTTGGCTGTGTTCTGATTGGATGGAGGTGTATTCTGATTGGTTAGGAGCTTGGCTGTGCTCTGATTGGCTGGGGAGTTGGCTGTGTTCTGATTGGCTGGGGAAGTGTTCTGTTTGGGTGGGGGCTTTGTTGTGCTCAGGTTAGTCTGAGTTGCAGGGGGGTTTAAAATGGTGAACTGCATTGCTATTTTTTGGCTTCGCGTTCGTGGTCGTGCCTCATCTTCATGGTGGTGTCAGTTTGCTTCATGTATGGATTGGAGGGGTTTAAAGTGGCTAATGATGCAGCTGTGGTCTGGCTTCTGGTTTGTGGTCGTGCCTTATCATCGGTGTGCCACTGAATAACCAAAGACCTACATACATATATATATACATACACACACACACACACAGAGAGAGATTGCACTGTGTGGAATGATTTTTTTATGAATTTTAGTTTTTTTTAGGTTTGTTTTTTTTTTTTTTTTTGGTAAACCTTAAAAGGAAAAGGGGCGTTGCAGGAAAGTCCTCCATTGGCAGACCTCCAAGGTCCCTTCCAGCCCAATGACTCTATGATGCTAGCTAGGGAATGCTGGGAGTTGAAGTCTGCAAGTCTTAAAGTGGCCGAGCTTGCAGACCCCTGATCTAGTCTTAGCCCCTGATCTGTGTCAAGATTCAAATTAAGCAGAGGGGAACTGCCTGGAAAACCCATCTCTTCGTCACTTGGGAATGGATCCTACTGTCTTACTCCTCCTATAATAGATTGGGAGAAGCAGGGATCCTTCCCAGGTGGAAATTCACCATGGTGGCGGAAGGGATGGTAATCCAATAGCACAACGATCCCATGGACCGTTTCCTGCTATCGCCGAGTGAGGGGCGCTACAGGAAAGTCCTCCGATGGCAGACCTCCAAGGTCCCTTCCAGCCCTTCTGACTCTATGATGCTGATTGGGGAATGCTGGGAGTTGAAGTCCGCAAATCTTAAAAGGGTAACCATTAACGTTAACCACTTCCGGTTTCCGTACCGATAGTCGGCTACTCCTCCGGTGTATTTCTTCATAGACACCTCGGAGCTCATGCCATAAAAAAGCTTGTATTTCTTGCCTTCCTTTTCAATCAGGTCCCCCCCAGATTCGGTGTGTCCAGCCAACATGCCTCCCACCATCACAAAGTCTGCACCGGCGCCTGTGGGACACAATTCAAATTATACAGGCAGAGCCAGCAGCTCTCCCGCCCAAGACGCAAAGATAGATGATAGATAGATGGATGGATGGATAGATAGATAGATAGATATAGACAGACAGACAGACAGACACAGATAGACATAGATGATGACAGATAGATACAGACATAGATAGATAGTTGATGTCAGAATCCAATTATATTTCATCTTTAATCATCAAATATAGAAAACTCCAATTCTGCCTTCTCTGGATTCTGCCATAAGAGGGAGAGAAGGGGGAGAACAAAGGGGCTTTATGGCCCTCACTTCCTTCAGTAGACTTCTAAGGAGCTGAATGTGTTTATTGCAACCTCAAAGAGTTTGAATGTAAATAGCACCAAAGAACCTTACCATAACAAAGGGGGCTATTTACCTTTCATGTAGTTTATCTGAAGTCTCCATCCAGACGGAAGAAAGGAACAAAGGGGTGGAATTGTGATGCCTGAAACTATCACTGGAAGGGGGGGTGATTGGGTGGGACTGCTGGGGAACCCCTTAAAACCTTGAATGGGAGAGCTTGGACCCCAAGTCCTGTCTAGCACGCCTGCAACCACTTCTTCTTAATAAAGGATTCCTGTTGGAAGAATTATTCCAAGAGTTCTGTCATCTTAAGATGCAAAGTGGGGTGGGTCCTTACAGATAGATAGATAGATAGATAGATAGATAGATAGATAGATAGATAGATAGATAGATAGATAGATAGAGACAGACAGACAGACAGACAGACAGACAGACACAGATAGATAGATAGACATAGATGATAGATACAGACACAGATAGATAGACAGACAGACAGACACAGATAGATAGACATAGATGATGATAGATAGATAGATACAGACATAGATAGATAGATGATAGAGTTAGATAGACAGAGACACAGATAGACATAGATGATAGATAGATAGATAGATAGACACATAGACAGACAGACAGATAGATAAATAGACATAGATGAGAGACAGACAGATAAATAGATATAGATAGATAGATAGATAGATAGATAGATAGATAGATAGATAGATAGATAGATAGACAGATAGACAGAGATAGAGATAGACACAGATGAGATAGAGATAGATAGATAGATATAGATAATAGAAATAGATAGATATACATATATAGATAGATACACATATATATACATACGTATACATATACATATACACAGGCAGTCCTCAACTTACAACAGTTCATTTAGTGACCGAAGTGACAACGGTGCTGAAAAAAAGGGACTTATGACCATTTTCCCACACGACCGTTGCAGCCTCCCCCACGGTCACGCGATCAAAATTCAGACGGTCGCAGCATCCCCGGGGGGGGGGGAAATTGTCACGTGATCCCCTCTTGGGACCTCCTGACAAGCAAAGTCCATGGGGAGGGAAGCCAGATTCACTTAACAACCGTGTTACCAAATTAACAACTGCAGTGGTTCCCTTAACAGTTGCGGCGAGAAAGGTCGTCCAACGGGGCAAAACTCGCCGTGTTTCCCCAAAAGGAAGGCCTACACCAACCATAAGCCCTAGCTTGATTTTGGGGGGGTGGGCCTAATATGAGGCCTACCCCAAGAATAAGCCCTAGTTTTGGGGCGAGGCACACACCTAAAAATCAAGCTAGGGTCGGGGTGGGGGGTAGGGGAGCCGCCCCGCACCCACTCAACTTGCAGCCAGGCCTCCTCGCCGGCCCACTTCTTCTGAGGCCTCTTTTACAGCCAGGCTTGCATTTTTCAGTCACGGGTCTTTCCAGAAGGCTTCTACAGCCGAGAATCGAGCGATGGGCTCAATCCGTGGCTCAGTTCTGCAAGAGATCTGCAGCCGAGCACCAAGCCATGGATTGAATCTATAGCTCGGTCGTCGGCTGCTTCGGCCTTCTGGAAAGGCCTAACTGCAAGACCCAGGCCCAAATACAGCTACAGAACTTCTGCCCCAGAAGAAGTGGACCGGCTGGGTGGTGCTGTCGTTGACGGAGGTAAGGTAAGGCCTACCCCCAAAATAAGACCTGGTGCCTCTTTTGGAGGCAAAATAAAATAATAATAAGACCCGGTCTTATTTTCGGGGTAACACGGTACTAACTGTCTTGCTTAGCAACGGAAATTTTGGGCTCAATTGTTGTAAGTCGAGGACTAACCCGTACAGGCTAGTTCTCACTTAACAACCATTCCTTTGGTGACCAAGGTTACAACAGTACGTGGGAAAAGTGGCTTAAAAACGGTCCTCGCGCTTACGACCGTCACGGCATTCCTACATCAAATTTGGGACGGCTGGCGACTGGTGTGGATTTACGACGGTTGCAGCATTCCAGGCTCACGTGATCCCCATTTGTGACCTTCCCAGCCGGCTTCCGACAAGCAATAGGGGATTCCAGATTCGCTTAACGACTCCCTGACTCACTTAAAAACGTTTTTAATCACCGTGGCAGGAAAGGTCATAAAATTGGGTGTGCTCGCTTAACTGCTCTGCTTAACGGAGGAAAGTATAGTCTCAATTGCTGTTGTAAGTCGAGGACTGCCTGTATTGCCCCAGCACTATCTCAGCACACCTAACCGGCAGAATATGGAAAACGGGGTTTTACCAAAAGCTTTGGCCACATCCCCTGGGCAATGGCAGCCTCCATCCTGCAGAAAAGAGAGCAGAAAGTTAAATCTCAGCCTGCCCGTATTTTATTTAAGCAGACATCAACTCATGCAAAGGGGTGCAAAGGAACAGGTAGAGCAAGATTCTAGTCCTCAAGGACAATATAAATATGAGCCAGACAAAGAGGAGGTTGAGTGAAGCAATGATTGCGCTGGACTTGTGAGAATTATACTGTTTGCCCAGATCAGGGGTAGGCAACCTTGGCTCTTTTATGCCTCGTGGACTTCAACTCCCAGAATTCCTGAGTCAGCATGGCTCAGCTTGGAAACCTCTCCCTTTCCCCTCAGTGTTGCTGACTCAGGAATTCTGAGAGTTGAAGTCCACGAGTCATAAAAGAGCCAAGGTTGCCTACCCCTGGCCCAGATCAACAAGGATTCTTAAACCGGCTTGTACGGCAACACAGAAGGAAACCCTGAAAATGATGTCAAAAGCCAAAGAAAGCCACTTGATTCCAATATAAACATGTGTTTTCCTTTATCCAACACCTTTATTCTATAAAACATTACTGAAGTCTCTGGTAACTTGTCCCCTTCCAGGAACACTACAAATCTCCAATCCGGGCAACTTGAAGACCCAGAATTCCCTAGCCAGCATACTCATTGTGGCCCTGCTTACTCTCTTATAATCCCTTCCTCTCCAATCTCCCCGCTTTAAGGGATAGGAGGAAAAAAAAAACAGGCATGGCTGGCTGGGGAATTCTGGGAATTGAAGTCCACTTACTCTCTTATAATCCCTTCCTCTCCAATCTCCCCGCTTTTAAGGGATAGGAGGGGAAAAAAAACAGGCATGACCGGCTGGGGAATTCTGGGAGTTGAGGTCCACAGGTCTTCAAGTTGCCAAGATTGGAGACCGCGATCGGCAGATTGCTGTTCCTAGAACTTAAATACGGTTAAGTAGCAGCTTTCACTTTCTCACCGAGATGATGTGTCCCCCGAGACCGTGGGCAGCGTCCGCACACTCCATGACGGCGCTGAGTTGAGGGTAGCCCACCCCGGTCTTCTTCCGGGTGGTACAAACGGAGCCTGAAATAAGCCAGGATTAAGCCAGGAAGATCCCTATCAAGAATCTAATGGTCCCTAGCTGCAAGATTACTTGTGGGGCAATATTGGAAGAAAAACTCTTTGCCTACTATGGAAGAATGGATAGTTAAGGTGTCTAATTTAGCAGAAATGGCGAAAATCTCCGCCTATTTGAAGGACCATTCACAAGAAAAATATATTTCGGTTTGGAGAAGATGGATTGATTATATTCAAAAGAAATATGAGACTGAAAAGTATTATCTTGCTTATGAGTAGATTTTAGATTATTTTTAATAGTTCAATATGGTTGAATTTATATTATTTTTAGTATTATGGTTTAATTATGTTATTATTTTTGTTTTTAATTTGTTAATACTTGTTTTGAAAAGGAGTTAAAGTGTGTTATGGATTTGATTGTTAGTATAGTCGGGTTATGTTAGTTAGATTATGCTTGTTTATTTTTTTACCCTGTAATCAGGTCTGGGAAGTGGGGGAGGGGGGGAAGGGGTGGGAGGGGTTTGGGTTATAATGTATTCAATTTGTAAAACTTTTAATAAAATAAAAAATAATAAAAAAGAATCTAATGGTCCCCAGCTCTTCAGCAGGGGCAACCTAGACTAAAATTTTCAGCCCAGATCGATCGGGCGTTACCTGGTCCGATCCCCACTTTGATGATGTCGGCGCCTGACAAAATGAGTTCCTCCACCATTTCGCCCGTCACGACGTTCCCGGCCTGCAGAGGCAAAAAAAAAAAAAAAAAAAGAGGGGCAAGAAATGGGTGAGACCCACGTGAAAGCAGCTAGGCAACTTTGGGCCATGACCTGGAGATGGTGAGTTCTAGTCTCCCCTTAGCCATGAAAGTCGACTGGGTGGCTTTGGGCCAATCACCAGGAGACTGAGTTGTAGTCCCGCCCTAGGTATGAAAGTCGACTGGGTGGCTTTGGGCCAATCACCAGGAGACTGAGAGTTTTAATCCTGCCCTAGGTGTGAAAGCCGACTGGGTGGCTTTGGGCCAATCACCAGGAGACTGAGAGTTGTAGTCCTGTCCTAGGCATGAAAGCCGACTGGGTGGCTTTGGGCCAATCACCAGGAGACTGAGAGTTGTAGTCCCGCCCTAGGCGTGAAAGCCGACTGGGTGGCTTTGGGCCAATCACCAGGAGACTGAGAGTTGTAGTCCCGCCCTAGGCATGAAAGCCGACTGGGTGGCTTTGGGCCAATCACCAGGAGATGTTGACTTCTAGTCCCACCTTATACATAAAAACTGGCTAGATGATTTTGGGCTAATTACCAGGAGGTGGTGAATTCTAGTCCTGCCTCAAGCACAAAAGCTGGCTGGGTGATTTTGGGTCAATCCCCAAGAAGCTGTGGCTTCTATTCATGCCTTAGGTGTGAAAGCCTAAGTGACTTTGGACCAATCCCCCTCTCTCTCTTAGCCCAGCCCACCTCACAGGGTTGTTGTTCTAGAAAAAAAAAAGAAGGAAAGCATGTTGGAGATATCGGCCACCTTGACTTATTTGTAAAAATAATAAAGATGAGAGAGGGAGAGGGAGGGAGAGAGAGAGAGACAGAGATAAAGATAGATAGATAGATACATAGATAGATAGATAGATAGATAGATAGATAGATAGATAGACAGACAGACAGACAGACAGACAGACATAATGGATAGATAGATGAGAGATAGATGATAGAGATAGATAAACAGACAGACAGACAGACAATGGATAGATGAGAGATAGATGATATAGATAGATAGATATAGAGATATGAATAGATGGATGATAGATAGATAGATAGATAGATAGATAGATAGATAGATAGACAGACAGATAGATACATAGATGACATATAGATAATAGATAGATGAGAGATAGATAATAGATAGATGATAGATGATAGAGATAGATGATATAGATAGATAGATAGATAGATAGATAGATAGATAGATAGATAGATAGATAGATAGATGTAGGTAGGTCGATAGGTAGATTAGATAGATAGATAGATAGATAGATGTAGGTAGGTCGATAGGTAGATTAGATAGATAGATAGATAGATAGATAGATAGATAGATAGATAGATAGATAGATAGATAGATAGATAGATAAGTGACAGACAGAGAGAGAGAAAGAGCCAACTGAGGACCAAAACCCACAACGGACCACACAGCCAAGTCTGAAACGTGAAAATTTTAAAACCACCTTTTAAAAAGTCTTAAAATCTTCCCTGCTGGCCTCAAGGGGAACCGTGGGATGTCCACGTACCATGATGGTGTGATCCGGGTACCGCTTCCTCAAATCCCTCAAGAACTGGACGAAATGTTCGGAGTAGCCGTTGGCCACATCCAGACAGATGTACCGGATCTGCGGCACAGCCTCCAGGACTCGCTCCAAGTGCTCCAGGTCGGAGGTGCCGGTGCTGGCAGCCACGTTCTAAGGGCAAGCGGCGAGCAGAGAATTCACAAACATGGAAGGAAAAAAAAAAAAAGGCTACGGACTGAGTTGAAAAGTCCCGCAGAGCCATTAACAAGAAGCTAACAGAATAACAAGAGCTGGGAGGAACCTCAGAGATCTCCTAGTCCAGCCTCTTGCTCAAACAATGAGCCGAGGTGGCGCAGCAGTTAGAGTGCAGTACTGCAGGCCACTTTAGCTGACTGTGTTCAGCAGGTCAGCGGTTCAAATCTCACCGGCTCAAGGTTGACTCAGCCTTCCATCCTTCTGGGGTAGGTAAAATGAGGACCCAGATTGTTGGGGGCAATGTAAAATATATATATACATTGCTTACTGGTGTACACCGCTTAGAGAGTGCTTGCACTTAAAGCGGTATATAAGTCTCATAAATAAATAAATAATAAATAAATAAATAATGAACAGAAAACCTTATTATACCATTCGTGAACGAACGAATAAAAGTCAGGCAAAAGCGATGGGGGAGGGTTTGGAGGTGGGATAAAGAGTTATAAATCGATCCATCAAATACATTTGCGAGAAAGAAACTATAAAGCAGTGGTTCTCAACCTTTTTAATGCCGCGACCCCCAACCGGTCGTAAGTCGAGGACTACTCAACCGGTTGTAAGTTGAAGACTACTCAACTGGTGCAGCACCGTTTGCAGAATGGGACTTTTGGCGGGCTCAGCAGGGCAGAGACAGCCTGGACAATTCCTATTGGCTTTTGAAAGCCAATAGAATTAGACTCTATTCAAGAGAGTCTATTCTATTGGCTTTCAAAAGCCAATAGAATAAAAGGGAGGAGCACAGCTAAGGAAAAGGGGGGGGGAAATGGCGGACTGCGTTGTTTGGCGACCTCCGTGAAATGGTCGTTCGACCCCAAATGGGGTCCCGACCCACAGGTTGAGAACCACTGCTATAAATTGACAGTCTCAGCTTCATACAGAGAACACATATATAAAATGTTTTACAGGTGGCACTTGCCACCAACAAGATTAGTGAAAATGTTTAAAAGCATGGCAGAGAAATGTTGGAAATGTAAACACAAAGCAGGTACTGATTATCATGTGATGGACATGTGTTAAAGCAAGGAGATGTTGGACAATAACACACACGTGGTTAGAAAAAATGTTAGAGAAACACACAGGCTATAAACCTGATTTTTTTTTTATTAGGTATACCGCCAGAAAAACTTGACAAGCAAAGTACATATTTGATTCTACACCTGATAACAAGCGGCAAGAATTATATTTGAACAATATGGGAAGGACGAAGAAACACCACGAAGAAATAATTTAAAAAAAAAATACTAGACTGTGCGGAAACAGACAGACTTACTTTAAGGTTGAAAGAAAAAGAAGAAACAGAATATTTTCAAACTTGGGACCTCTTTTATCAATTTAGGGATTAGGAATTTAGTAATAGTAATAGTAGTAAAGTTGGAAGGGACCTTGGAGGTCATCTAGTCCAACCCCCTGCTCAGGCAGGAAACCCTACACCATTTCGGACAAATGGCTGTCCAGTCTCTTCTTAAAAAATTCCAGTGTTGGAGCATTTACTGCTTCTGGAGGCAGGCTGTTCCACTGATTAATTGTTCTCACTGTCAGGAAGTTTCTCCTTAGTTCTAGGTTGCTTCTCTCCTTGATTATTTCCACCCGTTGCTTCTTGTCCTGCCTTCAGGTGCTTTGGAAAATAGCTTGATTCCCTCTTCTTTATGGCAGCCCCTGAGATATTGGAATACTGCTATCATGTCCCCCCTTGTCCTTCTCTTCGTTAAACTAGACATACCCAATTCTAGCAACCGTTCCTTATATGTTTTAGCCTCCAGTCCCCTGATCATCTTTGTTGCTCTTCTCTGTATTCTTTCTAGAGTCTCAACATCTTTTTTACGTCGTGGTGACCAAAACTGGATGCAGTATTAAGACACTCAGACAACCCGTTTTTGTTGAACTAATTGTTATTGAACTCTGTTTAAAAAAATAATAATAAAACTTTTTTAAAAAATACATTTGAGCCCGTTGTTAAATGCAGGCGGGGCCGGCAGTTGTAACTTGAGGAGGGATCCTAAGTCGCATTTTTGAAGCCTGTCATAGCTTTGAACGGTTGTTCAATGACCCATCGGTCGTAAATGGAGGACTGGGGTGTGGGGTGGACACGAGACGGGGAAGTGAAGGCGAAGGGCCAGATCACACACCCACCTGGAGACAATCTGGATTCTGAGCTGCAAATTCCTGCCACTCCTCCACCGTGCAGTGCTTGTGGATGGCTGTGAAGAGAGAGAACTGGGGGAAGGAGACAACATTGAAAGAGGAGAGCTAGCGGTTGAGGCACTTGGCTAGGAAGCGGGAGGCTCTGAGTTCAAATCCCGCCTTAGCAGGGAGAGCCAACTGGGTGACATTGTGCCCTGTCTCTCAGCCCAAGCCACCTCACCAGGTTGTTGTTGTCGGGAAAATAGGAGGGGGAGGAAGGGGTGATGGAGAGGGAGGAGAAAGAAGGAAGGAAGGAAGGAAGGAAGGAAGGAAGGAAGGAAGGAAGGAAGGAAAGAAAGAAAGAAAAAAAGAAAGACGTTAAAAGAGGGAAGGAGAAAGGAAGGAAGGAAGGAAGGAAGGGAGGGAGGGAGGGAGGAATAAAAAGATAAGGAAGGAAAGAGGGAGGGAGGTAGGGAGAAGGGAAGGAAGGGAGGGAGGGAGGAAGAGGGAGGAAGGAAGGGAGGGAGGAAGAGGGAGGAAGGAAAAGATAAAGAAGGAAGTTGAAAGAGGGAGGGAGGGAGAAGGGAAGGAAGAAAGGAAGGAAGGAAGAAGGAGGAAGGAACAGATAGAGAAAGAAGAAAGTTGAAAGAGGAAGGGAGAAGGGAAGGGAGGGAGGGAGGAAGAGGGAGGAAGGAAAAGATAAGGAAGGAAGTTGAAAAAAGGAGGGAGGGAGGAAGGAAGGAAGGAAGGAAGGAAGGAAGGAAGGAAGGAAGGAAGGAAGGAAGGAAGGAAGGAAGGAAGGAAGAAAGGAAGGAAGGGCTTGCAGATGAAGTTAGTGACAACCCACTTGGACAATCCATGACTCTCCCTCGTTTTTAAGAAGATCCATCAAAGAGAAAAGGTCAAATTACAGAAGTCTCAGCAGCCACCATTCCAAGCCAACTCATACCTCAGGCAGCTGATGCCAGCGTTGGTCAACCCTTGGATCCTTTCAGGCGGGTGGACTTCCACTCCCAGAATGCCCCAGCCAGCTACGCCTGAAACCACCCAAGGTTGACCAACGCTGCCTAATCGGTGTGTTTTTTTCGCAGACGCGTACCTTGCTCAAAACCTTGGCCATCTCAAAGGTCCCCACCGTATCCATGTTGGCGGCGATGATGGGGATCCCCCGGTAGGTCTGCTTGGAGTTCCGGAAGGTGAAGGACCTCAGGAGATCCACCTAGATGAAAGGGGAGCCAATGCAGAGAAGAATAACACCCCAAAACTTTGAAAAGTTGATTTTCCCAACCTCCGCCAGGCCTTTGGCCGCCAAGAAGGGCAGCCTGTCAATCACCCGGCACACCTTATACCGGTTGCGAGCAGGAGAACTTTGCCGGAACTTCGTACCGGTTGTCCTTCACTTATGACCGGAAATTTCCATTTGAGGTCATTAAATGAGCAGCACCCGGCTTTCTCTTTCTTTCTTTCTTTCTTTCTTTCTTTCTTTCTTTCTTTCTTTCTTTCTTTCTTTCTTTCTTTCTTTCTTTCTTTCTCTCTCGTTCTTTCTTTCTTTCTCTCTCTCTTTCTTTCTTTCTCTTTCTTTCTTTTTTCTTTTTCTTTTTTAAAATATGTTTTAGGTTTTATTGGTTTTTTTCCCCTACATATCACCAATCAATATTTGGTAAACAGTGAGTTGTCTGAGTTTGTATTTACAAATAATCAATCAGGGGCTGCCCCAAAGAAGAGGGAGTCAAGATATTCTCCAAAGCGCCTGAAGGCAGGACAAGAAGCAACGGGTGGAAACTAATCCAGGAGAGAAGCAACCTGGAACTAAGAAGAAACTTCCTGACCGTGAGAACAATTAACCAGTGGAACAACCTGCCTCCAGAAGCGGTGAATGCAACACTGGAAGTTTTTAAGAAGAAACTGGACAGCCATTTGTCTGAAATGGTCTAGGCCAGTGGTTCTCAACCTGTGGGTCAGGACCCCATTTGGGGTCGAACGACCATTTCACGGGGGTCGCCAAACAACGCAGTCCGCCATTTTTTCCCCCCTTTTCCTTAGCTGTGCTACTCCCTTTTATTCTATTGGCTTTTGAAAGCCTATAGAATAGACTCTCTTGAATAGAGTCTAATTCTATTGGCTTTCAAAAGCCAACAGGAATTGTCCAGGCTGTCTCTGCCCTGCTGAGTCCGCAAAAGTCCCATTCTGCAAACAGTGCTGTACCAGTTGAGTAGTCCTCGACTTACGACCGGTTGAGTAGTCCTCGACTTACGACCGGTTGGGGGTCGCGGCATTAAAAACGTTGAGAACCACTGGTATAGGGTTTCCTGCCTGAGCAGGGAGTTGGACTAGATGACCTCCAAGGTCCCTTCCAACTTTTATTATTATTATTACTCTTGTTACAATTCGTTTCTACGGTCCCATATTCCACCTAGTAGCTTTCCTTGATTTTTCTGTTTGTCCAAGGATATTCTCTTTTATCGCCCTTAAATGAGTACATTTCTTGACAGTTTTAGAAGATAACAATTAAATACCTACAAATATCCCCCACCTCATTGTTAACCTTTTTTTCTAATCAACCATAGGTTCTCCTACTTGAGTGGGGGGACTGGACTATAAGACCTCCAAGGTCCCCTCCAACGATGCTATTCTGAAAAGTAGGGGAGACATGATAGTAATGTTCCAATATTTGAGGGGCTGCCCCAGAGAAGAGGTGGGGGTCAAGCTATTCTCCAAAGTGTCTGAAGGCAGGACGAGAAACAATGGTTGGAAACTGACCAAAGAGAGAAGCAAACTGGAACTAAGGAGAAACTTCCTAACAGTGAGGACAATTTTTAGCTTATGCGTATCTTAATTACATCCAATCTTCATAAACAATCCATGTCCTGTTATTAATTTTTACCCAATTTTTAGTTTCTCATCAAGATATTCCTTGCTAGCACACTCACCCTTCACCCTCGCAAACCCTTATTCTCATGTTCCCACTGGGAAGAGCAAACGCTAAGTAAACATGCCTTTCTCCGATTTAAGAACCATTAGATACATTTATTTATTACGATTTACATTTATTTATCTCAATTATTATTATTATTATTATTATTATTATTATTATTATTATAACTGCCTCGCCATCTGCATGGAGGACGAAAAAGATATTTCTACCTCACTCCGGGATTTGAGCGTACTCCGTTTCGGTCTCAAAAGGACATCCTTGAAATCCAGCTTAATGTCATTATCTATGTGGGGCATTTTGGATTCCTATAAATTAAAAAAATAATAATAATCAAAAGCAAAGCCCTGGAAATCTGGAACATCGGGGACCAAATCCCAAACTTTTTCTTCTCTAAACCTTAAGTTAAACGATCTCTAATGCAAATTATTTTCAACAGGACTTGCCAGCTAAATATTAATTTTCTTACAAGCTTTCTTAGAACGTTCATTGATTTTTTTTCCCCTTCCAAATAAGCATTCATTCACGCGCACAAATGCTGTGCAGTATTTTTATTTCCCCATATGCAACAAGTTGTGGTTTTCTTTATTTTCTTCTCTTGCGCTTAGAACTGCCGTATTTAATATAGATTGCTTATTTATTCAATTTATATGCTAATCCATTGTTGTAGACTCTGAGCAGCTACTCAGACATGTTTTTTTTTTTTCAAAAATCAACTGGACTTTGTTTTTCCTGAAATATGTTTCGCTTCTCATCCAAGAAGCTTCTTCAGTTCTGACTGAAGGGTGGAGGATGGAAAGATTTAGATTCCTTTGCAGTCATCTGGTTATTAGTATTCTCCCTAGAGTCTTGAGGTCACCTGGAGTTTTATTTGGGCCCTCAGGGATACCTGACAAACGGTGCAAACGGTGTGGATAAAACGTGAAATGTCTTCAAGGAAAAACAAAGTCCAGTTGGCTTTTTGAAAAAACACCTTTGGGACAATTATGTCCCGGATGACTGAGAATTTCCATAGATATTTTCCATAGGGTTGCAAGACTTTATTGCCCAAGGTAATTAACGATAATTTTCAGTTTGCACTTTCAACTTTGTGACACTTTCAGTTCTCTTACTATGGGTGAATTGGGTTGCTTTCGGGAGCCAAAGGTTGTGGCCAATAAATGTTTATGATCTCAGTGTCACCATCAGCCTCGACTTCCGCATGACCGTTCCCATCATTCTAAACCAGGGCTCTTCCAACTTGGCCCTTTGATGACTTGTGGACTTCAACTCCCAGAATTCCTCAGCCAGGCATGCTGGCTGAAGAATTCTGGGAGTTGAAGAGTCATCAAAGGGCCAAGTTCCACAAGTCATGGCAAAGGAAGTCCACAAGTCATCAAAGGCCAAGTTGGAAGACCCCTGCTTGTGGACTTCAACTCCCAGAATTCCTCAGCCAGGCACGCTGGCTGAGGAATTCTGGGAGTTGAAGTCCGCAAGTCATCAAAGGGCCAAGTTGGAAGAGCCCTGTTCTAAACACACACACATACAAAAAGAAAATTGAATTGAATTTCAAAAGTCCAGTTTTACCACAGGCGAATCTCTCACTCCCATAACTCTTTTATCAGCCCTCTTCCTAATCTCCAATCTCTCCAAACCACCATTACCTCAATACACAGTTACAAGATAGGGCTCTTTTAAACATCCTCTGCCCATCATGCTAAGACTTCCTCTGCTCACGCTAAGAGTTCCACCTTGGGGCGCAATCGCTTCATCCCCAATCAGGAAAGCTTTAAGTGGGCTTGGACCACTTAAGACTCTCAAACGTCTCTTCGATCTAGGGAAGCCCTTGGCTTTGCACTTTACCTCCCCAATCTGGCAGGACTGCAATTCCCATGAACCCCGGCCAGCGCCATGGGAGTTGTAGTCCTAGCCCACCTGGAGAGCATGAGATTGGAGAATGACAGATTAGCCTAAACCAGCCAGCCAGCCTGACCCAACCTTGGTCGTTTGAAACAGAGTTGGACTTCAACTCCCAGAATTCCCTAGCCCAGCATGGCTGGCTGGGGAATTCTGGGAATTGAAGTCCACCCATCTTCAATTTGCAAGATTAGGAAACACTGGCCTAAAGGGTGCCAGTATTGCACCCCCAATTCCAGGATGCCCAGTTTGGATTTCAAAGCTTGCATCACATCCCAATTGTCCAATTTTTAGGGTGCGGAGCATATAGGGGAGCGCACGAACCCCACTTCCGGTTCCCCGTTTTCGCTTTCCGCCAGCTTCCGGTCTTTCGGCGCTCCCCGACGGGCGGGGGGGGGGAAAATAGGCGACCGCGACCACCTCTCGGTCTCCAAAGGGCTCCGCTAAACCCTTCGCAGCTGGCCGCCGTTCGTTTTTGTTTTTTTTTTAAAACAGCGGAGCAGTGGCTTGTGGGAAATGTAGTTCTCTCTCCAACCGTCTACATTAGGCCCACTAGGATTAATAACTACAGCTCCCATAAGGGAGCGCGCTCAATCGGGATGACGTCACGCGCAGACGACAAGGCGGCTCGGCCTACTAGAGAAGAAAAACTACAACTCCCAGCGGTCAAAGCGTCACAACCGTCTCGCGCCGAGCGGCCATGTTAGTTTCCTTTTCTTTGTCAGGTCCTCTCTTCAACTCAGCTTTAATTAATTATGTAGAAACAGAATTATAGCTCCATTCTTCACGATATCGGCGGTTCTCTTTTTTTTTTAACAAGAGCCTATTCGAAAAGAAGAGCCGTGACAGAACCGCGGGGCGTGCTGGGAAACGGAGTCAGCCGCTCCATTCATCGCGGCGACTCTAGTGGGGGGAGGGAAAAAAAAAAGACAGCATCTCCCATGGTGCAACGCGACAGCGGCGGAAGGATACGTAGCACGCCCTCCTGCTTGGAGTTCACTGACTGAAAGGAAGGAGAGGCGGAAGTGACGTCACAGGCGACCGAAAAAACATCCCGGGGCGGCTCTCTGCGAAGCCAGTTCCGCTTCCGAGGTTGGAGGTCGGGCGGCGCTGAGGCACCGGGCGGGCGAGCGAGCGGAGCGGCCACGATGCTGATAAAAGTGAAGGTGAGGCGGGAGGCTCCGGCGCGCCCAGGCACGGCGGCATCCCTGGGGAACGCCGGCCGCGGTGCATTATGGGCGGTGGGAATTGGCTCCAGCAGCAGCGGCAACAGCAGGCAGAAGTCAAACCGGTCGAGCTGCTTCCTCGCCTTCTTCAGCCGGCAGCGCTCCCCGCCCTGAAGGGCGGCCTTCCTTAGGGGGACACAATCAACACAGTGCCCAGAAAAAGGGCTCCATAACACCAGGCGGGTAGCCTCCTTCAGTCGAAGCCCGAGGGATATTTGCCTTTTTCAGATATTTCTCAATGAAAGCTCAGCTAATTTGAGGCAACTCTTTGATCTGGGGGGTCTTCCAACTCGGCCCTTTGATGACTCGTGGACTTCAACTCCCAGAATTCCCCAGCCAGCCTGCTTTAAGATGGGTGGACTTCAATTCCCAGAATTCCCCAACCAGCATGCTTTAAGATGGGTGGACCTCAACTCCCAGAATTCCCAAGCCAGCGTGCTTTAAGATGGGTGGACCTCAACTCCCAGAATTCCCAAGCCAGCGTGCTTTAAGATGGGTGGACTTCAACTCCCAGAATTCCCCAGCCGGCATGCTTTAAGATGGGTGGACTTCAACTCCCAGAATTCCCCAGACAGCGTGCTTTAAGATGGGTGGACTTCAACTCCCAGAATTCCCCAGCCGGCATGCTTTAAGATGGGTGGACTTCAATTCCCAGAATTCCCCAGACAGCGTGCTTTAAGATGGGTGGACTTCAACTCCCAGAATTCCCCAGCCAGCCTGCACGATCCAACATAATTAGTCGGCGATCTAAATTAGTACGGGCAGTCCTCAATATACGACCACAATCCGGCCCCAAAGTCCTGTTAAAGTGAATTCTGCCCCCTTTGACCACCTTCCTTGCCACGGTTGCTAAACGAATCGCTGTGAGTGGTTAAAGGAGTAACACGGTTGCTAAGTGGATCCGGCTTCCCTTTATTGACTTTGCTTGTCAATAGATCCAAAGCAGCCTTCTGGGCGTGCTGCTCTCCAGAAGGAGAAATTAAAAGAATGACAATAAAAAATTTGTTTAATGAAGAGAAGGACTAGGGGTGACATGATAGCAATCTTCCAATATCTCAGGGGCTGCCCCAAAGAAGGGGAGGGGGTCAGCCTGTTCTCCAAAGCACCAGCTGGAAGGATGAGAAACAATGGTTAGAAACTGATCAAAGAGAGAAGCAACCTGAAATTAAGGAGAAAGTTCCTAACAGTGAGGACAATTAACCAGTGGAACAGCTGGCCACCAGAAATTGTGGGTGCTCCATCGCTGGAGGTTTTTTTTTTAAAAGAAGAAATTGGACAGCCATTAGTCCAGAATGCTGCAGGATCTCCTTGAACGGGGTTGGACTAGAAGACCTCTTAAGGTGTCCCTTTCAACTCTCATGCTATCATTCCGAACACCGATTCGCTGTGCGTTGAACTTCTGTTCAGATATTTGAAATTCAAAATATTAGTAACTGCAGCGTGCACGAAATTAAAGATCGTGCAAAGTCTTGAGGCCTAAATCAACTTGGAGACGTAGAGTCATTTTGGATGTTAATTACAAGCCGGCTCTTCTTGAACGCGCAGATGATAATTAGAAGCTGGGAGGGCTTAGCTGTAAACCCCCAGCAAGATTTATTAGCCTGGTGTGCCTTGGTCCAAATGGGATTGAAGCCGGAAATGTCGATTTGTAAAATCCTTTTTTTATTTCTGCATAAGCAAGGAGAGGTGCCCGCAGATACGAGGTTAGCGGACCCAGCCCCCATCTCTCTTTAGAAGTGAAACATGGGATGGGATCCTGCAAGAGGGAGTGGACGATGGTGGTTTGAGAAACCTTTTTTCTTTTTTTCTCTCCTTTCGTTGCAGACGCTGACGGGGAAAGAGATTGAGATTGATATCGAACCGACAGACAAGGTATCGGCCCTCAAAAGGACGGGGTGGGTTTTGATCTTGCTGACCATCCTTGTCCCTTGTCCTGCTTTGGTTTTCGTGTGCAGTTCACCTTTTCCCTTTCTCTGCGACCTTTTAGGTGGAAAGAATAAAGGAGCGGGTGGAAGAAAAGGAAGGCATCCCACCTCAACAGCAGCGACTCATCTACAGCGGCAAGCAAATGTAAGTATCCACCAAGGGAGGACACTACCTGTATTTCCATGTAAAAAACAAGCAAAGTCAAGGAAACAAGCCAGCCAACGCCCAGCCCCAGAGCAAACAGGACCAGATAAACAATTAGGAAAGACCACCATTTTCTCATCGTGGAATATAAACCTCACCCCAGTCAAAACCAATCGGGCGACCAGCCAACTCCATTCTTCCATTCCTGATGATGACGTTCCCTGGCTTGGTAATGAAACACTTGTAGGAAAAACAAACACACCAATAGTGCAACTCCGAGCTATGGATAATCCTCAAAATAACCTACAGCTAACTTCCAAAGATACATTCCGAATTCTTTGTGGTGCATTCCAAATTATGTCTTATCTTAGCCTTTTTTTTTTAAGACACTTGTTCTTTTTAACGCTTTCTTTGTGGTAATTCTTTTATACGTTTGTCATATATATATAGAGAGAGAGAGGGAGGGAGAGAGAGAGAGAGAGAGAGAGAGAGAGATAGATAGGTAGGTAGGTAGGTAGGTAGATAGGTAGGTAGATAGGTAGATAGGTAGATGATAGAGATAGATAGATAGATAGATAGATAGATAGATAGATAGATAGATAGATAGATAGATAGATAGATAGATAGATAGATAGATAGATGATAGATAAATAGATGATAGATAAATAGATAGATGATAGATAGATAGATGATAGAGATAGATAGATAGAGATAGATAGATAAATAGATAGATGATAGAGATAGATAGATAGATGATAGATAGATAAATAGATGATAGAGATAGATAGATAGATAGATAGATAGATAGATAGATAGATAGATAGATAGATAGATAGATAGATTGGTGGGTTTCGTATTTTAACTTCCTTTGAATGAACTAAGGTAGGTAAAGAATAATATAATATATAATATAATATTCCCAGTTAAATATGATTATTGTTATGAGCTATGTTATTATGTTGGGAGTTATATCACAACATTATGACGTTGAAATATGCCTAAATGAGGGCGGAGGTTCGTTTGGCAACTCGTATTTGCAACGGTTGCCGTGTCCCGAAGCCACGTCAGATCCCCCTTTTACGACGTTCCGCCCAGCAAACTCAGTGGAGAAAGCCCAATTCACTTAACATACGGGTTATGCAGTGACTCGGGGCAAAATTCACTGAACTGTCTCACTTAACCACAAATTTGGGGTTTAGTCGTCATAAGTCAAGGACCACCTGTAGATCTTTTTTTAAAAAAAAAAATAATATTTTATTAATTTTCTAATTTTATGTTTGAGTATTTGAAAAGCAACATGGTGGCTGGGTAATCAGTAGTTCCATAATAAAATCTTGAGTGCAAATCTCAGGTTACAACATCAGATAATAATAATAAAGTTGGAAGGGACCTTGGAGGTCATCTAGTCCAACCCCCTGCTCAGGCAGGAAACCCTCTACCCTTGCAGACAAATGGCTGTCCAGTCTCTTCTTAAAAACCTCCAGTGTTGGAGCATTCACCGCTTCTGGAGGCAGGTAGTTCCACTGGTTAATTGTTCTAACTGTCAGGAGGTTTCTCCTTAGTTCTAGGTTGCTTCTCTCCTTGATGAGTTTCCATCCCTTGCTTCTCTTTTCCCCTTAACATTTACTATCTCATATTCAAGCTAGTACAGTTCTAATTATATCAACTCAATAAAAACATCATTATTACATCTAATCAATAACTTTTTGGCTCATATGTATCTCGGTTACATTCAGTCTTCATAAACTGTATCCCGTTGTTAATTTTTACCCAATTTTTAGTTTCCCGCCAACATCCCAATTTAACCTTTGATGTTTATAATCTTCAGACTTTGGGTGTCCCAAGATGTCCCTTATCTCGCTGCGTCACAAAATGTAATATCCAGAATGCGCATTTTATCTATTTGAGCACAATCTTGTTCTATTTCCTAAAAGCTATTTGTTTCCCACCCTATTAAATCATCTACTTCAGTGGTTCTCAACCTTTTTAATGCTGCGACCCCCAACCGATCCTAAGTCGAGGACTACTCAACTGGTGCAGCACCGTTTGCAGAATGAGACTTTTGGTGGGCTCAGCAGGGCAGAGACAGCCTGGACGATTCCTACTGGCTTTTGAAAGCCAATAGAATTAGACTCTATTCAAGAGAGTCTATTCTATTGGTTTTCAAAAGCCAAGAGAATAAAAGGGAATAGCACAGCTAAGGAAAAGGGGGAAAAAAATGGCAGACTGCGTTGTTTGGCGACCCCCGTGAAATGGTCGTTCGACCCCAAATGGGGTCCCGACCCACAGGTTGAGAACCACTGATCTACTTAATAATGCAATATCCCCTTTAATAAATCAAAACCATTATATCTTTTTTTTTTAAGACCACCCTCCTTCCAGGCACCAGACTCCAAATATACCCAGGTGATGCTCTGTGTGTCTGGAACTTGCCCCGCCCGCCCCGAAATTGGGGTTCACCCCGTTTTTTTTCCCTCCCCACAGGAACGATGAGAAAACGGCGGCCGACTACAAGATCCAGGGCGGCTCAGTCCTCCACTTGGTCTTAGCCCTGCGTGGCGGCCTGCGATGATGGCGTCCCCCGATACCCGTCGTGCCCCCCCTTTCCCCAAAGCCACCGGATGTGGGTGACCCTCGCCCCTCGCGTCCATGGGAGGCCCGTCGGATTCGGCGCATCTCGCAGCCCCCCGTTTCGTCCGAATCCCGGGAGGACGGCCTGCCAAATGTCTGTTCCTTGGCGAGCTGTCCTCAGAGAGGGTTGTGGGTGGGTTGTGTGTTAGGGGAGGGGGGTGCTCTTTAAGTTATTGGGGTGTAGCATCCGGCCGGCTGCGTGTGGGTAAGGGTCCATTTGCTGCTTTTCGGGGCCTCCCCCCTCCATGGGTTGAAAAGTCTCTCTTCTTCCCTGTTCGTCCCCCCCATCGTGGCTCATAAATGTTCAAATAAACGTTTCACAACCATCACGGTGTCGTTGTGTCTCCTGGGATCTGGAGATTTCCTTTTGGGGGGGGTCCTTGATTCGGCTCGACTCTGCCTTTGCTAAGTCCTCCACTTACGACCGGCCTTTAGTGAACCATTTGAAGTTGAAACAGACACCCCCCCCCCAAAAAAAAAGGTAGTTTTAAGGCCCGGATTTAAAGGTCCGAATCGTGAACACACACACACACCATCGCATTGCAATTTGGGCACTCTACAACCAGCCTGTCTTTGCCATTTTCTGCGTGTCGTGGTTCACGTGACCACGATTTAGGACCTTTTTTGGGGGGCTGGAAATGGACGTATTTTTTCTTGCAGCGGTCGTTAAACGAATTGTGAGGTTATCGTTGTGTGCAATGGAGGTTTGTCGGGAACCGACATTTATGTCTGGTTTCCGACAAGCCTCCATTGCAGGCACTGGAGTCATTTGACCTCGTGGTTCGCTTAATGATCCCTGCAAAAAAAAAAAAAAATTCACAATCATGACCTGCTTAACAACCAGCAGAGGTTAATCATAATTCTGGACCCGATTACAGTCGTAAATGGAGGACTGCTAATATTTGAGCTAAGAAAGTCAATCTGTTCATATTTCCAATATTGGGCTGATAAAAATTTGGGGAAGAACCCCCTCCAAATTTAATTTCTCTTAAAAAACAGCAATAGGTTGCTTTATTTTTTTGATTTATATCCTGCTTTTGCTTGGTACAATTCGGAGCGTTTTTATTTATTGAAAAGATTTGTGCAGCAACTCCCATGATGCCCTATGAGGTGAACACGCCTGTGAGGTGAGGGGCTGAGCGCCTGGTCAAAGGCACCCAGCTAGTTTTCGGCCCTAAGGTAGGACTAGAACTCGCCGTCCCCTGGTGATTGACTCAAAGTCACCCAAGTAGTTTTCTTGTCTAACACAGTACTAGCCCTTTTCTGGCGACTGGCTCAGGCACCCAGCTGGCTTCCATGCCTAAGGTGGAACTAGAACTCACCGTCCCCTGATGATTGGCCAGTCACCCAGCTGAATTCAGTGCCGCCTAGTTGTTGGCCAAAGTCACCCCCGTTGGCTTTCTTATCTAAGGCAGTACTAGAACTCACCCTCTCCTGGTGATTGGCAAGGGATTAACATATAAACCAGTTAGTGGAATCCTTTAGCATTGATGATGTTCCCCAGTTGGGTCCTGAAATGTCTACAAGAAAACCACCAAGCTCAGAGAGCACCAAGGACCCCCCAGTCCTCCTCTTTCTTCTTCATCTCCTCCTCCTCCTCCTCTCTCCATAAACCCCCCTCCCTTCTAGCACTGATGAGGATACCTAGTTGGGTCATGAAATGTCTGCAAAAAAACCCACCAAGCTCGGAGAGCACCAAGGACCCCATCGTCGTCGTCCCCTCCTCCTCCTCCCCATCCCCCCTCTCACACTGATGATGTTCCCTAGTTGGGTCATGAAATGTCTGCAAGGAAAGCCGCCAAGCTCAGAGAGCACCAAGGACCCCATAGCCCTTCTCCTCTCTCCCTCCCTCCCTCCCTTCCTTCCTCCTCCTCCTCTCCACACCCCCCTCGCCTCTAGCATTGATAACAGTCCTTAGTTGGGTCCTAAAACATCTGCAAGAAAATAACCAAGCTCAGAGAGTACCAAGGACCCCATCGTCTCCTCCTCCCCCTCCTCCTCCTCCCCCCTCCTCCTCCTCACTCCATTCCCTCCCTCCTCCCACTTCTAGCACTGATAATGTTCCCTAGTTGGGCCATGAAATGTCTGCAAGAAAACCACCAAGCTCAGAGAGCACCAAGGACAGTTGTCCTCCTCCTCCCCCTCCTCCTCCTCTTCCTCCTCCTTCTGCTCCTCCTCCTCCTCTCTTCTCACACTGATGTTGTTCCTAGTTAGGCCATGAAAGGCCTGCAAGAAAAGCCTCCAAGCTCAGAGAGCACCAAGGATCCCACAGTCCTCCTCCTCCTCCTCCTCCTTTCTCCACAATCCCCCCTCCCTCCTAGCACTGATGATGTTCCCTAGTCGGGTCACGAAACGTCTTCAAGGAAAACCACCCGCCGGGCTTCCCCTCCGGGCGGAGCAGGGTTAACCGTCCAAGGAGGCGGGCAGGAACCGGCTGGCTCCGGTTGCGCGCTTTCTGGCCGGCCCGGCGTAGGAAGACCGGGACTTTTCCAGTGTGATTTTGGGGATCGGCTGAAGAACGCACCGACTTCCAGCTGTGCGAATCCCTCCCCCCCTCTCCGCGGCTGGCGCGTCCATTGCAACCTTGCACTTTGGGGCGCACCAAACGGGCTCTGGGCTGCGCCGATCCTATGCTCACCCCCTCCCCCTCTCCTGCTCCTCCTCCTTTCGGGGGACCCCGCGGACAGGCAGGCGATGGATAGGAAACCCGCCTTGGTGGTGTTTGATCTGGGTGAGCGGATTGGATCGCGCGCCCATCGTCCTGGGCTGCGGCTGGGGATTAGGGGAAGGGGAGTGATTGACTTGCCTTGGTTTTTTTTGGGGGGGGGGAGAGGTTGGGTAGATTGGGGAAGCCAGGAGGGTCTTCCTCTTTCATTTGGGGGCAAGAAGGGACCCCCCCCCCAAAATGATATCAGCCTGCTTCTCTCTCACTCTCTCTCTTCTCTCCCTCCCTCTCTCCCGCTCCCTCCCTCACTCTCTCCCTCTCTTTCTCTCTCCCTCCCTCTCTTCCTCCCCCCTCTCTCCCTCTCTCCCTCCCTCTCTCTTTCTCTCTCTCTCCCTCTCTCTCTTTCTCCCTCTCTTTCCCTCTCTCTCTCTCCCTCTCACTCCCACTCTCTCTCTTCCTCTCTCTCTCCCTCCCTCCCTCACTCTCTCCCTCTTTCTTTCTCTCTCCCTCCCTCTCTCTCTTTCTCCCGCCCTCTCTTTCTCCCTCTCTCTCCCTCTCTCTCTCTCCCTCTCCCTCCCACTTTCTCTCTTCCTCCCTCACTCTTTCCCTCTCTCTTTCTCTCTCCCTCCCCCCTCTCTCTCCTTCTCTCTCCCTCCCTCTCTCTCTCTCCCTCTCTCTTTCTCCCTCCCTCTCCCTCTCTCCCTCTCTCCCACTCTCTCTTCCTCCCTCTTTTTCTCGTTCTCCGTCTCCCCCCCTCTGTGTCTTTCTTTTTTGCAGATTATACCTTGTGGCCTTTTTGGGTGGACACCCACGTGGATCCCCCCTTCCAGAAAAAGAGGTGAATAAAATTAGGGGTGGGGGTCTGTTGCTGCAAAAATGGTGGCGGTCCTCTTTAATTTTTCAGCCCCCCCCCCCTTAAAAAACGGAGAAGAGGAACCGGGTCAAGTATCTAAAACAGTTTTTCTCCATCACAGAAACTTTGAAATGGATGGACTTCAACTCCCAGAATTCCTCAATCAGCACAATAAATAAATAATCATCCTCCTGAATTGAAAAGGCTACCTATTGAACTCTGGGAGTTGAAGTTATGCTGGCTAGGGTATTCTGGGAGTCCATCTGTGCTCGCTAGAGAATTCTGGGAGTCGAAGTCCATCCGTGCTCGCTAGGGAATTCTGGGAGTTGAAGTCCACTTGTGCTGGCTAGAGAATTTTGGGGGTTGAAGTCCATCTCTGCTGGCTAAGGAATTCTGGGAGTCGACGTCCATCCGTGCTGGCTAGGGAATTCTGGGAATTGAAGTCCACCCATTCTAACCCAAACTCAGTATTAGTATTGTAACATGAATTTTGGCCTCGCTTGAGGTCGTAAGTTGAGGAATGCCTGTAAAAGAGCTGTAGAATCAGGTCCAGCTTGATTGACAACCACAAACTCGTGATGGACATTCCGTTGGCAGTTATGGTCGTAAGTCAAGAACTACCTGTAATTTTGGGGTGAGGGGTCTTCTGATTGACTCGGAAACGAGCTAAACCACTTCCTGTCCGAATTCTTTCCAGTGATGGCTCGGTCCAAGACCGGAATAAGCGGCCTGTGAATCTCTACCCCGAAGTGCCGGAGGTCCTGCAGCAGCTGCAGAGCGAAGGGATCGCTATGGCAACTGCCTCTCGGTAACTCTGGGCCTTGTTCTCTGAAAATCTTCCCCGTTGATGTAGGCCGCACACCCCTCTGTACACACCCATTGTGGTGAATTAATTGTACAGTCCTAGCCTTCGGGCATTTTTCTGATTTGCAGGGAGCCCTCGACTTTCAACCATTTGTTTTAGCGACCGTTCAAAGAATATAATAGAATAGAACAGAACAGAACAGAATAGAATAGAATAGAAATAAGAAATAGAATAGAATAGAACATAGAATAGAATAGAATAGAATAGAATAGAATAGAATAGAATACAATACAATACAATAGAACATAGAATAGAATAGAATTTAGAACAGAACAGAATAGAATAGAACAGAACAGAATAGAATAGAAATAAGGAATAGTATAGAATAGAATAGAACATAGAATAGAATAGAATAGAATAGAACAGAACAGAACAGAACAGAATAGAAATAAGGAACATAATATAATATAGAGTAGAGTAGAATAGAATAGAATAGAATAGAAATAAGGAATAGAACAGAAAAGAATAGAATAGAAATAAGGAATATAATATAATAGAGTACAGTAGAATAGAATAGAATAGAATAGAATAGAACAGAATAGAAATAAGGAATATAATATATAGAGCAGAATAGAATAGAACAGAACAGAACAGAATAAAAATAAGGAATAGAATAGAATAGAATAGGAATATAGAATATAGAACAGAACAGAAAATGTGGAATGGAATGGAATAGAATTAGAATTAGATTAGAATAGAATAGAATTACAAAATAGAATAGAGCAGAGCAGAGCAGAAGAGAACAGAATAGAATAGAATAGAATAGAATAGAATAGAATAGAATAGAATAGAATAGAGTCAGAGTTGGAAGGGACCTTAAAGGTCTTCTAGTCCAACCCCCTGCTCAGGCAGGAAACCCTATTCCATTTCAGACAAATGGTTGTCCAATCTCGTCTTCAACAGCATGGCTTAGGTTGACCTCAGCTAGCTTTAGGACGAAGGCTTCTGCTGATCCCAGCTTATTTGCTGAGTGCAGGTGGGGATTCAAAACAAAGGCTTCCTTTAGCAAACCGAGTTAAGTAATAGTGTTGTGAGAACATGCCCTATTTGGGATGAACATTGGTCCCTGTTGTGGGATCTCAAGCATCTGGTTTTTCACCTCAGGACAGGCGAGATCCGAGGAGCCAAACAACTCTTAGACCTTTTCGACTTAAATCGCTACTTTCGCTACACAGAAATCTACCCTGGCAGTAAAATCACCCATTTCCAAAGGTAAAACAAGAAACTTCGGGGTCTTGGTTGATCCCCCTGGATTTGGGGGCTGGGAGGGACAGTGGGGGCAGACTGGTGTAAAATCCAAAATCCATCTTCACCTTTTCTCACCGTCTCCTCTCTGGCCTTCTCAAAATTGAGTAAAAAAAATTCTTTTTTAAAATAATATTAACCGTGGTGATCAGCTTCTGGCATGTAAATCTTACGTGGCGTCATCTATTTCCATGGTGTTCCCCCAGATCTGGCTGGGGGCTCTAGATCCCTTTTGAGGATCATTCTTGAAGGATCAAGCAAGCGTGCCCTGCCTCTTGCAAGGCCTGCCCTATGAAATACACACAGTCCTTGACTTACAACCACTTGTAAACATTGCTGGCTGGGGCATTCTGGGCCCGTCTTAATAGTTTGCCAAAGTCGGCAAAGCACTACTCCAAAGAATTGGAAGATGGGATTGTGGTTGAGGACCTTTTATAGACTGAAAATCATTTAAACCAGGTTTGTGCAAGGCCTCCTGCCTTGAGCAGGGGATCAGACTAGATGACCTCTGAAGTGCCTTCCAGAAGACCTGTGATTCTCTGATCTATCTTCGGCTTGTCTCCTCTCCAGGTTGAAACAGCAGACCGGCATCCCGTTTCATCAAATGGTCTTCTTTGATGACGAAAGCCGCAATATTCACGACGTCAGCACGCTAGGTATCCTTAAAAGATTGTGCACGATGGGACTTTAGACCCTTCCACCCTCTGAGCATCCCCTGAGTTTAAGGATTCCAGGTCTGGGCCTGAAGGAGGGTAACTAAGAGGATCAATTGCCCCTGTTCACACAACCCATTCAAGCAAGCTCATCTACTTCGATCGAGTAAGCCAGTCGCCACAGCCAGGTTAAGCTGGGCTGGTGAGTTTTAGTCCCATCTTAGTTGTGAAAGCCAGCTGGATAATTTTGGGCCAATCACCAGGAGATGCTGAGTTCTAGTCCTGCCTTAGGCATGAAAGCTGATTGGGTGACTTTGGGCCAGTCATCAGGAGACGGTGAATTCTAGTGCCGTCTCAGGCATGAAAGCCATCTGGGTGACTTTGGGCCAATCACTAGGAGTCAGTAAGTTCTAGTCCTGCCTCAGGCATGAAAGACACTGGGTGACTTTAGGCCAATCATCAGGAGACGGTGAGTTCTAGTCCTGCCTCAGGCATAAAAGCGAGCTGGGTGACTTTGGGCCAATCACTAGGAGACAGTGAGTTCTAGTCCTACCTCAGGCATTTAACATGGTGGGTGACTTTAGGCCAATCATCAGGAGACGGTGAATTCTAGTCCTGCCTTAGGCATGAAGGCAGGACAAGAAGCAACGGGTGGAAACTAATCAAGGAGAGAAGCAACCTAGAACTAAAGAGAAACTTCCTGACAGTTAGAACAATTAACCAGTGGAACCACCTGCCTCCAGAAGCAGTGAATGCTCCAATACTGGGGGTTTTTTAAGAAGAGACTGGACAGCCATTTGTCCGAAATGGTGTAGGATTTCCTGCCTGAGCAGGGGGTTGGACTAGATGACCTCCAAGGTCCCTTCCAACTTCACTACTATTTATTTATTTATTTATGAAAGCCAACTGAGTGACTTTGGGCCAATCACCAGGAGATGGTGAGTTCTAGTCCTGCCTTAGCCATGAAAGCCAACTGGGTGACTTTGGGCCAATCACCAAGAGATGGGCAGTTCTAGTCCCGCCTTAGGCATGAAAGCCGACTGGGTGACTTTAAACCAATCACCAGGAGACAGGGAATTCTAGTACTGCCTTAGGCATGAAAGCCGACTAGTAACTGTGGGCCAATCACCAGGAGACGCGGTGAGTTCTAGTCCCGCCTTAGGCATGAAAGATAGCTGGGTGACTTTGGGCCAATCACTGTCTCTCAGCCCAGCCCAGCCCAGCCCATAGGAGGAAGGCATATCGGGCATGTTTGCCTCCTTACGTATAGAGTAATACAAGTGGAATAATAAAAAAAACTAATAAATGAATATAAACATTGCAATACGCAAAGGAAGGGTGGTGGCTGACGCACAACTTGTTCCTGTTGTTTTGTCTTAGGAGTTGTGTGTGTCGCTGTCCCAAGAGGCATGACTCTTTCACTCCTCCGGGAGGGCATGGAGAGTTTCGCACGCAGTTCTCACTCTCTTCCAGACGACAAAGTTTAAACCTCAAACTTCCGGGAACTCGTTCTTCTGTTTTCTCTCGTACGAAACACCGGCTGGGGATTATGGGCACTATCTAATTATCTGTTTGACGGAAAGTGATGGAGCGTCTGCCTCCAGTTTCCTTCTTAAAGAATTTTTTCGTCCTGTGGTTAGAACAGACCGGGATTCTCCAAACATGGCCCCGTTAAGACCTGTGGACTTCAACTCCCAGAATTCTCCAGCCAGCATGCTTTAAGGCGGATGGACTTCAACTCCCAGAATTCCACATCCAGCAAGGGTTTACCAGAATTCAGCATGGATAAGAACAAATGTGGCTAGACTACCTTTAATGCATTTTTTTGACAGGATAATTTTCTTTACAGATAGTGGGAATGCGGTCGACGTAATATATGGCATGGCTAGCTGAGGAATTCTGGGAGTTGAAGTCCACGAGTCTTAAAGGGGCCACATTTGGAGACCCCTGCGTTAGACCAACAAAGGGTTCGTGTTTGTGACTTTCATCCCAATAAAACAGAGAAAACAAATTTTATCTTTTCGTTTATCAATTAGTGCAGTGACTGCGGACAATTAATCAGGTTTAAATGGTGACTTAGATGAGTAGAAAAGAGGCAAAGTTGCCTGGGATCGCATAGCTAACATCTGAAAGATAACAAAAACAGCCAAAGGGTTCCAAAAAGAGTTTTATTTTTTCTTCACTGATTCTACTAATGGTCTTGGCTTAGTATAAACCAGGGGTAGGCAACCTTGGCTCTTTTATGACTCGTGGACTTCAACTCCCAGAATTCCTCAGCCAGCATGAGGGAAACTATGGCCCTCTCATGGACTTCAACTCCCAGAATTCCTGAGCCAGCCTGGCTCAGCTTGGAAACCTCTCCCTTTCCCCTCAGCGTGGCTGGCTCAGGAATTCTGGGAGTTGAAGTCCACCAGTCATAAAAGAGCCAAGGTTGCCTACCCCTGGTATAAACCATTGTTTCTCAAACTTGAAGACCTGTGGACTTCAGTGCCCAGAATTCCCCAGCCAGCTGTAGACTATAGATAGTCCTCCACTTATGACAGTTCATTTTGTGACTGTTCAAAGTTACAACGGCACTGAAAAAAGTGACATGACCATTTTCACCATTACGACCGTTGCAGCCTCCCCATGGTCATGTGATCAAAATCCAGATGTTTGGCCACTGGCTCGTATTTATGACGGTTACAGCGTCCTAGGATCACGTGATCCACTTTTGCGACCTTCTGATCAGCAAAGCCCATGGGGAAGCCAGGTTCACTTAACAACGGTGTTACTAACCGAACCATTGTAGTGATTTCGCTTAACAACAGTGGCAAAAAAAGAGATCATAAAATGGGGTAAAACTCGCTTAGCAATCAAAATTTGGGGCTCCATAAGTCGAGGACTTACCTGTGTAACAAATGGTAGGAGACCTCTAAAAATATGGCAGCACGGTGGCCAGGAAGCATGAATTAGACCACCAAGCCACAAAACAATTCAAAATCCGTCTTTTTTGTTCAATATTTTAAAAAGCTGGCTGACGTCAGCAGGCATGGCGTCCAGCCCAATGTAAATGGGTGGAAGAGAAACTGAGGTAACAATACACCTTTTGTATGTCTTTGCTTTGAGAAGAAGCAATTCAATTTCATTTTTAATGTGTGCCGTTGTGCCCACAGGAAAAAAATGACCATAAAGGTTCTCTAATCTTTTTCCAAGCATAGGAATTCCCCAGGTTGACCTCTCTATCCAGGAAAACTGGAAGGCAACAACAACAACAACAACAAAACGAGTGAATGGAAGCCAAAGAGGTGAAATGTTGTCACCAACGGTACTATGGACAGGAAAGATAATGACTTGGAAGGAGATAAGCAGGATCTATTCTTAGGCAAACAGGCTGAAGTATTTTTAAGTTTAGCGCAGTGCAGGCAGCTTTAAGACCTGCGGACTTCAACTCCCAGAATTCCTCTTGGCTGGTGGAAAGATCTTCAAAATGAGCCGAGGTGGCGCAGTAGTTAGAGTGCAGTCCTGCAGGCCACTTTAGCTGTGTTCAGCAGGTCAGCGGTTCAAATCTCACCGGCTCAGGGTTGACTCAGCCTTCCCTCCTTCCGGGGTAGGTAAAATGAGGACCCAGATGGTTGGGGGCAATGTAAATATACACCGCAATGTACACCGCTTAGAGAGTGCTTGCACTTAAAGCGGTATATAAGTCTCATAAATAAATAAAATTTAATATTGAAAGAGAAATTTAAAATGGAATTTGCTGCAGTGGAAACTTAGTGCCTGGATAAACAAGCTTACCCAAAACTATAATGGCTGGGAAACAGGAAAGGATAGCATAAAGACAGGATGTAAGATAAATACGTAGGCAAAAATTCGCCGGGTCATAGAGTAGGAAAGGAAGAAGACAAGCTATAAAAACATCTGAAAGAGGAAATGGCTAGCCAAGAAAACTTAACTAAACTGAAAAACGGGAAAGAACCTATTGTTCTAAAGGGCCCAGAACTCAAAACCAACAATTGAATATGTCTAATATTTTATATTATTAATGGACATGTGGTGTATGATTTAGTATGTAGCCGGAAATGTGTAAGAAGAGTGTAACCTCATAGTACCTCGGCCAGTGGGTGAAAGAGGAGGGATGTGGCGGCTGGGACAGGGATGTATAAAGAAGGAAATATTTTGGGTTAAAACTTTGGAGAAAACCAAGCTTTGATAGCTTCTCTCCCCGCTTATTGCAATAAACGAAACCAAAGGCCTTCACTGTGTCTTGGCTGGTTATTGGTCAGGCGAGCTGGCCTCTGGTCATGAAGGAAAGTAGCCAGGAGCACATTAACAGCTGGAGAATTTTGGGAGTTGAAGTCCACAGGCCTCAAAGTCACTGAGATTGAGAGACGCTAATCTACAACCACAAAGTAACATTCAGAAGCAGCTCACGCAGAAACCTTCCTAAGTCACCTGGGTACAAGAAGGGGTGCAGCCAGTGGTGGGATTCAGCTAAGTGAACAACCGGTTCTCTGTGTGGATGCCGCTTCCAGAAGTCCATTCTGGGCCTGGGCACAAAAAATTAGCTACTGGTTCTGCCGAACTGGTGCAAACTGGCTGAATCCCACCACTGTATGTACCTACCTACCTACCTACCCGTATTTTCCAGCGTATAAGACGACTGGGCATATAAGACGACCCCCAACTTTTCCAGTTAAAATACAGAGTTTGGGCTATACTCACCGTATAAGACTACCCCTCTTCCAACGCACACCAAATAAAAATTTAAAAACATCAGATTTGATTTCAATATGGTAATTTTAATTCAAATGCTTATGATATGCAGGTACTTAGCAGAAAAACTGTCACTTATAAACATAAGGCTGTCATCAAACATAAACATAAAACAGTGCAAGTGGATTAAACTTTTCCTAATTCACTCTAAAGCTGAAAGGAAGGATAAGACAATAAACCCATGGGAGCTGCCATGCTGTTTGTTTTCTAAGCTGTCAACCAAACTGGAACTGATGATGATAGGAGGAAGATAACAAACAATAGAAAGAGCAAGTGCCGGGCAAGTCCCTGGCGAGTCAGCAACGCCCATCATAACTGCAAACTATTTTTACAAGTTTTGCTGGCGTGACAGTTTCCCTTTAAAAGCCTTCAAAATCATCCTGTTCGTCATCTGATATCATAAGTACATCAATGACATCTTGTGATACATTTGTAAGGCAGTCATCGTATGGATCAAATTCCGTATCAGATGGTGTGGTCTCAGCTTCAGCTTCCTCTTCATCTTGCCACAAGTAGTCATCCTCCATACCATCTAATGAATTTGATATGCCACACTTCTTGAAAGACTTGATTACTGTTTCTGCATCAATATCATTCCAGGCTTTTATGACAAACTTGCACAAAACATCCAACTGTGGAGCACGCATGTTTCCTCCTTTTGTGAATGACTTTTCTCCGCTAACCATCCATTCATTCCACTGTTCTCGAATGCGATCTTTAAATGGCTTGTTTAGGCAAACATTCAGTGGCTGTACCAACGATGTAGGAATAACTGCCGCATCTGTGTTTATTCTTGCAAGCCTTTGCTTGGTGCTGGGAGTTAAATGAGCCCTGAACGTATCCCACACCAGTAGACTACGTTTTAGAAAAAGTCCACCTGGTCGCCTGCTCCATACATTATCAAGCCATAGCTTTACCCCTTCTTCATCCATCCAGCCTTTTTCATTCACATGTACAAAACAACCAACAGGGAACTTGAGTTTCGGCATTGTTTTTCTTTTAAAAATAATCATTGGTCTCAGTTTGGCACCATCAGCTGTGCATCCTAGTACCACTGTAAAACTGGACTTCTCATGTCCTGTTGTTCTAATTAAAATTGTTTTTTCACCTTTTTGATGGACAGTTTTATTTCCAACCATATCAAAATTCACTGGAGTTTCATCCATATTTCCAATACTACTTAATGCATAGCCATGTTTAATGCGCTGTTGTATTACGTATCGATGGAAACTAATTACTTTGCTATGAAGATCTGCAGGTAATTTGTGTACCATTTTTGTCTTTTGCCTCAGTACTATATTATGCCTTTTCAAGAATCTAGTACACCAAGATACAGTGGCCTTAAATCTGTTGCTGTGATCTGGGTTAGCTTTGGCCCACTGAAGTGCAGACAAACATATTTTATTTCGTGTCACTACATAACCATTTTGGCGATGCTCATTCACCATGTCTGCTACATGTTTTTCAAGTTCTGGCCAATGTGGGGTGCCTCTTCTTAATGCACACTTACCCCTTGCCATACTCTTTAATGCTTTTTCATTTGTTTTCCAGTCCCGAACCATCTTTTCTGTTACTCCATATTGTCTTGCAGCAGCGCAGTTATTATGTTCCATGGCAAAGTTTACAACTTGAAGTTTGAAACAGGCTTCATATTTCCTTCTTCTTGCTGGTGGAGCCACGATGGCGTCTTGACTGTTGGACATTTGTATCCTGTACTGTATGTACTGGTGCTCTACTGTGTGAACTGGGTACAGATACTGGTGCTGTACTGTACCGGTACGTACCCAGTATACAACAACCAGCCAATCATGGCAAGCGATATACCTTATCACTGGCAAGCGAAGTGGTGATTGGCTGGTTGTTGTGTACAAAGCCTGGTTGGATTGGTTGGGTCAGCTCTCTCTGCCTGCCCAGCCCTCCCTGTCTTCTTATATGCCCTAGGGCAGGGGTAGGCAACCTTGGCTCTTTTATGACTTGTGGACTTCAACTCCCAGAATTCCTGAGCCTGCGTGGCTCAGCTTGGAAACCTCCCTTTCCCCTCAGCATGGCTGGCTCAGGAATTCTGGGAGTTGAAGTCCACATACACACACATGCCTCCTTTCCCTCCTCCCTCTCCCTCCAATCCTTCCCCCCCCCACCCCAATTTCCAGCTCGGAAAGTGCAAAGCAGCAAGGAGGCAGATTGAGTTTTGTCCCTAATTTCTCAGGGTGAGCATTTCATGGCTGGAGGGAAGTTTATCAGCCGTTTGCTAACTCTTCTGGCCATGCAGCGAATTAAAACAATTAGCAAACAAAAGCGAATTTCTGCTTAAGCCTTTACAATACAAACAGACAGGGGGCAAAGGCAAGGGTGCTTTTCTCTTACAAACAGGCACAGCTGAATAAAACCTGGAAGGGAAAAAAGGAATCCAGTAGCAGCTGACTGGCCAAGTTATGGATGAAAAGCCATTAAGGTGATGGAAGTTAGCCCAGAGAAAGAAATATTAAAAAGGGCAGAAAAATATATTTTTCCTCAAAAGGACTTTTTAAAACCAAACCTGGCCCCAAATCTATCTCTCTGCCCCAAGCAAGACTTTAGCCCTATACAAATGCAGATGTAAAACCATCAGAAAAGTTGAAGCCAGAGCACTCAAGAAGACAAAAGAGAAGATCTGCATACCCCACCCAAACTCTAGGAGTCAGCCCCATCACCTGGGAAGCAGGATATGATAATAGAATTAAACCACAGATATCAAGGCCTAGACACACACTCAGAAACAGCCTCAAGGTTCATGCCACAGGAACAGGAAACTATTCCAAACAAGGCTAGAGGGTATAAAAGCCTACTGCCCCATGTGCTCAGCCCTTCTCTCTCCTCTGCACTTTCCTGAAGAACTATCTTTCTGCAATAAACTGTAACCTTCTTCCCAAAGCAGTCGCCATGTTTGCTTATTTATTCCCGGCTTGGATGAACCAGGATGAAGACTTTACTTCTAACAAAGGAGAAAGTTTGTTTTTCTTGTTCTTAGACACTCCAGCAAGCAAATGTTGATTCACCCAATAAAAAGAAATATGCATCCCGCCAAGAACAATGTATTGCAAACAGACTCAAAAAGCCATTCACACTCATGGTCAAATTATCCCCGGGTATTTTACTATGTTGTCACTAATTTCTCAGGGTGAGTGTTGCGTCCTTCGCCAAATGGCAATGACATGAGAAGCAGTTGTAGTTCTCAGGAACTTCTTTATTTCAGTTCAACACACTGGTTACAAGACGCCGACAACACCCAAAACTCCCGGCCTCTTTTATAGGCCATTCCTGGGTCAATCTGCAACTTTTTGGCGCGCCAGCACCCGCGCATGCGCACAAGTACTGGCGACAGCCTGTCTGGTCCCGGGCAGCTTGCACCTGCCCGGGACCGTTTGCAATGCCCGAGCCTGCTTCCACAGGCTCAGGACATAACACCCCTTCCCCCCCAGCTAAGACTATTGATCATGCAATACTAACACATAATCCATTGTGAGCGTAGTGTCATACTACCAATTGCCAGGTATTTCCCTCGCTTCTAACAGTCTCAGTGTTCTCTTACTCTGTGTATAGGAATGTTCTTTGTTAACTCTGTCTTGCCAGTAGTGTTACAAAATCCTCTAAATACTTGGGAGGTCTTCTGGCTCTCTGTGACCTCCTAACTTCTGGGTACCTGCCAAGTACCCCTTGACTGAGGGGTGATGCATACCTGTCCCCCCTGTTACACCCTGGTGGTTCCCAAGGGCTGTGCTCCAATGCCTGGCCTGCTTGCTTGCCCACCGGGCTCGTCAGGCCAGGACTTCTTTCTCTGTTTGACCTGGTTGTCCTGCCTAGCTGTAGGCTCTCTGGCCCCTTTAAGTGACTGTCACCGTTGGGCGATTCTGTAGAACCTCCTAGGTCTGTCCAAGACCTGTCAGGAGGTTGTCTGTTCCCTTCTTCCCGTTCTGTCCCCCAGCTTGTGGGGGTTTCAGTACTGTCCCAAAACTCAGTTGCCCCCTGAGTGAAATCAGAGGTGTTGCAGTTGGGATTTGGTTCCTCGACCACTTCCTTGTATGTTTGCCCCCTTCTATGGGCAGGGGTAGTGTCGGGCCAACTAGAAGGAGTGTGTGCCAGCTCTCTTGCAGGGTATGATTTGTTGGGATGCTCCCGGGTATCCTCCCTGACTGGAGTACTGAGTGATGCAGGTGAATAGTGATTATGCCCCCGGGGTGACTCCCTGGCTGGAGTAGGCGTTGATACCTGATTTCTAGTTGAATTCCTGTTTGGAGCACTCGCGGAATTTTGGGATGAGCTGTCTGTAGCTTCCTCATTAATGATGGGCAGCAGCCCATACTCTTCCCTTTGCCCAAAGGGGCCCCCCTCCCCCCCTGGAAAAGACCCAGGAGCCTCAGCGGGAAGGTCCCGTCTAGGGCGAAGTTGGTCGATGTGTCGACGCAGGACACGACCGTTGTCCAGGGACACCTCGTAAGACAGGACCGGTGACCCTGGATACAGCAGCGGGGACCCATGAATGTCCAGGCCCGTAATTACGAGTCCAAACCGGGGCACCCACAAGCAGTTGTCTAGGTGCCCCGGGGTGTGTGGGAGAAGAAGGCAGTCTGTCCGGATGCAACTGGTCAAGCTTGGTAATCAGTTTGTGTTCCCAACGAAGTTCAGCTGGGCTCCTCCCCGTAGAAGTGGACGGTGAGAGATAGATTTGTATGCGGACTAAGGCATAGAGAATTACAGCAGAGATTTTTTGCCAAAGAAGACTTATAAAAGAGTCAAAGTTGCTTATACCCCTACCCTAGACCAGGGGTAGGCAACCTTGGCTCTTTTATGACTCGTGGACTTCAACTCCCAGAATTCCTCAGCCAGCCTGGCTCAGCTTGGAAACCTCTCCCTTTCCCCTCAGCATAGCTGACAGGAATTCTGGGAGTTGAAGTCCACGAGTCATAAAAGAGCCGAGATTGCCTACCCCTGCCCTAGACCAGTGGTTCTCAACCTGTGGGTCGGGACCCCATTTGGGGTCGAATGACCATTTCACGGGGGTCGCCAAACAATGCAGTCCGTCATTTTTTTCCCCCTTTTCCTTAGCTGTGCTCTTCCCTTTTATTCTATTGGCTTTTGAAAGCCAATAGAATAGACTCTCTTGAATAGAGTCTAATTCTATTGGCTTTCAAAAGCCAATAGGAATTGTCCTATTCTGCAGATGGTGCTGCACCAGTTGAGTAGTCCTCGATTTACGACCGGTTGAGTAGTCCTCGACTTACGACCGGTTTGGGGTTGCGGCATTAAAAAGGTTGAGAACCACTGCCCTAGACAAACGAATTTGAGTGGATTAAAAGATTCAGCCCCTTTAAGGCCTAGAAAAGATTTTTTGGGGAAGTTATGGTTCCTTTAAGAGACAGAGGAGGGCGGGGCAATGACGTCACAAAGCATATGATTTATCGGCTCTCCTAAATCCTCCTCTTCCCCCCCCCCCACGCTTTCATCACATGCCTCTAGCCGGCCTCAGAGAAAAAAAAGCGGAGTGTTTCAACCACTATTTCCGGTTCCGATTAGAATTAGCACTAGAGGGATTTAGGACCCCCCCCCCAAATGGAGGCATTTCAAGACTCTCCAGCCGAAAGGGAACTTGTTCCGTTGCTTTTAGTTTATACTTAACGTTTTAAGGTTGCCATTTCAACGTGCACGGTGGAAATTAGCGCCGTTCCGTTGCAGTTTTCCCTCTTTGCGTGCCCCTCTCCTCCCACGCTTTCTCCGCTCGGGAGCCGGAAGCTGATGGGCGGAAACGCAAACCCTGCAAGCCCTTTAGTCTCGTGGCACGTGACGGGGCGGGGCGACGCTGGTAGGTGGGTGAAGCCGGAAGAGGAACCCCAGTGAATTTACCACCAGGCGAGATGAGTGGTTTGGGGAAGCTATTTGGGAAAGGTGAGGCTCCTATTTCCATGTTCCACCCCCGCCACAGAGTTGGTATCGCCCGAAGCCATAGGGGATCCCTAGACTTGGGAGCAACCAAGTGGCGCCGGGGGGGGGGGAGAAAGAGAGAGAGAAGCGAGGAAAGAAAGAAAGGATGGATAAATGAAAAGAGAGAGAAATAAGGGGGTTGTTATTTTTCCCCCCTAAAATGGGGGCTTATTTACAGGAAATGTGGCTTGGAGACACTAGGTGGTTTTAATTGCCCCTCCTCTCCAGTCTTCCCGGGCTGGGTGAAGAGGTGCAGCCCCTCCCCCCCAAATGCAGAAAAGGACCTGCTGATTATTTTGGGAGGGGGGGTGGGGAAGATTTATATGCGAGATTTGAGAGCCCCGTAGAATGATTCTGCTTTTCTCATCTTCTTTTGATAACATTTTAAAAAAGCAACCCTGAACTAATTTTATGGAAAGCTGAAGAAAAAGGATGCATGCCCCCCCTCCCCAAAATGGTGTATTCCACTTATGCATTGGGTTGGGGCTAGGATCAGGCTGGGGGATGATGGGAGACCCGACCCGTTGGGGATGATGGGACCCTCAATCCGATGGGGATGATGGGAGCCTCAAGTCAACAAGGATGATGGGGCCCCCAACCAATTGGGATGATGGGAACCCCAACCTAATAAGGATGATGGGAACCCCAACTCAATGGGGATGATGGGAACCCAACCCAACGGGGATGATGGGAACCCCAACCCAACGGGGATGATGGGAACCCCAACACAATGGGGATGATGGGAATCCCAACACAATGGGGATAATGGAACCCCAACTCAATGGGGATAATGGAACCCCAACCCAACGGGGATGATGGAACCCCAACTCAATGAGAATGATGGGAACCCCAACCCAATGGGGATAATGGAACCCCCAACTCAATGGGGATGATGGGAACCCAACTCAATGGGGATGATGGGAACCCCAACCCAATGGGGATAATGGAACCCCAACTCAACGGGGATGATGGGAACCCCAACCCAACGGGGATGATGGGAACCCCAACACAATGGGGATGATGGGAATCCCAACACAATGGGGATAATGGAACCCCAACTCAATGGGGATGATGGGAACCCCAATTCAATGGGGATGATGGGAACCCCAACCCAATGGGGATAATGGAACCCCAGCTCAACGGGGATGATGGGAACCCCAACCCAACGGGGATGATGGGAACCCCAACACAACGGGGATGATGGGAACCCCAACACAATGGGGATGATGGGAACCCCAACCCAATGGGGATAATGGAACCCCAACTCAATGGGGATGATGGGAACCCCAGCCCGGGGATGATGGGAACCCAACTCAATGGGGATGACAGGATCCCCAACTCAGTGGGGATGATGGGACCCCCAACCAGTGGAACAGCTTACCCCCAGAAATCGTGGGTGCTCCATCACTGGAGATTTTTAAGAAGAGACTGGGCAGTCACCTGTCTGAGACAGTATAGGTTCTCCTGCTTGAGCAGGGGCTGGTCTAGAAGACCTCCAAGGTCCCTTCCAGCTCAATTCTAATTCTAATCTATCCCAACGGCACTGATGGGACCTCCAATTCATTGGGAATGATGGGATCCCCAACTCAACGAGGATGGTGGGACCCCCAACCCAACAAGGACAGGACCCCCAACTCACTGGGGATAATGGCACCCCCAACTCAAGAGGGATGACAACCCAACGCATCAGAAGAACACCATTTTTGAACAAAGCAGCTTCACGGCCATCATCTTGTAATGATGAATTTCTTCGATTTGACAACTCCCCCCCCCCCGTTCTCCAGGCAAGAAGGCCAAGGCCCCCACCCCTCAGGAGGCCATCCAGAAACTGCACGAGACGGAAACAATCCTCGTCAAGAAGCAGGAATTCCTGGAAGAGAAGATCCAGCAGGAGCTACAGTCGGCTAAGAAACATGGCACAAAGAACAAAAGAGGTAGGAGAAGAAGGGGGAGGGTTTTGGGAAAGGGGAACAGCCAAACCTGACCCCCCTCCCCAAAGGAATAAGGAGGAGCTGGGAAAGATAAGAGGGTCCTTGAAGGAAAAAAGAAATAGGAAATCTTCTCCCTAACTTACGCAACTATTGGAATTCCTCTTCTCTGTATCATCAGTTGTGGTGTTCTTTGAAATACACACAGGTGTGAATGTGCTCCTGTGGGTGCTGCTTTGATTTATGCATTCAGTTCGTACCCTCATTGCAGGGAAGGGATGATTTAGGGTAGGGTCTTTGGTGCTCTCCGATCTTGGTTGTTTCCTTGCAGACGTTTCTTGACCCAACTAGGTAGCGTCATCAGTGCTAGAAGAGAGCGTGGTTTGTGGAGTAGAGGAGAAAGGAAGGAGGAGGGGAGGAGGAGGAGAAAGAGGAGGAAGAAAGGAGGACTGTGGGGTCCTTTGTGCTCTCTGAGCTTGGCTGTTTTCTTGCAGACGTTTCATGACCCAACTAGGGAACATCATCAGTGCTAGAAGGGAGTGAGGGAGGAGGAGGAGGAGGACTGTGGGGTCCTTGATGCTCTCTGAGCTTGGTTGTTTTCTTGCAGACGTTTCACGACCCAACTAGGTGACATCATCAGTTACCTTGATGATGTTAAGCACTGATTGTTACATTGATGTTAGGCACTGATGACATTACCTAGCTGGGTCTTGAAACGTCTGCAAGAAAACACCCAAGCTCAAAGAACACCAAGGACCCCACAATCCTCTTCCTCGTCTTCTTCCTTCATTTCCTTCTTGCACTGATGATGTTATCTAATTGGGTCACGAAATGTCTGCAAGAAAACCACCCAGCTCAGGGACCCTAAGGACCCCCCCCCTCCTCCTTCTCCTCCTCCATCTTCCTTTTCTATCACTGATGATGTCTCCTAGTTGGGTCATGAAACATCTGCAAGAAAACCACCCAGCTGAGAGAGCACCAGGGACCCCACAACTCAGCCCTGAGCTACAGATAATTCTCTTCTCTAATTTAGGGGGCCAAAAATCAGAGATTTGCTAGCACCATTTTGGATTCACCCATTTTATGGAAAAGACAGAGGCTTTCCTGAGTGCAACTCACTTCATCAGGAACATTCAAAAAACGCCTCTTTTAATAAAACCAAAGAGTCAGAAAAGACACTGCCAGGCTCCTAATATTATTTATGTGTCCTTTGCCGGGCCCGATTTAAAGGCGCATTACAAAAAGTTCAAAAACTGCCTATAATCAGTTTCAATCCTGACTCCTCAGATCTCTGTTTGTACCATATCTTCTTTATACATGCTGGCTGACCTTGTCTGGATTTCGCTAAACAAGAGTCAGGCTGATTAGTAACTGAGATAGCAAACAAAATCCTAGAGCAGGGGTAGGCAATCTTGGCTCTTTTATGACTCGTGGACTTCAACTCCCAGAATTCTTCAGCCAGTGTGAGGGAACTACGACCCTTTTATGACTTGTGGACTTCAACTCCCAGAATTCCTCAGCCAGCGTGAGGGAACTATGATCCTTTTATGACTCGTGGACTTCAACTCCCAGAATTCCTCAGCCAGCGTGAGGGAACTATGACCCTTTTATGACTTGTGGACTTCAACTCCCAGAATTCCTCAGCCAGCGTGAGGGAACTATGACCCTTTTATGACTTGTGGACTTCAACTCCCAGAAGAATTCTGAGAATTGAATGGCTGAGGAATTCTGGGCGTTGAAGTCTACAAGTCATTAAAGGGCCAAGTTTGAAAAGCTCTGCTTGTGGACTTCAACTCCCAGAATTCCTCAGCCAGGCACGCTGGCTGAGGAATTCTGGGAGTTGAAGTCCACAAGTCATCAAAGAGCCATGTTTGAAGACCCCTGCTTGGCTGAGCTTGGAAACCTCTCCCTTTCCCCTCAGCATGGCTGGCTCAGGAATTCTGGGAGTTGAAGTCCACGACTCATAAAAGAGCCAAGGTGGCCTACCCCTGTCCTAGAGTGTAGCAGTTTCTCAACTCCGCCCTCTTTAAGATGTGTGGACTTCAACTCCCAGCATCCCCCACCTTGCAAAGTGAGATTAAATGGGAAAATCCTAGAAAAAGATTTACAGGTCGTCCTCAATTTACGACCAAAATTGGGCCCAAAATTTGTCCAGTGAATTTTGTTCCATTTTACAACCTGCAGTTGTTAAGTTAGGAACACAGTGGGTAAGTGAATATGGCTTCCCTAATGACTTTGCTTGTCGGAAGGTTGCAAAGCGGGATCACATGACCCTGGCACAGTGCGACCGTCATAAATACGAGTCAGTGGCCCAGTATCCGAATTTTGATCCTTTGATCATGGAGATACAACAGTTGTAAGTATGAAAAACGAAGTCCTCAGTCGCTTTTTTCACTGCCGTTGCAACGTTGAACGGTCACTAAACAAAGTGTTGTAAGTTGAGGACTTACGTGTCCTGTTTAGCCTGCCAATTCTGTTGTCAAATGAACTGTACGGACAAATGCAGTTGATTCAGTGACCGTTCAAAGTTACAACGGCGCTCAAAAAAGGAACCTCGGACTGTTTTTCAGGCGACCGTTGCCGCCTTTACGGGATCGAAATTCAGACTCGTATTTACAACGGTCGCAGCGTCCTGGGTCATGTGATTCACCCTTTGGTGATGTTGCGACAAGCAACGTCGTTGGGGATTCCGGATTTACTTAACAACCATATTAACTAACGTAATAACTGCAGTGATTCACTTAAGAACTGTGCCAAGAAAGGTCGTAAAATGGGGCAAAACTCACTTTACAACTATCTCACTTAGCCACATAAATTTTGGGCTCAACGGTAACGGTAAGTCAAGGATTTCCTGTATGTCGCCCATAATCCGTTTCAAACAATCAGTGGAGGAGGAAAAAACCCCACAAGGAAGTAATTTTAATGGTGTTATATAAACACCATTGCAAATAACTTCCTTGTGGCTTTTATACAAACACACAATCCTAATAGCGGCCTTGAAATTAATCTCCACTAATTGTGGCTAATGGCATCGATAATTTTTTTTAAAGACTATTATCTAATTTTTCTGCTGTAATCATTTGGTTAGCTCTGTCAATCAATCCCACACAATTCGTCCTTGACTTAACAACTACAACAGGGACTGGAATTTCCTTTGCTAAGATAGCCGGTGGTTAAGTGAGTTGTGTGTCCAATTTTGCCGCCTTTTTTGACCGCCATTGTTAAAGGAATCAAGCAGTTGTTAAAAGAAGCCGGCTTCCCCATTTGACTCTGCCGGTCGGAAGCCAGCTGGGGAGGTTGCAAAATGGCGGTCACCAGGGCGTTGTAAAGTGAGGCCTGGGTATCAGTCAGCACTATTTTCAGTGCCGTTGTAACTTTGAACGGTCGCTAAGCGAATCGAGGACTAGCTATGGGCAGGATTGGCAGTTTGGCTGTTTGCAAGCCCTTCTTGCCTGACTACCCCAAAGTCAGTCTCCTTTCTTGTATTTGAGGGTCTTGCCGTGGCTTCTCTCCTCCATGAGGACCAGAAACATGGGAGGGTTGCATTGGTTTGGAAAGGGAACCTCACAGGGGCCAATCAGCTTCTGAGCCTCCTTTCCTTCTCCATGCAGCTGCTTTGCAAGCCCTCAAGCGGAAGAAACGCTACGAGCAGCAGCTGGCCCAAATCGACGGGACCCTCTCCACCATCGAATTCCAGCGCGAGGCCCTGGAAAACGCCACCACCAACACCGAAGTGCTCAAGACCATGTCGGACGCTGCCCGGGCCATGAAAGAGGCGCACCAGCATATGTGAGTGGTCCCCCTTTCCCCCCCCAGGGCGCCAGGGGTAGGCCACCTTGGCTCTTTTATGACTCGTGGACTTCAATCCCAGAATTCCTGAGCCAGCATGGGGGAACTAATACTCCCTTGATGACTCGTGGACTTCAACTCCCAGAATTCCTCAGCCAGCCTGGCTCAGCTTGGAATCCTCTCCCTTTCCCCTCAGCATGTCTGGCTCAGGAATTCTGGGAGTTGAAGTCCACGAGTCATAAAAGAGCCAAGGTTGCCTACCCCTGCCCCAGGCGATAGAATGAGCATTCCAGTTCCTCCTTTGATTCCAAAGGCTGGTCCGTGTTTTGCCTTTAGCTTAGAGCATTGTTTTTTCAACGTCGTCCCCTTGAAGATGGGTGGACTTCATCTCCCACAATTCCCCACCCTACATCCTCCTCCTCCTCCTCTTCTCTCTTCCTCTTCCTTTTCCTTCTCTCCTCCTCTCCCTCCTCCCCTCCCCTGCCTGCTCCTCCTCTTCCTCCTTCTCTTCCTTTTCCTTTTTCTTTTCTTCCTCCTCTGCCCCCTCCCCTCCTCTTCCTCCCCCTCCTTCTCTCCCTTTTCCTTTTCCCCTCCCCTGCCTGCTCCTCCTCTCCTTCTCCTCCTCTTCCCTTCTTCCTCTTCCTCCTACTTCTCTTCCTTTCTTTTTCTCTTCTTCCTCCTCTGCCTGCTGCCCTCCCCTCCATCACCTCCTCCCCCCCTTCTCTATATTGAAACCCCACTCTCTTATAGCACTGATGATGTTACTTAGTCAGGTCATGAAACGTCTGCAAGAAAACCACCTGGCTCAGAGATTCCTCAGTCGTCGTCCTCCTCCCCCTCCTCCTCCTCCTCCTCCTCCCTCCTTCTAGCACTGATGATGCTACCTAGTTGGGTCATGAAACGTCTGCAAGAAAACAACCCAGCTCAGAGACCACTAAGGATCCCACAGTTGTTGTCCTCTTCCTGCTCCTCCTCCCCCTCCCCTCCCCCTCCTCCTCCTCCCCCCTCCACAAACCCCACTCCCTCCTAGCACTGATGCTGTTGCCTAGTCGGGTCATGAAACGTCTGCAAGAAAACAAGCAAGCTCAGAGAGACCGCCAAGGACCTCTCAGCTTTCTTCTCCTTCCTTCTTCCTTCTCTCCCTCTCCCGCTCTAGGGACATCGACAAAGTGGACGACTTAATGTCCGAAATCACCGAACAGCAGGACATCGCTCAGCAGATCTCCGACGCCATATCTAAGCCGGTTGGCTTTGGGGACGATGTGGATGAGGTAAGGAGGGGCGCGATCCTTGCGGTGGCGTTCGGAGGGAGGGGCCCTGGGAGGCAGAGGCCTTGGATGCGCATCTCGCACCTTCGAAGGACGCCTTTGCCATCCGTCCGGTCAACTCAACAAGATTTGTTGTTTTCTTGTCATGTACGTGTGTGTGTATGTACATATACATATATGCGCACACACACATACACACACACACACACACACGAACTAGATTGGGTTATTTCTTTCTCTGGGCCACGTGTGTGTGTGTATGTGGGTATATGGGTAATTTATTTTATTTTGTCACATTTATGCAGTGTATGAGGTGGTTACCCTCTGAAAGCTGTACGCAACGAAATCTCATTTTAATGTAGGCTGATTGGTACACATTTAAAGTGACAATAAAGCTATTCTGTTCTATTCTATTCTATTCTTGTTCTATTCTTGTTCTATTCTTTATTTCTATTCTATTCTATTCTTGTTCTATTCTATTCTTGTTCTATTCTTTATTTCTATTCTATTCTATTCTATTCTTGTTCTATTCTGTTCTATTCTTTATTTCTATTCTATTCTATTCTTGTTCTATTCTATTCTGTTCTATTCTTTATTTCTATTCTATTCTATTAATATTATTCTATAATATTCTATATTCTATTCTATTCTATTCTTGTTCTATTCTATTGTTCTATTCTGTTCTATTCTTTATTTCTATTCTATTCTATTTATATTATTCTGTTCTATTCTATCCCATAATTCTATTCTATTCTATTCTTGTTCTATTGTTGTTCTATTCTATTGTTCTATTCTGTTCTATTCTTTATTTCTATTCTATTCTTGTTCTATTCTATTCTTGTTCTATTTTGTTCTATTCTTTATTTCTGTTCTATTAATATTATTCTATTCTAATATTCTGTTCTATTCTATTCTATTCTATTCTATTCTATTCTATTCTATTCTATTCTATTCTATTCTATCCTATCCCATAATTCTATTCTATTCTATTCTATTCTATTCTATTCTATTCTATTCTATCCCATAATTCTATTCTATTCTATTCTATTCTATTCTATTCTATTCTATTCTATTCTATTCTATTCTATTCTATTCTTCTATATTTCTATTCCATTCCATTCTCTATTTCAATTCCTATTCCTATTTTTTCTACTTCTGCTTCTATTCACAGGATGAGCTGCTGGCTGAACTGGAAGAGATGGAACAGGAAGATCTGGACAAGGAGCTTCTCAACGTGGGCGAGACCAGTCCGGAGCTCCCCAGTGTCCCCTCTTCTCGCCTCCCCAGTGTGCCAGGTATGACAACATCCCCACCCTTGCAGTTTAACGCAGGACGTTCTCGACTTACGACCACAACAGCCACTGACCTTTCTGTTGCTTAACAAGGCTGTGGTGAATTGAGCTGCACCCAGTTTCAAAACCCTTTCCTTAAGTGAAACCCATGTGCTTGTTAAGTGAGTCACTTGGTCGTTAAGCGAATCCAGCTTCCCCATTGATTTTGTGTGTCCGAAGCTGGCTGGGAAGTCCGCAAAGGGCAGGGGGTGTCACGTGATTCCGGGCCCTACCACCAGTGTAAAACTACATACCGGTTGCCAAGCACCCAAATTTTGATTATGTGACCGCAGGTATGCTGCAATGGCCATAAGTATAAGGACTGGTGATAAGTATGAGGACTGTTCAGTGAGTTGTAACTTCGGTCATTAAACAAGTGGTTGTAAGTCAAGGACCACCTATATCAGGGGTCTTCCAACTTGGCCCTTTGATGACTAGTGGACTTCAAATCCCAGAATTCCTCAGCTAGCGTGCCTGGCTAAGGAATTCTGGGAGTTGAAGTCCACAAGTCATCAAAGGGTCCTAATTCCCTCACGCGGGCTGAGGAATTCTGGGAGTTGAAGTCCACAAGTCATAAAAGGATCACAGTTCCCTCACACTGGCTGAGGAATTCTGGGAGTTGAAGTCCACAAATCATCAAAGGGTCCTAGTTCCCTCACGCTGGCTGAGGAATTCTGGGAGTTGAAGTCCACAAGTCATCAAAGGGCCAAGTTCCAAGACCCCTGACCCCTCATGTGACGAAAGAACCCCCCTCTTCAGTCTGACTCTTAGCTGTGGCAAATGTAGTCCTTTACTTAACGACCACAAGTGAGCCCAACATTTCAGTTGTTAAGCGAGACATTTGTTAAGTGGGCTTTGCCCCATTTTACGACCTGTCTTGTCACCGTTGTTAAGTTGAATTGCCGCACTTGATAAGTTAGTAACCTGGTCGCTAAGCGAATCCCGCTTCCCCCCATTGACTCTGCTTGTCGGAAGGTTGCAAAAGGGGATATCACGTGACCCAGGGGGGCGCTGCAACCGTCATAATTACATGCCAGTTTCCAAGCCTTTGAATTTTGATCACGTGACCACGTGGGGATGCTGCACAGGCGGTAACCATGTCACATTTTTCAGTGTAATTTTGTACGGTCACTAAATGAACTGTTATAAGCTGAGCACTACCTGTATAATTTCCAGGAGCCCGGATGTGGACAATGGGATGCTAGCCCCCCCCCCCCACCTCCGGCCCACATAGACACATAGATATTAGGTCCCTTAAGAGATGTCTCGGGTTCAAATCTCGCTCTTTCCTTCCCGCAGCTTCCAAAGTGCCCTCCGCCTCCCTGGATGAGGAAGACGAGGAAATGAAACAGCTCGCCGCCTGGGTGTCGTGATGCATTGTGGGAAATTCCCCCCTCCACCTCCCTTGGTTTTCTTCGCAGATAGCGGCAGAGAGGAGCCATTTTGTCCCCTCCGGTTTCCATTGCCAGGGAAGTTTTTTTGGGGGGGAGGCGGAGGGGAGGACAAAAAAAAAAAGAGAGAGGGGAGGGGCGGAAGTCACACACACCCTGCCTAAAATGACCTTACGTGCCGAATGTAAAGAGTTTTATAGACAGATTTATATAAATATATAAATATATATATAGATATCTATATCAACCATAGGAGAAGGGGGATCCTCTTTGGGGGCGGGGCTTAAAAGACCTCCCTCCCTGCCCGCCCGCCCCCCACCCCCCTCCCCATACACAGACTGAATCTTTACATCATCTTTTAGGGATTAACTTTTTTTTCTTTCTTTTTTTTTTTTCAGTCCAAAAATTAAAAAAAAAATAAACAGGATTTGTGCCCTTCGTCAGGGAGGGGGAGGGCTCAGGAGGAGCGGAGGGTGTGACACACAAACACCCCCCCCCCCACACACACACACATATTTACTCCCTGAAAATGAAGCTTGGGGAAAAAAATTCTCCAGAATTTGTTCCTTTGTTCTGTCCTCTGTCTGGCTCACTGTCCGATTTTGGGGGAGTCGTTCCCACAATTGGTGCTCTCTCTCTCTTTCTCTCTCTCTCTCTCTCTCTCTCTCATTCTGTCTCTCACTCTCATTCTTTCTTTTTCTCTCTCTTTCTCACACTCTTTCCCTTTCTCTCATTCTCTCTCTCACTCGCTTTCTCTCTCTCACACTTTCTCTCTCTCACACTCTCTCTCCCTCCCTATCTTTTTTCTCTCTCTTTCTCCCTTTCTCACTCTCTCTCTTTCTTTCATTCTGTCTCTCACTCATTCTTTCTTTTTCTCTCTTTCTCTCTCACACTCTTTCCCTTTCTCTCATTCTCTCTTTCTCTTTCTCTCACACTTTCTCTCTCTCTCACGCTTTCTCTCTCCCTCCCTATCTTTTTTTTCTCCCTTTCTCTCTCTCTCTCATTCTGTCTCTCATTCTCTCTCTCCCTCTCTCCCTCTCTCTCTCTCTCTCTCTCTCCCCTTTTGGGGGGCTGGGAGGTCAGCTTCGTCTCCGGTGCCTGTGGCCACAACCAACAACACAAAACACACACTCTGCTTGTGGTAAAAGATGCAGTCTAGGATTCTCCTCCCGCGTGTTGCAAAAGAATTTGGGGTGGGGGTTTTGGGGGTGGGGGGCGTTCCGCTTCCAAAGCTGGATGGATGGAGGGGCGGGCGGGTAGGGGGGATATCAGGAATTAAGGGAGAAAATTGGAATTTAGTTTGGACTGGAGGTACTGTCTGTCCCGGTTTTATCGGTAGCGTGTATCTGTTGACACGGTTTTGAAGTTCGTCTGTTAGGGTTCTCTTCGACTTGCGCTTGTGTGTTGTTGTTTTTTCTGTTTTAAGGCTTGCTCAGTCTCTCTTTTTATATATATATATAAAAAAATCGACTTTTGGGCAGGAGCTGGGATGGGGGGGGAAGCGTGGCCCCCGCCGACACGTGTGCACTCCTGTGGTGACTCGTTGCTTTGTTGCTTTCTGTGCCCGGTGAATAAAGTGCCCTGACGTGTGTTGTCTGAAGTGTCTCTTGTCTCAAAGTGACATCTTTTTCTCCATAGCCCAACCAAAAAAAAAAAAACAAAAACCCTTGTTCTTGCTGCAATTTACACTCCAAACCAATGTTTTTCAACCTCTGCCACTTTAAGAGGTACGGACTTCAACTCCCAGAATTCCCCAGCCAGCCATGATGGCTGGAGAATTCTGGGAGTTGACGTTTGCACCTCTTAAAATGGCAGAGGTTAAAAAAAAAACAACACTGTTCTGGTAGCCAAAACTTCAGAAATTTGGTAATTTCTTACATCAGCTCCTGATTTTTTTTTGACAGAATGAATCTTTTACCTCATTTTTGGCACATTGGACCATTTATCCCTGGTTTTTTTCAACCATAGCCACTTTAAGATGCGTGGACTTCAACTCCCAGGATTCCATGCGTATATGTACTTCAACTCCTAGGATTCCGTGCATATGTGAACTTCAACTCCCAGGATTCCATGTATATATATATGTATGTATGTATGTACACATACACACACACACACACACACACTCTTCAACTCCCAGGATTCTATGCGTACGTGAACTTCAACTCCCAGGAGTCCATTTGTATGTGAACTTCAACTCCCAGGAGTCTATGCTTAAGACAGGCAGACTTGAACTCCCAGAATTCCATGCTTAAGTGGACTTCAACTCTCAAGATTCCATGCTTAAGGCATCTGGACTTCAACTCGCAGAATTCCATGCTTATGTGGATTTCAACTCCCATGATTCTATGTTCACGATACGTGGACTTCAATTGATGAAGCATTTGTCCAGGGTTTTCCAACCTTAGCCATTTTAAGATGTGTGGACTTCAACTCCCAGGATTCCAAGCTTATGTTGAACTTCAACTCCCAGGAGGCCAGGTTTAAGATACCTGGACTTCAAGTCCCAGGATTCCATGCGTAAGAGAGGGAGACTTGGTGGCCTCTGAGGTGGGCGGTTTTCTTGCAGACGTCTCATTACTCAAACTAGGAAACTTCACCAGTGCTGGACTTCAATTCCCATAATTCCAAGCTGGCTGGGGAATCCTGGGAGTTGAAGTCCGCCTATCTTAAAAGTGGCCGAGGTTGAGATGTGCTGCCCAGGCTTCTAGGGACGGTTCAGAAGCAAAAAACTCTGTCCACCTTCAGAAAAACACAGGGAGTCCTTGACTTACGACCCACATTTCGGCGGCTAAGTGGGACATCCGTTCAGTGAGTTTTGGACACTGCAACCGTCATAAACACGAGTGTTTACATTTTGATGACATGACCGTGAAAAACGGTCCTTAGTCGCTTTTTTTAGCGCTGTTGTAATGTCCAACGGTCACTAAGCGAAGCATTGTAAGTCAAGGACTTGTAGCAAAGAATGAATTTCCAAAGCTCGCCCCCTCCGGTCTTCTTCTGCCCACTCTTCTTCCCCTCCCCCCTTTTAAAAAGGTGCCCTTTTCTCGGGAGTCTCCCTGCATTCCTGGGACATAATTGACACCGCCTCCCCGCAGCTAGAAATCCAGCAGCTCAGCCCAGCGTCCAGATGCAACATTGTAGAGTCCCATATATATATACATATATATATATAATATATATTTTAATCGGCTATTCAGCTGGTTTTCTCCGCGTTCTTAGACGGCTTGATCTGGCCCGTGCTCCGGATCCGGCTGGCTGGTTTTTTTTTGTCCGCCGTAAAAGTGAGGGACTTAGATTTGGTGTTGGGGGTAGGGGTGCTTTTGCCGGCCTCCGTCGTCCGGGGTCCGCAAATGGCCTCAAGCGCCTTCAGTTCGGAGGTGGGCTTCTCTGCCAAGAACTTCAGCACCCAGGACACTTTTAGGATCTCCAAGATGTTCAACCGTTTGGAGGCCGGGCGTAGGATGCGACGGATCAAGTCCTGCAAAGGAAAGTTCCCACGTTTGAACGCCACAGCCTCCTGATCGGGGTTCCCCCCCCCCCGCCGCCCCTCCCCGCTGCAGGGAGAGCGAGCCTACGACACACCTGTCCGAAGGGACGTTTACCCAATACCCAACTAAGTTTTGAAGAAGAGACTGGACAGCCATTTGTCTGAAATGGTATAGGGTTTCCTGCCTGAGCAGGGGGTTGGACTAGATGACCTCCAAGGTATCCTTCCAACTTTATTTTTTATTTTTATTTTTTATTTAAATTTTTATAAACTTTTTACAATAAAATCCCTCCCCCCTCCCTCCCCCCATACCCCCCTCAACTTTATTATTATTATTAATATTATTATTATTATTACCCGTGTTTGCCCCCAAATTGGACCTAACCGGAAAATAAGCCCTAGCGCAGTGGTTCTCAACCTTTTTAATGCCGCGACCCCCAACCGGTCATAAGTCGAGGACACTCAACCGGTCGTAAGTCAAGGGCTACTCAACTGGTGCAGCACCGTTTGCAGAATGGGACTTTTGGCGGGCTCAGCAAGGCAGAGACAGCCTGGACAATTCCTCTTGACTTTTGAAAGCCAATAGAATTAGACTCTATTCAAGAGAGTCTATTCTATTGGCTTTCAAAAGCCAATAGAATCAAAGGGAGTAGCACAGCTAAGGAAAAGGGGGAAAAAAAATGGCGGACTGCGTTGTTTGGCGACCCCCGTGAAATGGTCGTTCGACCCCAAATGGGGTCCCGACCCACAGTGGAGAACCACTGCCCTAGCGTGTTTTTTTTTTTTTCAGGATGCTCGTAATATAATCCCTACGTCAAAAATAAGCCCCAGTTAAGATTGGCAGCCAGATGGACGCGTTTAGTACCGTATTTCCCCGAAAATAAGGAAAATAACAGGAAAATAAACCCCTAATGCAGGGGTCTTGAAACTCGGCCCTTTGATGACTTGTGGAGTTCAATTCCCAGAATTCCTCAGCCAGCGTGCCTGGCTGAGGAATTCTGGGAGTTGAAGTCCACAAATCATCAAAGGACCGAGTTTGAAGACCCCTGCCCTAATGTGTCGTTTGGAGCAAAAATTAATATAAGACCAGGTTTTATTTTTGGGGAAACACGCTATTCTAGAATGGAAGGGGACAACTTGCCCATGGGACAATTCAGCCACTCTTATTTAACTGAGGGATCCTTGATGCTCTCTCTGAGCTTGCTTGTTTCCTTGCAGACGTTTCATGACCCAACTAGGGAACATCATCAGTGCTAGAAGGGAGTGTGGGAGGAGGAGGAGGATTGTGAGGTCCTTGGTGTTCTCTGAGCTTGCTTGTTTTCTTGCTGACATTTCATTACCCTAACTAGGGAACATCATCAGTGCTAGTCACTTCATTTAATTATTTGAAATAATGAAAAAAATATTTTAATTTTTGTCATTCACAGCTGCCTAAGAATGCAGTGGCTGTTATATGAGTGACAGCGCCAGTAAACTTTGGCATTTTCCAAAGGGAGGAAGGGAGGGAGGGAAGGAGAACGAGGGAGCAGAGTAGGGAGGGAAGGGAGGAGAGAGGGAGGAACAGAGAAGGGAGAGAAGGAAGGAGAAAGAGAAGGAAAGAGGAGGAGGGAAGGAAGGAGAACAGGAAAGAGGGAAGAGAGAGGGAGGAGAGGAAGGAGAAGTGGAAGTGGGGTAGAAAAAGGAAGTGAAGGAAAGAGAGAGGATGGAGGGAAGGGAGGAAGGAGAGGGAGGAAGGAAGGAACAAAGAAGTGAGGGAAGGAAGGAAGGATGGAAAGAAAGGGAGGAAGGACAATGAGGGAGCAGAGGAGGGGGGAAGGAAGGAGGGAGGAATGGAAGGGAAGGAGGGAAGGAAGAACAGGGAGGAGGGAGGGGAGGGAGGGAGGAACGAAGGAGAAGTGGGAGAGAAGGAGAATAAGGACAGAGGGAGGAGAGAAGGAAGGAAGGAGAAGTGGGAGAGAAGGAAGGACAATGGTGGAGGGAAGCAAGGAAAGAGGGAGGGAAGGAAGGAGGGAGGAATGGAAGGAAAGGAGGGAAGGAAGAACAGGGAGGAGGGAGGGAGGAACGAAGGAGAAGTGGGAGAGAAGGAGAATAAGGACAGAGGGAGGAGAGAAGGAAGGAAGGAGAAGTGGGAAAGAAGGAAGAACAATGGTGGAGGGAAGCAAGGAAAGAGGGAGGGAGGGAAGGAAGGAAAGAGATGACAAGGGAAGGAAGGGGAGGGAAAACGAAAGGGAAGGAAGGAAGGAAGGAAGGAAGGAAGGAAGGAAGGAAGGAAGGAAGGAAGGAAGGAAGGAAGTCCACCCGTCTGGCAGCCCCCATCATCCCCAGCCAGCGCCCGAGGGCCGAACCGCTCGGCCAGCCCTGCTTCTCACCTTGATCTCGTCGTTGATCTGGACTTGGCTGGGGAAGTTCACCTCCTTCTGAGTCTCCCTGAGCAGCTTCTTCAGGTTGGTGTCGTCGAAGGGCAGGTGGGCCACCACCAGGGTGTAGAGGATGACGCCCATGCTCCAGGTGTCGGAGAGGAAAGGGTTGTAGGGAAGGCCCAGCAGGATCTCCGGGCAGGCGTAGGCGAAGCTGCCGCAGTAGGTCTGGCTGAGGTGGGAGAAGCAGCTCATCATGCGGTAGGAAGGGGTGGGCGGGGGCTGCATCTGGGGGGCCACCATCTTGGAGAAGCCGAAGTCCGAGATCTTGATGTTCTCCCGCTTGTCCAGCAGCAGGTTCTCCAGCTTCAGGTCCCTGCCGTTCAAGGGGAAGAGTGTCACAGCCAGTCCTCGACTTTACGACCGCAATGGAGCACCAGAATTTCTGTGGTGGAGCAAGACAAATCTCTATGGTAGGGGTCTTCCAACTTGGCCCTTTGACGACTTGTGGACTTCAACTCCCAGAATTCCTCAGCCAGGCATGCCTGGCTGAGGAATTCTGGGAGTTGAAGTCCACAAGTCATCAAACGGCTGAGTTTGAAGACCCCTGCTTGTGGACTTCAACTTCCAGAATTCCTCAGCCAGGCACGCTGGCTGAGGAATTCTGGGAGTTGAAGTCCACAAGTCTTGAAAGGGCCAAGACCCCAGGTTGTGGACTTCAATTCCCAGAATTCCTCAGCCGGGCACGCCAACTGAGGAATTCTGGGAGTTGAAGTCCACAAGTCATCAAAAGGCCGAGTTTGAAGAGCCCTGCTTGTGGACTTCCCAGAATTCCTCAACCAGCATGCCTGGCTGAGGAATTCTGGGAGCTGAAGTCCACAAGTCATAAAGTGACCCAGATTGGGGACTCTGGCCTACCTCAAAAGAACTGACAGCTAAAAAAAATGGAGGAAAGACAATCCCAATTCCTCACCTCTGTTTGAAACTAGGCTGGGATAGAAACCCAAAAGACACAATTAACACACACAAACACACACATACATATACACATACACACACCGATGCACAATGGCCTTGCCATGCAGGTAAGCGATGCCCAGGGTCAGTTGCGAGAACCACTTGCCAGCCAGGGCTTCCGAACACGCTCCAGATTTCTGGATCCATTCCAAGACATCACCGCTTGGTGCCAACTCCATGATGATGTAATGGCGGGAGGTGGTCTCAATGGCCTGGTAGAAACTGATGACGTATTTGTGGCGGAGGCTCTTCATCACCTGGAGAGGACAGAAGGCTTGGGGTTCGAATCACGACTTGGCCCACCTGTTCTTCTTTAGTGTCATAACTTTGGTCACTAAAGGAGCTTTTATAAGTCAAGGACTTCCTGTATTATGTTGAACCCCCGGAAGGAGTTCTTGCAAGGGTATGAAGGTAGATGTTTACAATTAACCAGGGGAACTCCCTGCCTCCAGTAATTGTGAATGCTCCAACACTGGAGGTTTTTAAGAAGAGACTGGACAGCCATTTGTCTGAAATGGTATAGGGTTTCCTGCCTGAGGAGGGGGTTGGACTAGATGATCTCCAAGGTCCCTTCCATCTATTCTATTCTATTCTATTCTATTCTATTCTATTCTCCATTCCACTCCACTCCACTCCACTCCACTCCATTCCATTCCATTCTATTCTATTCTATTCTATTCTATTCTATTCTATTCTATTCTATTCTCCACTCCACTCCACTCCACTCCAATCCACTCCACTCCACTCCACTCCACTCCACTCCACTCCACTCCATTCTATTCTATTCTATTCTATTCTATTCTATTCTATTCTATTCTATTCTATTCTCCTCTCCACTCCACTCCACTCCACTCCATTCTATTCTATTCTATTCTATTCTATTCTATTCTATTCTATTCTATTCTATTCTATTCTATTCAGAGACCCGCGGGCACACAAACACACCCGTACACCGATCGTAACCTGTATTTCCCTGGGCAAGAACTTTGTGAGATAATCCTCCGAGGCCTTCTTCTTGGAGATGATCTTGATGGCCACCATGGACTTCTGCTTGGAGAAATAAGCTTCGTAGACCGTCCCGTAGGAGCCGTGCCCGATGGCTTTGCCAATTTGGTAGCCATACTGGTCCATCACCGAGACGTACGGCGTGGACGTTGAGTGTTCCACCATGTTGGAAAGCTGCTCCACCGGAGAGATCTCCTTCCAGCAATCGGTCGATTCGATCTCAACTCTAGGAAGACTTAAGAGGTGGAGCAGGACCTGCCTCAACCGAGGACGGCTGAGTAGACAACGCCTTGAGGGACTCTAGTCAGAAGATCTCACCAACCTTCTGCGAAAAGGATCAAGCGTTCCTCCCACTAGGTGTTCCTCTTCCCAACGATCTGGAAGAGGGACTTGTGTTTGGTTCCGAGGGGATCAGGTGGAGGTGGGAGATCCTGTTGGGATCCACCGGCCTTCACCCTGTTGAGTCTAGGATAGGAGTACCCAAAGAGACTTTGGTTCCCGGTGAAAATGTCCACAGGAATAACTGGCTGCAACCTTCAAGACGTGAAGGGTTGACCGGAATCACTCTGACCGGATCCCACCAGGAGTTCTGATGATGCCATAGCCGTGTTTAAGTCTTCTGGCTACCCTGATTGGCTGGTGGGGTTCCGGTTACCATAGAGAACCTTCTAGGAATTGTGGGCAGATATTGTCTTCCAACAGGAGAGAGTTCCACCAAGCCTAAGAGGGGAAGAGATCAATGGAAGAACTCCAATCCCCAGTTTAAATCCTATAATAATAATAATAAAGTTGGAAGGGATCTTGGAGGTCATCTGGCCCAACCCCCTGATCAGGCAGGAAACCGTATACCATTTCAGACAAATGGTTGTCCAGTCTCGTCTTATAAACCTCCAGTGTTGGAGACTTCACAATTTCTGGAGGCAGGTGGTTCCACTGGTTAATTGTTCTCACTGTTAGGAAATTTCTACTTAGTTCTAGGTGGCTTCTCTCCTTGATTAGAAAGTTGTGAATCCCTTGTAAACATCTACCTTTGTGTTCCCCCCCCCATTTTTTTCTGTTTTTTTTTCCAGGCCTTCCCATCTCTAGGTGGTGTTCCAGATGTTTTGGGATTGCACCCAAGGTGTCTATTACGCTACTACTACTATTATTACATATACAGGTCATCCCCGACTTACAGCCGTTCATTTAGTGACTGTGACCGTGCAAAGTTTCAACAGCACAGAAAAAAGTGACTTGCAACCGTTTTTCACGACCGCTACAGCATCCCCCGTGGTGACGGGATCAAAATTCAGGCACTTGGAATTATCGGTTTGTCCTTGGAAATCCCACAATATTTATATTTTAATCAGTTTTTCCGTATTTCTTTCCTGTGCCTTACATGCTTATGGTTTATTTAGCAGGGATTATTTATTTATGGTTTTATCACTTGATACGTGGGATTGTTTATTATTTATTTATTATTTATGGATATTTACTTATTTGCGGCCCGCTTCTTATGTATTTCTCAGGCGTGCTCCTTTATTTAATTATTTACTTTGCGCACTTTGTTTACATTTAGGTGGGCACTGTTGATTATTCAATGATTCGTTTAACACGTGCGATTTATTCACGTACATGCCTTGAGGCCAGAGGCACTGTTTGTGTATGATTTAATCATTTATTCGATATATTTATGATGTATAAGGTGACCAACCGTCCTCCTTTAGGGAGGACAGTTCTCCTTTTGTGAGTTCTGTCCTCCCTCAAAAGGTGTCCTCCTACACGTCCTCCTTTTCGATATTTGAAGACTAATCTGCAGGGCTTTTTTTTTCCCTCATAGAACGCTCAGAACGGCATTCCAGCACCTTTTTTTGATGGTTTTTTTTTTTAACTTTTGCATGAGCTGTGCTACTCCCCCTTTTGGCTTTCAAAAGCCAATAGGAATCGCTGCTGAGCGCGCCAAAACACCCAGCCGGCAAACTTTGCACATGTAAGTTATCTGCAGCGAAGGCGAATTGGCAGGAACTTTGCACCCCTCCCTGCTACCCAACTACACCATCTCCTAGTCCAGTGGTTCTCAACCTTTTTAATGCTGCGACCCCCAACCGGTCGTAAGTCGAGGACTACTCAACCGGTCGTAAGTCGAGGACTACTCAACTGGTGCAGCACCGTTTGCAGAACGGGACTTTTGGGGGGCTCAGCAGGGCAGAGACAGCCTGGACAATTCCTACTGGCTTTTGAAAGCCAATAGAATTAGACTCTATTCAAGAGAGTCTATTCTATTGGCTTTCAAAAGCCAATAGAATAAAAGGGAGTAGCACAGCTAAGGAAAAGGGGGGGGGGGGGAAATGGCGGACTGTGTTGTTTGGCGACCCCCGTGAAATGGTCGTTCGACCCCAAATGGGGTCCCAACCCACAGGTTGAGAACCGCTGTCCTAGTTAGTCCCGAAGATACCTGGAGGAGACTGGAGCAGCGACGCCACTTTGTCTTGATCTTTGGCCCTGCTAGGGCAATAATGGCTGCGGGCGCAAGAGGCAGGGGTGGCAGGGCTGCTGCGGGCGGGGATGTGAGGAGCAGTGGTGGCTGGCTGCCCCCCGTGCTGTGGGAGCCACGGGGTCCGCTCTACATGGGGCTGCGCAGGGTGGGTGATGGTGCTGGCGGGGCAGCTGCAGGCGGGGTGTGTTGGCGGCGGGCTGCTTCCCGGGGCCGGAGCCGGCGCAGTTGGTGTTTTGGGAGCCATGGGGCCCACTCTACATGGGGCAGCAGTGCTGGTGGGGCGGCTGCAGGTGGGAGCGCGGCATGTAAGCATAATTACAACATAAAATGTTATTGTTACAAATGTTTTTTTTATTATGCATGTATCATACTATAGTGTATTCTGTATTATCGTTGCAGTGAATAAAATGTTTCTTTTATTTACGATATTTTTTCTTCAATTTATTTGTGTCCTCCTTTTCATTGTTAAAAAAGTGGGTCACTTTAATGATGATGATCATTTTATCTCTGGATTGAAAAGCCGTTAGGAGATTAAACAATTAAAAGACAGTTCCGGAAGGAAATAAAGAGTACCATTTTTTTTTTGGAGATTCTTTCTTTTTTAGAGGGGTTGAGCTTCCCCTGCTGAATTTCTGCCTGCGCTGCTTCACGCCTCTTTTTTTCCATCACCACCCCCTCCATTCCAACGTGGGCCTGTCCCTTTAAGAAGTGGGCGGGGCCAGAGCGTGACAGCGCCCTGACGTCCCCGCCCTCCCTCCGGGAGGCCGCCCCTCCCGCTCCCCAACCCGGAACTGCGTCCTCCTGTGGGCAGCGAGGCCCCCGCGAACCGCTGAGGGCGGAAGCGATCGACAGACGTGGCTGAGGCTGCCCTAGGAGATCGCCTGAAGGACCCCAACCGCTTGGAAGCCCGCGGCTCTTCAATTCAGCCAGCCTTCGCTCTGGAGAAGCGCGCAGCGGAGGTGCGGAGAAGCTGAGCGCGGCCCTTCTGGGAAAAAAAGACGTCTTAAAGCCCGACGGGAGCCGGCTTAAAAAACAGGCAGCGCTACGGGCGTCCGCTCAGACTGAAGCCTTGCCCCCCCCTCTTTCAACTGCCCCCACCGCAGTTTGGGTGGCTGCACTTGTGAACTTTCGCCTTCCTTTTTTTATTAAGGGGCGAAAGAGGCTGCAGGAGGTTTCAGGCAGTGCGCGGGGCAGCCCTAGAGGTGCAGGTGAGAGGGGAGGGGGTCCCTTTGGGGGAGGGGGGCTTGGTGCATAGACCCTCCCCCCACCCCCTTTCCCTTCCTTGGGCTGCTCTCCTGCCCACCAGCCTGGGGGAAGGAAAGCTGCCAGCCCTGAGCCTGGCCTGGCCTGGCCTACCTTTCAGGGCTGTTGTGCAGATAAAAGGGGAGGGGGCGAAGCTCATGCTCTCCCACTTGGGGGTTTTTTTGGGGGGGTGGGGGAAACAGGCTTGTTAGGGCAGCAGGTCCATCCACCACCCCTCTCCCAGGGCCAAAGGAGACCCCCCCCAAACTGGACTTACCTGCATGGCTTGGGGAAGACACCCCTTTCCCCCCCATCAAGAAAGTGGGTGGGGGTCTCTAAAGCCAGGATCCCTGATTGGCCTGGCTGAAGGAGATCCTGAATGGGATCAGCAACTCCTTTCTGGAGTCTATGTTTTCCTCCCCCCCCCCCCCAAGGGTGTTTCTCAGAATTGGGTTCACACATTCTGCTGAGCCTTAAACCTCAGTTGGCCCAGCCGTCCTTTGCTAAACACATAGAAGCTGGCCTGCTTTGGCCCAACGTGCTAACCAGGAAGCCACCATATGGTAGCAGATTGAAATCCATCTTGGGAGGGGGGTAGAGACAGGAGGCTGGCCTAGATATACAGATATCTGGCTGGCTGTTTGTCTATTGTCTAATTTGATTTCTACCTGTCTACCGATCTATATCATCTGTTACCTATTTATCTACCTACTGATTCAATCATCCATCTATGATCTATCTATCTATCATCTATCTATCTATCTATCTATCTATCCATCTATCCATCCATTATTTATATCTATCTATCTATCAATCATCTACCTACTATCTACCTGTCTACCTACCTACTTACCTATCTATCATTTCTACATATCTACCTACCTAGCTACTTATCATCTTTACATCTCTGCCTATCATCTACCTACCTACTTACCCATCCATCCAGCTATCCATCTATCTATCCATCCGTCCGCCCGCCTGCCCATCTGTCTCTATCTATCTATCTATCTATCTATCTATCTATCTATCTATCTATCTATCTATCATCTACCTACTATCTACCTGTCCACCTACCTACTTACCTATCTTTCATTTCTACATATCTACCTACCTAGCTAGTTATCATCTTTACATCTCTGCCTATCATCTACCTACCTACTTCCCATCCATCCAGCTGCCCATCCATCTATCCATCCATCCATCCACCCGCCCGCCCATCCGTCCATATCTATCTATCTATCTATCTATCTATCTATCTATCTATCTATCTATCTATCTATCTATCTATCTATCTATCTATCTATCTATCTATCCCATCCATCCATCCATCCATCCATCCATCCATCCATTATCTCTCTCATAATATAATATACATGTACATCTAAGAAATATGTAAGTAATAATATATATAGTAGATATAAAAAAATCCCTCTCACCCTTATGGGTATTTCGGATCCTTTACCAGAGATCTGGGAGTTCTGCCCAGGATCTGGGTTGTTCCTAGCCCTGTACTCCTCTGGACAGTGAGCCCTGATGCTGTTTTGGGGATCTTTTGAAATCACAGCCCCAAGTGCTCTTACTACCAGTGGGACAACTTTGGCCTTGACTTCCCACATCCTCTCCCGCTTCTCTTTCAGACTCTGGTGCTTGTCCAGCCTCTCATATTCTCTCTTCCTGATGTTATTTTCATTTGGTATTGTTACTTCTATCACCACTACTACCATTGTCTTCTGGTCCTTATCTACTATCATGATGTCTGGTGGATTAGCCAGGAACTTCCTGTCTGTATATATGGAGCTTGATTATGCCGTTGGAAAATCTCAAAGAGTATGGCAGGACATTATGTCTGTCTGTCTGTCTGTCTGTCTGTCTGTCTGGATAGATAGATAGATAGATAGATAGATAGATATGGATGGATAGATGGATAGATGAGAGATAGATATGGATAGATGAGAGATATATAGATATGGATGGATGAGAGATATATAGATATGGATGGATAGATAGATAGATAGATAGATAGATAGATAGATAGATAGATAGATAGATAGATATGGATGGATGGATGGATGGATGGATATGGATAGATGAGAGATATATAGATATGGATGGAGAGATAGATAGATAGATAGATAATGGATGGATATGGATGGATAGATGGATAGATGAGAGACAGATATGGATGGATAGATAGATAATGATGGATGGATAGATAGATATGGATACATATATGGATAGATAAGATGGATAGATAGATAGATAGATAGATAGATAGATAGATAGATAGATATGGATGGATGGATAGATAGATAGATAGATAATGATGGATGGATAGACAGATATGGATATAGATATGGATAGATAAGATGGATAGATAGATAGATAGATAGGGATGGATGGATAGATAGATTAGATAGATAGATGAAAAGATTAGGTAAGTAGGTAGGTAGGTAGTAGGTAGGTAGAATTTCATAGAATAATAGAGTTGGAAGGGACATCGGAGGTCTTCTAGTCCAGCCCCCTGCTCAAGCAGGAGACCCTATACCAGTGATTCTCAACCTTTCTAATGCCGTGACCCCATAATACAGTTCCCCATGTTGTGGTGACCCCCAAGTGGGTGTGGCCACCAATAAGAGGGAGTAGGACAGCTAGGAAAAGGGAAAAAAATGGCGGACTGCATTGTTTGGCGACCCCCGTGAAATGGTCATTCGACCCCAAATGGGGTCCCGACCCACAGGTTGAGAACCACTGCCCTATACCATTTTAACAACCTGCCTCCAGAAGTGGTGAATGCTCCAACACTAGAAGTTTTTAAGAAGAGACTGGATAGCCATCTGTCCGAAATGGTACTATAGGGTTTCCTATAGTACCATTTCCTGGGAGTTGAAGTCCGCAAGTCATCAAAGAGCCAAGGTTGCCTACCCCTGCCCTAGTCCTTCTGGGAGTTGAATTCCACCAAGTTTGAGACATGCTATTGCAAGTTGCTTACTAGAGAAAATGACTCTTTTTTTTTTCCTCCACCCCAGCTCTTGCCCCCACCCTTGACCCTGAATCCTCCCCAACATGGCTCCCTCTCCTTTCCTTGCCCTCCTTGCCTCCTTCCTTCCTTTCCTGGCCGTGGCCTCTTCGGAGACTCACTACCAGCAGGGATCCAGGGTGATGCTCTACGTGAACAAAGTGGGACCTTACCACAACCCTCAGGAGACCTACCATTACTACCAGCTCCCCGTCTGCTCCCCGACTCCCATCCGCCACAAGAGCCTGTCCTTGGGGGAAGTGCTGGATGGGGACCGCATGGCCGAGTCCATGTACGAGATCCACTTCCGGCAGAATGTGGAGAGCAAGATCCTTTGCAAGAAGACGCTCTCCCCGGATGAGGTAAATCCCCCCCCAAAAAAACGGAGGACCCAAACTGGATTGCGGTACGAGGGCTCCTGGGTGCTCTCTGAGCTTGGCTGGTTTTCTTGCAAACGTTTCAGGACCCAACTAGGGAACACCATCAGTGCTAGAAGGGAGTGTGGGAGGAGGAGGAGGAGGGGGGGGGGAGGAGGAGGAGGGGGAGGAGGAGGAGGAGGAGGAGGAAGAGGAGGAGGACTGTGGGGTCCCTGGTGTTCCCTGAGCATGCTTGTTTTCTTGTAGACGTTTCCTGACCCAACTAGGGAACATCAACAGTGCAAGGAAGGAGTGCTGTTTGCTGCTGTCAGTTTATCTTCCGGTGTCTTGCCCTTTTGGGTGGGAGGGGGCCAATCTTAGGGATTCTTTGCTTGGGCTGTTTACTGATGGCTCTGTGGCAGTTTCTTGAATGGGATATTTTTTTATTTGAACGGTGGGTCTGAAGGTGATCTTGGGAAGGCCACACCTGGAATCCTGCATCCAGTTTTGGGTCACCCCATTACAAAAAAAGATGTTGAGACTTTGGGGGGGGGGGGAGTGCAAAGAAGAGCAACTGAGATGATTAAAGGCCTGGAGACTGGGATTTGGGACTGGCCAGTCTAGAGAAAGGGAGGACTTAGGGGAGACATGATAACAGTGTTCCAGTATCTCAGAGGCTGCCCCAAAGAAGAGGGAGTCAAGCTATTCTCCAAGGCGCCTGAAGGCAGGACAAGAAGCAACGGGTGGAAACTAATCAAGGAGAGAAGCAACCTAGAACTAAGGAGAAATTTCCTGACATTCAGAACAATTAACCAGCTCTGACTGGATGGTGGGGAATGGAAGGATTTATACTCCTTGCAGACAGCTGGTCATTTGCCCTCTTTTAGAGAGCCATTGAGGCCACTTGGAGGTTTACCTGTGTCCTCAGGGTCACCTGAGGGGTGCAAATGGGTGCGGAGCCTTCTTGGCTGTGGGACGTTTTCTGTCCTGGGTCCTCATCCTGCATCCTGCACACCCATTTGCACCACTCAGATGACCCTGAGGACACAGATAAATCTCCGAGTGGGTTCAACGACTCTCTCTAAAAGAAGGCAAATGACCCAGCTGTCTGCAAGGAGTATAAATCTTCCATCCATTCCATTCAGTCAGAACTGAAGAAGCTTCTGGGACGAGAAGCAAAACATCGAACGAGCGAACAACGAAGTCCAGTTGCCTCCTGAAAAAGTACCTTTGGGACGCCCATGACCTAGAACAGGGGTCTTCCAACTTGGCCTTTTTCTGACTTGTGGACTTCAACTCCCGGAATTCCTCAGCCAGCGTGAGGGAACTATGGCCCTTTTCTGACTTGTGGACTTCAACTCCCGGAATTCCTCAGCCAGCGTGAGGGAACTATGGCCCTTTTCTGACTTGTGGATTTCAACTCCCAGAATTCCTCAGCCGGCGTGAGGGAACTATGGCCCTTTTCTGACTTGTGGACTTCAACTCCCAGAATTCCTTAGCTGGCGTGAGGGAACTATGGCCCTTTGATGACTTGTGGACTTCAACTCCCAGAATTCCTCAGCCGGCGTGAGGGAACTATGGCCCTTTTCTGACTTGTGGACTTCAACTTCCAGAATTCCTCAGCCAGAATGAGGGAACTATGGCCCTTTTATGACTTGTGGACTTCAACTCCCAGAATTCCTCAGCCAGCGTGAGGGAACTATGGGCCTTTTATGACTTGTGGACTTCAACTCCCAGAATTCCTCAGCCAGGCACACTGGCTGAGGAATTCTGGGAGTTGAAGTCCACAAGTCATCAAAGGGCCAGGTTTGAAGACCCCTGTCTTAAAACATGCTGGCTGAGGTATTCTGGGAGTTGAAGTCCACCCATCTTGAAGCCCGCTGGCTGAGGAATTCTGGGAGTTGAAGTCCACAAGTCCTCAAAGGGCCAAGTTTGAAGAGCCCTGACCTAGAAGACCGAGAATCTCTCTAGAATTAAGAGAGTTGGTGGCTTCAACCACTGAGGTTGGTGGGACCCATATTTTCTTTCAGTTCTGGTTTGACTTCTTCCTTCCTTCCTTCCTTCCTTCCTTCCTTCCTTCCTTCCTTCCTTCCTTCCTCCCTCCCTCCCTCCCTCCCTCCCTCAGGTAGAGCGCCTCCGGCAGGCCATCGAGGAACTGTACTACTTTGAATTTGTGGTGGATGACTTGCCGCTCCGTGGCTTTGTGGGCTACATGGAGGAGAGCGGCTTCCTGCCCCACACCCACAAGATTGGCCTCTGGACCCACTTGAACTTCTACCTGGAGTGGAACGGCGATCGTATCGTCTACGCCAACGTCAGCATTCGCAACGTGAAGCCCACCAGTTTGGATGACATCCAGGGCGTGCTGCCCGTCACCTACACCTACAGCGTCCATTGGTCGGAGACCAGCGCGGAACGTCCAGGGGAACGCCGAGGAGGCCTCAACGGGGACGACGGCTTCTTCCCTCACACCCTGGAGATCCACTGGCTCTCCATCATCAACTCCATGGTGCTGGTGTTCTTGCTGGTGGGCTTTGTGGTGGTCATCCTCATGCGGGTCCTCAAGAATGACCTGGCCCGCTACAACCTGGACGAGGAGGCCTCTTCGTCCTCCTCAGGAGATGACTTTGATCAAGGGGACAACGGGTGGAAGATCATCCACACGGACGTCTTCCGGTTCCCACCGTACCGCAGCCTCCTCTGTGCCGTGTTGGGCGTGGGCAGCCAGTTCCTGGCCTTGGGCACCGGCATCATTGTGATGGCTTTGCTGGGCATGTTCAACGTCCACCGTCACGGGGCCATCAACTCGGCCGCCATCCTCCTCTATGCCCTGACCTGCTGCATCTCTGGCTACGTGTCCAGCAGCTTTTATCGCCAGATCGGGGGCGAGCGGTGGGTCTGGAATATACTGCTGACCACCAGCCTTTTCTCCGGTGAGGTTCCATCTCCTCTGGCGCTCGGAGGTGGTCATCCACCAGTTCCTTCGGGCTGGAGATCCACCGATGGTCCTTTCCCTCTAGCAAAAGATAGGGACGCTCTAGCCCTTCTTTGGCAGTCTTTATGGCACATTTTATTTGGAGGGCTTTTTCCCAGTGCAGAAGTTTGGAGAATGATGGCCCCTTTATGACGTGTGGACTTCAACTCCCAGAATTCCTGAGCCAGTATGGCTGGCTCAGGAATTCTGGGAGTTGAAGTCCACAAGTCATAAAGGGACTGTCGTTCCCCATCCCTGTCCTTGTGGCAAATTTTGAGGGTTCTCTTCTGTGGTGAAAATTCTCAAGCAGTGATTCTCAGCGTTGGCAAGGAATTCTGGGAGTTGAAGTTCACCCATCTTAAAGCAGGCTGGCTGGGGAATTCTGGGAGTTGAAGTCCACAAGCAGGGGTCTTCAAACTTGGCCCTTTGATGACTTGTGGACTTCAACTCCCAGAATTCCTCAGCCAGATAGATGGTAGGTAGGTAAGTAGGTAGGGAGGTAGGTGAGAGAGAGAGAGAGAGAGAGAGAGAGAGAGAGAGAGAGAGAGAGAGAGAGAGAGAGGTTATAGATGATGGATGGACGGACGGACGGAGAGACAGATAGATAGATATAATATAGATAATGGATAGATAGGATAGACAGATAGATAAGATAGATAATGGATGAATGTATATAGATAGATAGATAGATAGATAGATAGATGGATTGAGAGATAGAGAGATAGAGAGATAGAGATATAAATGGATATAAAGATAGAGAGGGATGGATAGATAGAGATAAATGGATAGATAGATAGATAGATAGATAGATAAGATGATGGATAGAGAGATAGAGATATAAATGGATAAATAGATGGATGGATGGATAAATAGATAGATATAGAGATAGATATATAAATGGATGGGTGGATGGATAGCTAGATATAAATGGATGGATAGATAGGGATGGATAGATAGATAGATAGATAGATAGATAGATAGATAGATAGATATAGAAGATAGAAAATAGATGATAGACAGATATAGCAGATAACAGATAGATGATAGATAGATAGATATAGATAAATGATAGATGATAGGTAGGTAGATATAGACGATAGATGGTGGATGATAGATGATAGATATAGATTATAGAAGATAGATAGATGATAGATAGATAGATAGATAGATAGATAGATAGATAGATAGATATACAGACAGACACATAGAAGATAGCTGATAGATAGATAGATAGATAGACAGACAGACATATAGAAGATAGATGATAGACAGACAGACAGACAAATAGATATAGATATTTATAGAGAAAGACACAAACAGAGTCAGAGAGATGGGAAGGAATAGATAGATAGACAGACAGACAGAAAGACTGATAACACCTCTGTTTTTCTCTCTCCTTTTCATTCTCTGAGCAGCTCCCTTCTTCCTGACCTGGAGCGTGGTGAACTCCGTCCACTGGGCCAACGGCTCCACTCAGGCCTTGCCGGTCTCCACCATCTTCCTGCTGCTGACCGTCTGGCTGCTGGTGGGCTTCCCGCTGACGGTCATCGGCGGCATCTTTGGCAAGAATCGGGCCACGCCCTTCGACGCCCCCTGCCGCACCAAGAACATCGCCCGGGAAATCCCGGCCCAGCCCTGGTACAAGTCCACCCTGGTGCACATGACCATCGGAGGCTTTCTGCCCTTCAGGTGAGAAGCAGGGGGTCCTCGCCTTAACGGCCACGAGCGGGAGTGGAATTTCCGTCGCTGAGCAAGGCGGTCGTTAAGGCGGGTCCTGCCCGATTTTACGGCTTTTCGGGACGCAGGTTTTTTTAGCGAGTCGCTTCCAGCCCGGCGTTCCCTGTTGACATTGCCGGTCGGAAGACCGCGAATGGCGACCGCGTGATCCTGGGACAACCGTCGTAAAATGCGTCACCAGTCGCCAAGCTCCCGAATTTTGACCGGGTGGGTGCGGCTGCAACGGTCCTCCGTGCGAGGACTGGGTGCAAGTCACCTCTTTCCGTGCCGTTGTAACTTCCGACGGGCGCTAAACGGAGGGTTGTAAGTTGAGGACGACCTGTATCGCTGTGCTCCGCTGCCTTGGCTTCCCCCTCCCCCCTCACTGGTTCCTGGTGATGGAAAAGGGAGGGTCAATTCCGTTAATCTGCATGTGGAGGAGGGACCCCCCCCCCTCCTCGTTCTGGAGCCGTGTTTCTCAACTATGACGGCTTGAAGGTGGGTGGACTTCAACTCCCAGAATTCCCCATCCAGAGTTACAGTTGAAGGAGGGAAGGATAGAGAAAGAAGGGGGAGGAGGGAGGGAGGGAGGGAGGGGGGAGGGAGAAGGAAAAGAAAGGAAAGGAGGGAGAAAGGAAAGAAGGAAGGAAGGGGAGGGAGAAAAGGAAAGGAAAAGAAAAGAAAGGAGGGGAAAGGGAAGAAGGGAAAAGGAAGAAAGGGGAGGGAGAAGGAAAGGAGGGAGGGAGAAAGGAAGAGAGAAAGGAAAGAAGGAAAGAGGGAGGGAAGGAAAGAAGGGTAGAAGGAAAGGAAAAAGGAAGGAGGAGAAAAGGAAAGGAAAGGGAGGAAGGAAGGAAAGGGAGGGAGGGAGAGAGGAAGGGAAGGGAGAAGGAAGGAAGGAAGGGGAGGGAGAAGGAAAAGAAAGGAAAGGAAAAAGGGAGGAGAGGAAAGGAAAGAAAAGGAGGAAGGAAGGAAAGGGAGGGAGGGAGAGAGGAAGGGGAGGGAGAAGGAAAGAAGGAAGGAAGGGGAGGGAGAAGGAAAAGAAAGAGGAAAGGAAAAAGGAAGGAGGAAAGGAAAGGAGGAAGGAAGGAAAGGGAGGGAGGGAGAGAGGAAGGGGAGGGAGAAGGAAAGAAGGAAGGAAGAAAGGAAGGGGAGGGAGAAGGAAAGGAAAGAGGAAAGGAAAAAGGAAGGAAGGGGAAGGAAGGGAAGGAGGGAGGGAGGAAAGAAGGAAAAAGGGAGAAGGAAAGGAAATGTGGAAGGAAGGGGAGGAAGGAAGGAAGGGGAGGGAGAAGGAAAAGAAAGAGGAAGGGAAAAAGGAAGGAGGAAAGAAAAGGAGGAAGGAAGGAAGGAAAGGGAGGGAGGGAGAGAGAAAGGGGAGGGAGAAGGAAAGAAGGAAGGAAGGAAGGGGAGGGAGAAGGAAAGGAAAGAGGAAAGGAAAAAGGAAGGAAGGGAAGGAGGGAGGGAGGGAGGAAAGAAGGAAAAGGAGAGAGAAGGAAAGGAAATGTGGAAGGAAGGAAGGAAAGGAGGGAGGGAGGAAGGAAGGAAAGGAGGAAGGGAGGGAGAAGGAAAGGAGGAAGGAAGGAAGGAAGGAAGGCAGGCCGTCCCAGTGGGATTCCGAAGTTGGAATGCCATGGGGAATTGTGAAGCCTGGCTGGGGAATTCTGGGAGTTGAAGTCCACCCACCTTCCAAGTCGCCACGCTTGAGAGAGACACCCTTTCGGACATGCAGAAGGACGATGCCTTCCCAGCTCAGGCTACCAGGATCCCTGTCTGACTCCCGCCAACTCCCCTCTTTCCTCCGCAGTGCCATTTCGGTGGAGCTGTACTACATCTTCGCCACCGTCTGGGGCCGGGAGCAGTACACCCTGTACGGCATCCTCTTCTTCGTCTTCGCCATCCTGCTGAGTGTCGGGGCCTGCATCTCCATCGCCCTCACCTACTTCCAGCTGTCGGGCGAGGACTACCGCTGGTGGTGGCGCTCCATCCTCAGCGCCGGCTCCACCGGCCTCTTCATCTTCCTCTACTCGGTCTTCTACTACACCCGCCGCTCCAACATGTCCGGCACGGTGCAGACGGTGGAGTTTTTCGGCTACTCGCTGCTGACCGGCTACGTCTTCTTCCTCATGCTGGGCACCATCTCCTTCTTCGCGTCGCTGAAGTTCATCCGTTACATCTACGTCAACCTGAAGATGGACTAGGCGCCCTTCCGTGGCTCCTTCGTGGCTCGGGTGGGCGTGGTCAGTCCGCGGACCACGTCCGGCCTTGCTTTGGAAGTCTCTTTCCGGCTGGCTTCTCCAAAACACCGGCTATTTATGATTCGTCCTTTTCTCGGCTGGACTTTGGGAGGGTGTCCCAGCTTAGCGTCGTGGTCCCCGCTGAGCTGCCACAAAACGGGACAGGAGCAGCCTTACGTTCTCTCCTGCTGGTCAGGACAGGTAGCCAATCAGCGACCCTCCGACACGTCCTCTGGCCAATCAAATATCTTCTGCTACAGGATACTCCCTTTTAAAGTTAAAAACCGCCTTCCTTGCACTGAAATGAATTGCCGATTTGCCCTCCTGGCCGCTGGTGGGGACGAAAACATTTCGAGATATTTCAATTTTTCCCTCCACTTTTAGTTCAATACACATATTCCTAGGCCAAGGGTAGGCCACCTTGGCTCTTTTATGACTCGTGGACTTCAACTCCCAGAATTCCTGAGCCAGCATGGCTCAGCTTGGAAACCTCTCCCTCTCCCCTCAGCACGGCTGGCTGAGGAATTCTGGGAGTTGAAGTCCATGAGTCATGAAGGGGCCAAGATGGCCTACCCCTGACCTAGACGTTTAGTTATTTTATTCCCTCAGTTGATTATCAAATAGAAGCTGCACACTTCTGGATATTTTATTATTTTTCTCCTGTTGGCTGTATCAGTTCAATGGGTAGAAGCTACAATTGGCTCAAGACACATATTCCTAGATATTTTATCATTTTCCCCCCTGTTGATTATCAGATAGAAGCTACATTTCATTCAATACACATTTCTAGATATTTTACTACTTTTTTTCCCTGTTGACTTTATCATCTGTTCAATGGATAGAACCTACAACTGGCTCAAGACACATATTCCTAGATGTTTCATCATTTTTTTTCTCCTGCTATCTGATCAGTTCAATGGATAAAGGCTACATTTAGTTCAGCACACATATTCCTAGAATGATATTTTATCATTTTTCCCTTGCTATCTGATCAGTTCAATGGATAAAAGCTACGTTTAGCTCAACACACATATTCCTAGATATTTTATCATTTTTCCCTTGCTGACTATCTGATCAGTTCAATGGATAAAGGCTACATTTAGTTCAACACTTAGATATTTTATCATTTTTCCCTTGCTGACTCTGATCAGTTCAATGGATAAAAGCTACATTTAGTTCAACAAACATATTCTTAGATATTTTATCATTTTTCCCTTGCTGACTATCTAATCAGTTCAATGGATAAAGGCTACATTTAGTTCAACACACATATTCCTAGAATGATATTTTATCATTTTTCCCTTGCTATCTGATCAGTTCAATGGATAAAAGCTACGTTTAGTTCAACACACACATATTCTTAGATTATTTTCTCATTTTTTCCCTGCTGCTTATCTGATCAATAGGTAGAAGCTACATTTGGTTTCAATATACATTTCTAGATATTTTATTATTTTTCCCTATGGTCTCTCTATAATCAGTTCAAGAGGTAAAAACCTACGTTCGGTTCAACACACCTCCCTTTCTTTTAATGCATTCCCTCTCTCTCCCCAGATCTCAAAAAACATTTTCATCTCGTTTCCCCCCTTTTTTCCAGAGTTCTTGTTTTGTTTCAGGAAAAGATCCCAGCCAGCCATCACCAGATACTTTCAAACCTGACCTAGCCTAGAGAGAGATGGATCAACCGGCTGATCTCAGCCAGATCAAACTAGGTCCTGATAGCCAAGAGACGCGTTTGAAGTTCAGAATTCAGGAGAATGTGACTTGGTTGGGACAGCCCTAACCTTTATGGGAGCTTCCCCAGGCTGCTACGGTCCAGAATATTCTGAGTTTCATACTGTTAGGGCTGATGGGAATTGTGGTCGGAGAGCAACGGGGATTTCCTTCCACCAAGGACCGTTTTGGCGAAGAAAAATAAAAACTGTGCTTTCTCCTGTCGGAGGGAAATGGGAGATTCCGTGAAATTTGGGGGGGGGGGGTGTTTCCATCCAAGCTGGTTTTAACGTCATGCAACTTTTAAGAGTCACTGGTGAGACTGGCAGAAGTAATCGGATAATTGTCTTCAGGGATCTGTGCAAAGGATTTGAAGTGCAATGCTTTTCAAACTTGGGAGCTGTAAGATGTGTGGGACTTGCAACTCTCAGAATGCCCCAGTCCCACACATCTTGCAGCTCCCAAGTGTGAAAAACACTTAAGGGGTTTCTGCTGTTGAATGTTAATCACCTGGTAAATGAGATCATTTGTCCTCCGTCAAACAGATCTTTCACTCTGGTTCACCAAGATGTTTTTCTTCCTCTTCCTCACCTCCTTTGTACAATACTCACAAGGTGTCTGGCTCTCTCTCCCAGTACAGGTAAGAGAGAGAGAAAAAAACCTCCCGTCTCTTCCCACCTGGGCGAAGAAAATATATATTATATTAAGGAAAAAAAAGTATATATAAGGAATTATGTATATTAGCAAGGGTTGAAGTTGGATTATTTTTTAATTTGACGTCTCGGTTCCGCGTTTCTTTTTACAGATCTTGAAGTTAAATTTTATTAATAAAAAGGAAATGGAAAAACTCAAAAAAAAAAAACCCTCTCAGCGCAGATTCTGGCTTTTTTTCTATGCTGCTCTGTTCCATCTCCTGGCTTTCGAACAGGGGGATGCTGGGGGTTGAAGTCCACCCGTCTTTAAAGTCGCCAACGGCGATGGTGCTTATACGGGGAATCCTCAACGACCCCAATTAAGCCCAGCATTTCTGTCGCTAAGCGAGACGGTTGTTAAAGTGAGTTTTGCCCCATTTTACAACTTTTCTTGCCAATTAACAACACCGGCGTTGTTAATTAATAATCGATCATTAAAAATAATAATTTTAAAAATTGATTACCCCTTTGTCTCCCCTTAACACAGTGGTTCTCAACCTTTCTAATGCCGCGACCCCATAATACAGTTCCCCATGTTGTGGTGACCCCCAACCACTTATACATCACCGGGTGCCAGGGGCATGGCCAAAGAAAAGGGGAGAAAAATGGCAGACAGCCTTACTTGGCGACCCCTGTGAAATGGTCGTTCGACCCCAAATGGGGTCCCGACCCACAGGTTGAGAACCACTGCCTTAACAGACATGCAAAGCCCCTTTACGAAACCGAAGTCTTCGTGGTTGCAAACTCCCTGCCAACAGTTGTGACAAACCGCAACTCATAAAGAGGGGTGCCTGATTTAAAGCTCAGTAGAGCTTCCATGCCCAGCCGCAGTCTACCTGGGTCCCTCCCTCATCCAAAGAAAAGGCCCGCAGGAGGAAAACGAAGACATATCTGAGCTCTCTCCCAACGTGGGCAAAAACAAAATTTTGCAAATTTGCAGCCGGGCAATTGCACGACGGTGCAAACGAAACGTCCACTGCGATCACCCAGATTGCAAAAAAAAATTTGCATGCTTTGGATCTTCGGATAAAATAAAATTGGCCTCGTCCCTCCACCCAGCCAAAGAGGAAAAGCACAGCTGGAGAGCCCTATCTTCTCTAAGGGAGAAGCAGATGCCTCTGAGCATGGGCAGAGCGCTTTCCTTGCCTGGCCTCCCTTCCCATGGAGCCTGGCTTGATGGGTTGGGTGGTTCTAGTGAATTGTTATTGGGCTCATCCTCCAACCCCATAAAAGAGGAAAGAAACCGATTTATGCCCCTATCTAACAGAGACGCCAATGCCTCTGAACATGTGCAGAGTGCTTTCTCTGACTGGCCTCCCTTCCCAGCTGCTGCTCCCAGCTGGCCGGGTGGGTTGGGTAGGTGCTCAACCTCCAACCACAGAGAAGAGGGAGGGAGGAAGGAAGGAAAGAGAAAGAAAAAAAGAAAAAGAGAAAAAAAGAGAAAAAGAAAGAAAAAAAGAAAAAAGACAGGAAGGAAGAAAGGAAGAAAGGATGGAAGGAAAGAAAAGGAAGGATGGAAGGAAGGAAGGAGAAGGAGAAAGAAAGAAAAGAAAAAGAAAGAAAAAGACAGGAAGGATGGAAGGAAGGAAGGAGGGATGAAGGAAGGAAGGAAAGGAGAAAAAGAAAAAGAAAGGAAGAAAGAGAAAAAAGACAGGAAGGAAGAAAGGATGGAAGGAAGGAAAAGGAAGGAAGAGGAAGGATGGAAGGAAGGAAAAGGAAGGAGAAAGAAAAAAAAGACAGGATGGAAGGAAAGGAAGGAGGGATGGAAGGAAGGAAGGAAAGAAAGAAAGAAAGAAAGAAAGAAAGAAAGAAAGAAAGAAAGAAAGAAAGAAAGAAAGAAAGAAAGAAAGAAGAAGAAAAAAAGAAAAAAGACAGGAAGGAAGAAAGGATGGAAGGAAGGAAGAGGAAGGAAAGGAAGGAGAAAGTAAGGAAAGAAAGAAAGACAGGAAGGAAGAATGGAAGGAAGGAAAGGAAGGAGGGATGGAAGGAAGGAAGGAAAGGAGAAAGAAAGAAAGAAAAAGAAAAAAGACAGGAAGGAAGAAAGGATAGAAGGAAGGAAAAGGAAGGAAGAGAAAGGATGGAAGGAAGGAAAAGGAAGGAAAAAGAAAAAAGAAAGACAGGAAGGAAGGATGGAAGGAAGGAAAAGGAAAGAAGGAAAGGAAGGAGAAAGAAAGAAAGAAAGCAAGCCCTCTCTCACGGGGAAGATGCCTCTGAGCATGTGCAGAGAGCCCTTTCCCTGACCGACCTCCCTTCCCGAGGGAGGGGGGAGGGAGGGAGAAATTGGGCGGTTGCAGTAAGTCCTCCGCACCTGAAGGGCGCTGGAGCTGCGCCCTTCCGGTTCCCCTTCCAGCCCACCCCGGAAGCTGCGCCTTGTCTGCTCCACACGTGCTGGGCGTTTGGAGGCTGGGCAACCGCTGCTGGCAGCGTTCCGCTTGGGCAGCCCTCCGCCTTCCTCGCCCCCTTCGCGGGGACTGTGGGGCCTCCTCCGCCCCCTTTCCCTCCCCTTTCCATGCCCCCCGGCCCGGCCTTCCCTCGCGTCCTCCGCCTGCCGCCTCCATGGCAGCCCAGCCGGAGCTGGAGCAGATCCTGGCGCTCTTGCTGCAGCCTGACAATGCCGTCATCCAACAGGTAGAGCGGCGGGCAGGTGGGGAGGGGGGGGGAGAGAAAGAGGACAGAGGGGCGTTGGGGGCTTGGTGGGTGTGGGGGGGGCTGCTGGCTTTGGGGAGGGGGGAGTGGGCGTACAGGGCAAGTCCTCAACTTGCCCACGGTTCACTTAGGGACCCAAGTGGGGAAAACGAGACTTTAATGACGGTTATTCACACTTAGGATCATTGCATCATCCGCCATTCACACGTGTTGGAGAAGAGACTGGACAGCCGCTCGTCTGAATTGGTATATAGCAGTGGTGGCGAACCTAGGGCACCCCTGCCTCGCCTTGCCTCATCTGAGCCTCCTGCCCACCGCCCCACCTGCCAGAGACCCCCCCCCCGGATCTCCCCCAACCCTGCCCGGCCCTCACAGGTGACCCTCCCCACGAGCAACATCAAGGTGGCCACGTCCACCTTGGCCACGCCCACCCAGTGGGTTACGCCCACCTGGCACCCCGCAATAAATAAGTGGGTTTTGGGTTGCTGTTTGGGCACTCGGGTCACTAAAAGGTTCGCCATCACTGGTATATAGAGTTTCCTGCCTGGGCAGGGGGTTGGACTAGATGGCCTCCAAGGTGCCTTCCTGCCCTATTCCATTCTATTCTTATTCCATTCTTATTCGGTTCCATTCCATTCTACTATTCTATTCTATTCTATTCTGTATTTTATTATTCTATTCTATTGTATTCTATTCTATTCTATAATGTGTACTAAAATATATAAAAAATATAAAATATATTTATATATACAAATCTATATTTAAAATATATAAAAGCAACAAGATAAAAGATTGAAACAATTCTTATTCTGTTCCATTCCATTCTACCATTCTATTCTATTCTAAAATGTGTACTAAAAGATATAAAGGCAACAAGATAAAAGATTAAAACAATAAAACAACATCAACGCCGTTGTTTTTAGTATGTCATCTTGGGTTTTAAACAACTCAGCACGAGGTTTTCATCGCATTGTTAGGGCTACAAGTTTATTTTTTCTTCCCACTGTGGAAGGAAACTGCCCACCGAACAGAAATGGATTCTCTCCTGTGCTTTTCTGGCTCAAATTTGTGGACCTGGAAAAAAAAAAAATCTAATTTACAGGTAGTCCTCATGTTACGACCCACAGTCGTATTCAAAATTTCTGTTGCCAAGCAAGGCGGTTGTTAATGTTCGTTTTTGCCCAGTTTATGACTTTTTTTGCCCTGTTGTTAAGGGAATTGCTGAAACTGATAAGTAAATAAATGGGGGCGTTAAGCGAATCTAGCTTCCTCGATTGAAGCTGGCTGGGAAGGTCGCAAGTGGGGAATCACAGGAACCGGAGACACTGCGACCGCCATAATTACATGCCAGTTTCTGAATTTTGATCACATGACCATGGGGATGCTGCTACGGTCATAAGCGTGAAAAACAGCCACAAGTCCCTTTTTCAGTGTCTTTGTAACTTCAGTCAATGTCTGTCTATATCAGGGGTCTTCAAGCTTGGCCCTTTTATGACTTGTGGACTTCAGTTCCCAGAATTCCTCAGCCAGCGTGCCTGGCTGAGGAATTCTGGGAGCTGAAGTCCACAAGTCATCAAAGGGCCATAGTTCCCTCACGCTGGGTGAGGAATTCTGGGAGTTGAAGTCCACAAGTCATCAAAGGGTCATAGTTCCCTCACGCTGGCTGAGGAATTCTGGGAGTTGAAGTCCACAAGTCATCAAAGGGTCATAGTTCCCTCACGCTGGCTGAGGAATTCTGGGAGTTGGTCCACAAGTCATCAAAGGGTCATAGTTCCCTCATGCTGGGTGAGGAATTCTGGGAGTTGAAGTGCACAAGTCATCAAAGGGCCATAGTTCCCTCATGCTGGCTGAGGAATTCTGGGAGTTGAAGTCCACAAGTCATCAAAGGGTCATAGTTCCCTCATGCTGGGTGAGGAATTCTGGGAGTTGAAGTCCACAAGTCATCAAAGGGCCAAGTTTGAAGACCCCTGATCTATACTGATTTATTGCCTCTAGCCTCTATGTGGTTTGAAACATTCCTCCCTCTAGAGAAGCTTTGGGGGCAAATCCTTCAAAAAAGGGACATTTGGAGCAGGTTCAACGCTTTGCTGCCTGTTCTTTCATCCTACTAGGCGACAGCGCAGCTGAAAGAGGTACTGAAGCAACCGACAGCTCTTTCCCACCTCTGCCATGTCATGACACATTCACAAGACCCTCAGGTAAGTCACAACGCACTCTTCCAGGTGAGAAGCTTAGTTGTAAATATAGGTGGTTGCAAACAATGAGAAGGGAGAATAGATAAGATGTTTATAAGATAAGATGTTCATACGTGGGTTATGTATGTGTACATTGTTTGAGAGCAGGCCACAGAATTTCGTTTGTAATGTGGGCCAGTGTGCCCGCAGTAAAAAATGACAATAAAGATTATCTTATCTTGAGAGAAGATAACTTTTATTGTCATATTTTACTACGAGCACACTGGCCCACATTAAAAAATGAAATTCTGTTGACTGCTCTCAAAAGAAAGTATACGCACACATACATCACACACACATACACATGCTACGGTGTTAGACCCAGCCCGCTAGTGAGCCCTAACTTGATTTTTGGGGGTGGGCCTAATATAAGCCCTTCTCCAATATTAAGCCCTAGTTGTGGGGCGAGGTGCACCCCTAAAAATCTAGCTATATACATGAATGGATGTGTGTGTGTGTTTGTGTGTGAGAGAGTTTGGTTATTTGGGTTTTCTCCCGCATAAAATTGTAAGTGTCTTGGCGACGTTTCGACGAAGTCCCATTCGTCATCTTCAGGCTGGTGTTTTCAGCTTCGTGCTTCAAGGAGCACGAAGCTGAAAACACCAGCCTGAAGATGATGAATGGGACTTCGTCGAAACGTCGCCAAGACACTTACAATTTTACGTGGGAGAAAACCCGAATAACCAAAGTCCTACATACAAACACCCGCGAAAACCTCAGATATCTGTCTTGAGTGTTTTTTGATGCACCCTGTCGGCCCAAATATGGGAGGAAGAAATCTAGGGCTATCCACAGGCAGCAGTCGCTACTGCGACATCATTTGTCTGCTAAACTTTTTTTGGATTGCGTTGTGATTCCGTGCCAGCCTGTGCTCCCAACAGCTGAGTCTGAGGAATCTGAGGAGGAGGTGGAGGAGGCATTTGAAGGGCCATGAGGGGCAGAGGGAGGCTTTGATGAATTACAGGACTCACGGTTTGATGCAGAGCCTGGGCCCTCCAGTCGTGTTCCTGATGAAGCTCAGCTGTGTGAGGAGCATGAGTCAGACTCGGAGGACTCACACCTGATGGACATGCTAATTGATGCACGCACACGTCGTCAGCTAGCGAGAGTAAATCAGCAGCAGTCAATATGGCAACTCCAGGGTAAAAGGAGAAGGCACTGAGAGGCAACGCCTTGGGACTGTTGTATAAAAAGAGGAGGAATGGACGGTCCTGGTTGCTGAAGGCAACCGTTTGCAAAGTACTTTTTGGAATCCTGGTCTGTTTGTCTTGCTTGTGACTACTCTTCTGTTTGCATCGTGTTTCCTGTGGACTATTTCCTTCATTTGGATTGAGTTTTGCTGTTTGTGTTTTGGACTATTTGGCAGGTTTGTCACCCATATTAAAAGGGGTTTGTTTTGTTTTAAAGTCTCCAGCCTATTTTATCAGCAGGGGTTTGGTCCTTGTGCCTTTAACAAGGACGGCTATAGGCTGGGATAGAACAGGTTGCTAACGAAGAGTTAAAGGGGGACTGGAATAGCTATTCCGACCTCAGAGCCTGTGGCCTAGGTATCAACACAGCTACCTAACGTGCAAGCAGCCCAGATTCGAATTTCAGAAGGGTATGGCTGGCTGATGAGAGCTGTTAGCTCGAAATAGCTATCCCAGTCCCCCTTTAACTCTTTGTTAGCAATCCCCAAAAAATTTAGCATACACACACACACACACACACACACACACACACACACACACCAATACATGTGTTGTTGTTGTTAATTGCGAAGTCGTGTCCGACCCATCGCGACCCCGTGGACAACATTCCTCCAGGCCTTCCTGTGCTCTACCATCTTCTGGAGTCCATTTAAGCTCACGCCTCCTGCTTCAGGGACTCCATCCAGCCCCCTCATTCTCTGTCGTCCCCTTCTTCTATTGCCCTCCATCTTTCCCAGCATTAGGCCCTTCTCCAGTGAGTCCTTCCTTCTCATTAGGTGGCCAAAGTATTTGAGTTTCAACTTCAGGATCTGGCCTTCTAAAGAGCAGTCGGGGTTGATCTCTTCTAGGACCGACCAGTTGGATCACCTTGCAGTCCAGGGGACTCGCAGGAGTCTTCTCCAGCATCATAGTTCACAGGCCTCCATTCTTTGGCGCTCGGCCTTTCTTATGGTCCAACTTTCACAGCCATACATTGCCACTGGGAAAACCATGGCCTGGACTATACGCACTTTTGTTGGCAGGGTGATGTCTCTGCTTTTTCGTATACTTTCTTCCCCAGGAGCAAGCGTCTTTTAATTTCTTGGCTGCAGTCCCCATCTGCGGTGATCTTGGAGCCCAGAAAAATAAAATCTGTCACTACCTCCATTTCTTCCCCATCTATTTGACCAATACATGTATATACATATAAATATTAATCACTGTCCATTTTTAATACAAAGAATAAGACTCTGTTCTGTTTGAGCGCTACCCTTCCTACGTTCAGGTGTGGGCGTTCTGGCTTTCCCCCTGCTCTGCTTTTATTTCTCAGGATCTGCTCTTTGGATCCTTTCAAATTCGCAGCCTCCCCGTTTTCTCTCTTCCTTCGTTCCCAGATCCAGCAGTTCGCCGCCGTGTTGCTGAGACAGCGGCTGAGCAAACACTGGAAGAAAATGGCCGCAGCGGATCAAGAGATGTAAGTCCAGGGAAGGCCAATCTATGAATTCGTTATCGTGACTATCGTAATTAATATGCGGTGCGTCGCACAGACGCAGAGACTGGATTTGGCATTTTTGGGGGACTCCCGATCCAGTCCTCCCCATGGACCATTGTAACGGGATGAAAACATTGGAATCGGAGAGACCCGGTTCCCAAAATGTGTGGGGTGTTCCACAACGTGGCTCACTCGCTAAGCCAGGACTGTGTGTTTTCATTCCAAAACTCAAATCATCCCCCAAATCTCGTCTCTTCCAGGCTCAAAACCCTGGTGCTAAACAGCTTGCAACGGCAGACAGAGTGAGTTATTCCTGCTGGGGAGGCACTGAGGGGGTCAGTTTAGCCTCTCTGCCTTTCCTCCCCCCCCCCCAATGATAAACCCTCTTTTCCAGCCATAAAGTCTCCCTGGGCTTAGCCCAGCTGGCGGCCGTCATCTTGAAGAACGAGACCTTGGAGAAATGGCCCCAGATGCTTCAGAGCATTCAGCACGGAGCCCGCTCCCGAGACCCCAGCAGGTGCCAGGTGGGTAGAGACTGGGCAGGGGGTGCAAAGCGAGGGAGGGGGGCGTCTCGGGGTCCCTTGTGAACCCCCCATCAATCCCACACCTCTGTCTGTCTGTCTGCCTATCTTTCTACCTGCCTACCTACTTACCTACCTGCCTCTACCTTCTGTCTGTCTGTCTGTCTGTCTATCTATCTATCTATCTATCTATCTATCTATCTATCTATCTATCTATCTATTTAATCTGTTTCTATCCATCCATCCATTCTGTCCATCCATCCAGTCTGTCTGTCTATCTATCTATCTAATCCATCCGTCCATCCATCCATCCATTCTGTCTGTCTGTCCATCCATCCATTCTCTGTCCGTCCATCCATCCATCCTGTCTGCCTGCCTGCCTACCTACCTGCCTTGCCTGCCTGCCTGCTTATCTATCTATCTATCTATCTATCTATCTATCTATCTATCTATCTCCATCCATCCATTCTGTCTGTCCATCCATCCATCCATCCATCCACTCACTGTCTGTCTGTCTGTCTATCTATCTATCTATCTATCTATCTATCTATCTATCTATCTATCTAATCTTTCCATCCATCCATTACATCCATCCATTCTGTCTGTCCGTCCGTCCATCCATCCATTCTGTCTGTCTATCCATCCATCCATTACATCCATCCATCCATTCTGTCTCCATCCATCCTGCCTGCCTGCCTGCTTATCTATCTATCTATCTATCTATCTATCTATCTATCTATCTATCTATCTATCCTTTCCATCCATCCATTACATCCATCCAGTCTATCTGTCTGTCTATCCATCCATCCATTACATCCATCCATCCTGCCTGCCTGCCTGCTTATCTATCTATCTATCTATCTATCTATCTATCTATCTATCTATCTATCTATCTATCTATCTATCTAATCTGTTTCCATTCATCCATTACATCCATCCATCCATTGTGTTCATTCATTCATTCATTCTGTCTCTCTATCTTTTCCTACCTTCATTATTTTTAACCCGAGTTGGGGAACATACCTAATTATACTCCTTTCATCCTCCTAGTTTCCCCACAACAGCCCTGTGAAATGGGTTAGGTTGAGAGAAAGGGATTGGCCCAAAGTCACCCAGCCGGCTTTCATGCTTAAGTTGGGACTAGAACTCACCATCTCCTGGTGATTGGGCCAGAATCACTGAGCAGGCTTCTGTGCCTAAGGCAAGACTAGAACTCACCGTCTCCTGGCGATTGGCCCAAAGTCACCCAGCTGGCTTTCATGCCTAAGGCGGGACTAGAACTCACCATCTCCTAGTGATTGGCCCAAAGTCACCCAGCTGGCTTTCATGCCTAAGGCGGGACTAGAACTCACCGTCTCCTGGTGATTGGGTGAAAGTCACCCAGCTGGCTTTCATGCCTAAGGCGGGACTAGAACTCACCATCTCCTGGTGATTGGCCCAAAGTTACCCAGCTGGCTTTCATGCCTAAGGCGGGGACTAGAACTCACCGTCTCCTGGCGATTGGCCCAAAGTCACCCAGCTGGCTTTCATGCCTAAGGCGGGACTAGAAACTCACCGTCTCCTGGCGATTGGCCCAAAGTCACCCAACTGGCTTTCATGCCTAAGGCGGGACTAGAACTCACCGTCGCCTGGTGATTGGCCCAAAGTCACCCAGCTGGCTTTCATGCCTAAGGCGGGACTAGAACTCACCGTCTCCTGGTGATTGGCCCAAAGTCACCCAGCTGGTGCCTTGACTAGAACTCACCGTCTCCTGTGATTGGGTGAAAGTCACCCAGCTGGCTTTCATGCCTAAGGCGGGACTAGAACTCCCGTCTCCTGGCGATTGGCCAAAGTCACCCAACTGGCTTTCATGCCTAAGGCGGGACTAGAACTCACCGTCTCCTGGTGATTGGCCCAAAGTCACCCAGCTGGCTTTCATGCCTAAGGCGGGACTAGAACTCACCGTCTCCTGGTGATTGGGCCAAAGTCACCCAGCTGGCTTTCATGCCTAAGGCGGGGACTAGAACTCACCGTCTCCTGGTGATTGGCCCAAAGTCACCCAGCTGGCTTTCATGCCTAAGGCGGGACTAGAACTCACCGTCTCCTGGCGATTGGCCCAAAGTCACTCAGCCAGCTTTCATGCCTAAGGCGGGACTAGAACTCACCGTCTCCTGGTGATTGGCCCAAAGTCACCCAGCTGGCTTTCATGCCTAAGGCGGGACTAGAACTCACCGTCTCCTGGTGATTGGGCCAAAGTCACCCAGCTGGCTTTCATGCCTAAGGCAGGACTAGAACTCGGCGTTGCCTGGGTTCTAGCTAGACCACTTTGTCTCTCAACCTCCTTGTGGTCACAGATGGCATTGCTGCTGCTTCAGTCGGCTCTGGATCTGGACCCCGACCAGTTCTCTCGCTACTACAAAGATCTCCTGCGCCTCTTCCATCAGACGCTCAACCACCGGAGTCAGCCGGCCGTCCTTTACTACTCTCTCCGGAGCTTGACTGCCGTGGTGGGAGGGCTGAGCTCTGACGAAGTGGTGGGTGCACCATCCTCTTCCTCTTTCGTCCCCACCTGCCCGCTTCTCCTCCTCCTCCTGTTAACGGAGGCCGAAGCCTCACTGTTGCTGGCAGAAAGTAACTCAAAGGGTCTGCGGAACTCTCTGCCACCAGATCCAAGTTAAAATCTGCGGCCCTCCCAATGTTCCTGGATTGGCAGTGGCTGCTGGTCTAGAGAGCCACTCATTTTCCCCCCCCTCACTCCCCCCCCCCCTGGACTACCCAATGCCTTGTGTTTGGGAAAAGGATTCTTTTTTGAAACTGGATTTCTGGCGGGTCGATTTCGACCGATGGATCCTAATGCTTTTAATTTACCGATTGGTAAAACGACGAGCTTAAAATCGAAAGCCCCTTTGAATCCAGGCGAACTCTGGGAGATTTAATAGCCGCATCCAGGGCTGGCTGGGGAATTCTGGGAGTTGAAGTCCAGCTGTTTTGAAAAGGGACCGAGGCTGAGAAGCACTGCACTATTGTGCATTTAATTTTTAAATGGCTCTCCAATCTCCTTCTTCCAGACTCTGATGTCTTCCATGGTGCCCAAGGTGATAGCAGCCATCCGGGAACTCATTCACGTGAACGAGGTGCGGTCTTGTGTGTGTGTGTGTGCGTGTAAAGTGGGGGGGTCTTCAAACTTGGCCCTTTGATGACTTGTGGACTTCAACTCCCAGAATTCCTCAACCAGCGTGCCTGACTGGGGAATTCTGGGAGTTGAAGTCCACAATCAGGGCTCTTTAAACTTGGCCCTTTGATGACTCGTGGACATCAACTCCCAGAATTCCTCGGCCAGTGTTCCTGGCTGGGGAATTCTGGGGGGGTTGAAGTCCACAAGTCATCAAAGGGCCAAGTTTGAAGACTTGGTGTAAAGGCTTGCTTTTAGCCGTACCTGGCTGGGGAATTCTGGGAGTTGAAGTTGATAAGTCATTAAAGGACCATCGTTCCCCACTCCGGATCTAATGCTCAAAAGGCAATGTCTTGTCTCTCCCCCCCCCCTCCTTTCTCTTTTCTAACTTGGCCCACCCACCGATCCACCCGTCCATCCATCCTCCAGGTCCAGGCAAGCGAAGCGATGGAGGTTTTTGATGAACTCCTGGAGACGGAAGTCGCCATCGTGGTCCAGCATCTCTCCGAAGTCGTGAACTTCTGCCTGGAAGTGAGTGGGGTGGGTGGATGACCGGCCACACCCCATTCCTGCCACCTGCTCCAATCCCCTGGCGCCCCCTGCTGGCCGTGCCTCTTTCCTGCGATTTCTGCAGATGCTGGCGCCCCCTGCTGGCCACACTCCTTTCTGCTACCCGCTCTGATCCCCTGGTGCTCTGATCCCCTGCTGGCCATCCCTCTTTCCTGTGCATGACCCACTGCCATGGTGCCCCGTACTGGCTGGCCACGCCTCTTTACTGGCACTAACCTCACCCCCCTGGCCACGCCTCTTTCCTGGCACTCGACCCCCTGCTGGCCACGCCTGCTTCCTGACACTTATTCCACCCCCTGGACCCTCCTACTGAGCATGCCTCTTTCCTTGCACTCCACCCTCTGCCACCCCCTGCTCATCACGCCTCTTTACTCACACTTATTCCACCCCCTGCCCGCGCCCCAGTGGCCACGCCTCTTTCCTGGCACTTACTTTACCTCCCTGGGCACGCCTCTTTCCTGAAACTCCACCCCCTGGCACCCTCTGTTGGCCACGCCTCTTTCCTGACACTTACTTCACCTCCCTGGCCACCCTCTTTCCTGAATGCCCTCCCTGGCCACGCCTCTTTCCTGAAACTCCACCCCCTGGCACCCCCTACTGGCCACACCTCTTTCCTGGCACTTACTTCACCTCTCTGGCCACACCTCTTTCCTGAAACTCCACCCCCTGGCACCCCTACTGGCCACACCTCTTTCCTGGCACTTACTTCACCTCTCTAGCCACACCTCTTTCCTGAAACCCCACCCCCTGCGCCCTAGCCACACTTCTTTCCTGAAACTCCACCCCTGCTCTCTGGCCACGCCTCTTTCCCAGCACTTACTTCACCCCCTGGCCACGCCTCTTTCCTGAAACTCCACCCCCTGGGACTCTGCTGGCCATGCCTCTTTCCTGAAACTCCACCCCCTGCGCCCTGGCCACACTTCTTTCCTGAAACTCCACCCCTGCTCCCTGGCCACGCCTCTTTCTTGGCACTTACTTCACCCCCTGGCCATGCCTCTTTCCTGAAACTCCACCCCCTGGCACCCTCTGCTGGCCACGCCTCTTTCCTGAAACTCCACCCCCTGCGCCCTGGCCACGCTTCTTTCCTAAAACTCCACCCCTGCTCCCTGGCCACGCCCCTTTCTGGGCACTTACTTCACCCCCCCTGGCCACGCCTCTTTCCTGGCACTCCAACCCCTGGCACCCCCTGCTGGCCACGCCTCTTTCCTGCCTACTCCTATGGTGCCTCCCGCTGGCCACGCCTCTTCCCTCCCCCCCGCTCCCCATGGCGCCCCCTGTTGGCCGGCCACAGATCTGGCCGCTCCCCTGATCCAACCTTCTCTCACCCAGGTGGCTTCCGACCAGCAGCTGAGCGACGGCCTGCGGGTGAAGGCGCTCTCCTGCATCAGCTACCTGGTCAAGCTGAAGAGCAAGGTCAGGGCTGCCCCCCCGCCTTCCACTCCCCCCCCTCGGGCAGCATCCTGCCCCCCTGCCAGAGGTGCCCCCTCACCCCCCCTGCTTGTCTCTCTCTCCCCCCCCCCATCCAGGCCATCCTGAAGCACAAGCTCCTCTCGCCCCTCCTGGCCGCCCTCTTCCCCATCATGAGCGCCGAGCCTCCCCCCGGCCAGATGGACACGGAGGACGAGCTGACCGAGGAGGAGATCGAAGACCAGGCCGAGGTCCAGAAGCCCAAACACTTCGCCGTCCAGGTCCGCCTTTTTTGGGGGAGGGGGGGCAGCAATCTCTCCCTTTCAAGCCCCCCCTCCCTTCCCAGGATGCTCTGGGCTTGGCGGGCTCCGCCTCCCCCCCTCCCAAAATCCCCTGCGTTCGTGCCCAGTTCGCTGCTGTTTTCTAAGCCTTTGGGTCCTCAACTCCCAGCATGCCCTGGGCTCCTTTCTCCCCCCCCCCACAGTTTAATTCCCAGAATCCCTTGCGGGCAGATCCCAGCTGGGTCTTTTGCCTTGGATCTTTTTAAGATGGGTGGACTTCAGTTCAGTTGGCACTTTTGCTCAAGTTTCTAGAGCGTGGAGTTCATCCGGCATAGTAAACCACAAATCCTGGCTTATTCCCGGCAGAGCTACAAGACATAATCCCCAAATAAAGAACCTACAGCAGATTATGGTTTATTTAGGGTCAAGTGGGAGTTCAGAGACGGGGTCTCCAATCTTGGCAACATTAAGACAGATGGACTTTAATTCAATTGGTATTTTTGTTTATTTTCTGGAGTGTGATTCCATTGGTGGAGTTCACCCAGCACAAGAAACCACAAATCCTGGCTTATTCCCGGCAGAGCTACCAGACATTATGCCCCAAATAAAGAAACTACAGCAGATGGTGGTTTTAGAGTCAAGTGAGAGTTTAATAGAAAGAGTTTCTAATCTTGGCAAAGATTAAGATGGGTGGACTTCAACTCCCAGAATCTGGGAGTTGAAATCCACCCGTCTTAACGTTGCTAAGATGGGGATCCCTACCCTACAGGATCCCCCAGTCAAATCTTCCTTTTGCCTCCCCCCCCCCAACAGGTGGTGGACATGCTGGCACTTTACCTGCCCCCAGAGAAGCTCTTCCCCCAGCTGGTAAGTGGGAGCACTTTGGAGGGGGGGCGGCGGTTTCAGAATGATGACAAAGGGGGGGGGGCAGTCACACCTTAAAAGTACTCTTTTTTTTTCATTCTTATTTTTATTAATATTTTTTTCTCATCGACATATGTTAATTTTTCCAATCAACAAGTTGTCTGGAGTTTGCTAAGCTAATACATGTTCAATTCCTAATCCTTCATTCTTTTCTCTAACCAAGAATAAAATAAATTCCAAATTTTGATAGTCGTCTGTATCTTCTTTGTCTTTCAACCTCCTAGTTCAGTGGTTCTCAACCTTTTTAATGCCATGACCCCCAACCAGTTGTAAGTCGAGGACTACTCAATCGGTCGTAAGTCGAGGACTACTCAACTGGTACAGCACCGTTTGCAGAATGGGACTTTTGGCGGGCTCAGCAGGGCAGAGACAGCCTGGACAATTCCTATTGGCTTTTGAAAGCCAATAGAATTAGACTCTATTCAAGAGAGTCTCTTCTATTGGCTTTCAAAAGCCAATAGAATAAAAGGGAGGAGCACAGCTAAGGAAAAGGGGAAAAGAAAATGGCGGACTGCGTTGTTTGGCGACCCCCGTGAAATGGTCGTCCGACCCCAACTGGGGTCCCGACCCACAGGTTGAGAACCACTGTCCTAGTTAAATCTGTCCATCTCTGCACATTCCAGTATTTTCCTGATTACTTCTTCCTCTGATGGCAATCCTTCCTTCTTCCAGTATTGTGCAAAAATTATTCTCGCTGCTGTGGTGATGTGTCAAAGTTAAATATAATTTCTGCTTATTAGTCTTTTCAGGCATAATGCCCGGTAGAAAAAGTTCAGGTTTAAAATCCACTTGTTCGCCCAATATTTTTTCTAACCACATATGTATATTTTTCCAATAAGCCTTTGCCTTCCCACAGGTCCACCAAATATGATAATACGTGCCTATGTTATGTTTACACTTAAAAGTACTCCTGTTGCTTTGCCCCCAGACCCCTCTAATGGAACCGGCGCTTTTGAGTCCCAACCCTTACCACCGCAAGGCCGGGCTCATGTGCTTGGCAGTGCTGGCTGAAGGCTGCGGGGATCACATCCGCAACAAGTATGTATTCTCCCTCCCCCCCCCCGGGTGGTGGTGCGGTTGGGATCAAGCCCTGTTCCGTTCACAAGTAGTCCTCGACATAATGACCATGGAAGGGAGGTGACGGTGGTAAATCGGGCAACACCTTTGACCGACCCGATTTTACAACGTACATTTTTGGTTTTGTTTTGCGGAAGTCGTGTGAGCGAACGTGGCGGTGGATAAGAGACTCACTCCCATGATTAGTCGTGGGGCGGTTTTTGCTGGGAACTAGAAGAAATAATAATGATGATGATGATAATAATAATAAAGGAATAGAATAGAATATAAAACAGAATAGAATAATAAAATACAGAATAGAATAGAATAGAAATAAGGGATAGGATAGGATAGGATAGAAATAAAGAATAATAGATAACAACAGAATGATCTGGAATAGAATAGAATAGAATTATGGGATAGAATAGAATTACCAAATAGAATAGAATAGAATATAGGATAGAAAATAGAATAGAATAGAATAGAATATAGAATAGACTAGAACAGAAATAACTAATAGAATAGAATATAGAATAGAACAGAACAGAATAATAAAATTAGAATAGAATAACAGTTGGAAGGGACCTTGAAGGTCCTCTAGTCCAACCCCCTGCTCAGGCAGGAAACCCTATATACCAGGGGTAGGCAATCTTGACTCTTTTATGACTTGTGGACCTCAGCTTGGAAACCTCTCCCTTTCCCCTCAGCATGGCTGGCTCAGGAATTCTGGGAGTTGAAGTCCACCAGTCATAAAAGAGCCAAGGTGGCCTACCCCTGCCCTAGACCATTTCAGTAAAATGCCAAATCATCAATTGTGGTTAAGTGACCGCGCGACACAGCAAGCGGCCCTAAATGTGGGCTGGCTGCCAAGCACCCAGATGGGGGTGATGTGACTGCAGTGGGGCAGCTACCGGAACTTCAAACGGGATAGTTAGTCCATTTTCAGAGGTCTGTTGTAATTTTCAACGGTCCCTAAGTGACCTGTTGTAAGTCAAGCACTTCCTGAGCAGGAATAATTATAACCAATAGAGAGCGACCTCTAGAGCAGGGCTGTTCAACCGTGGCAACTTTAAGCATTGTGGACTTCAACTCCCAGAAGTCTTCAGCCAGCCAGCTAGGAACGTCAAGGGGATGTCATTGGGATCAATCTAGGGACAGCTCGGAGATCTCTTGAGACGAGTCCTGTGTTCGTGTCCTCCCGTCCACAGGCACCTTCAGCCCATGTTGCAGGTGGTGTGTCGAGCATTGGCAGACGACAGCCAGGTGGTACGCAACGCTGCGCTCTTCGCCTTGGGCCAGTTCTCTGAGAATCTGCAGGTGAGCCGTGCCGAAAGGCGAGAGCAATTTATAATATTAATAATTAGGTTACTATTAATCCATCCACTGGAAGGGACCTGGGAGGTCTTCTAGTCCAGCCCCCTGCTCAAGCAGAAGACAAATGACTGTCCAATCTCTTCTTGAAAACTTCCAGTGATGGAGCACCCACAACCTCTGGTGGCAAGCAGTTCCACTGGTTAATTGTGCTCCCTGTTAGGAAATTTCTCCTTAATTCCAGCTTGCTTCTCTCCTGGATTAGTTTCCATCCGTTGTTTTTTGTCCTGCCCTCTGGTGTTTTGGAGAATAGCTTGACTCCCTCTTCTTTGGGGCAGCCCCTCAGATACTGGAAAAGTGCTATCTCTAGACCAGCCATTCCCAAATCCTGCAAACGTCCTTCCCGTGTTTTAGTCTCCAGGCCTTTAAATCATCTTAGTTGCTCTTCTTTGCACTTTTTCCAAAGTCTCAACATCTTTTTTGTGTGATGTGGTGACCCCAAACGGCGCAGGATTCCAGGTGTGGCCTCACGAAAGGCTTTATAAAGCGGTACTAACACTTCACATGATTTTGATTCTACGAAAACAGTGACTCCCCAGTCCTCGCGCTTATGACCGTTGCAGCATCTTCGTAGTGACACGATCAGCATTCGGACGAGCCGCTTCCCGAGTGCCCAGATTGGGATTAAGTGACTGTGGGAAATGTCGCGACGGTCCTAAAGTGAGGACCGTTCACCAGACACCTGCAATTTCAAACGGTCATTAAACAGAGGGCTGTTTACCAAGGATCCTGAGTCGGCCGTGTACATCAGCAGCCAAAAAAGCTAATACAATCCTGGGTTGTATAAACAGAGGTATAGAATCAAGATCACGCAAGGTGTAAAACCCTAGTGAGGCCACCCCTGGAATACTGCAGCCAATTTTGGTCACCATATCCCAAAAAAAGATGTTGGGAGTCTAGAAAAAGTTCAGAGAAGAGCAACTAAGAGGATCCAAGGCCTGGAGACCAAAACATACGAAGAATGGCTGCGGGACTTGGGTTTGGCTAGTCTAAAGAAAAGAAGAAATAGGGGAGACATGATAGCAGTGTTCCAGTATTTTGGGGGGCTGCCACAAAGAAGAGGGGGTCACATTATTCACCAAAGCACCAGAGGGCAGGACAAGAAACAATGGTTGGAAACAGACCAAAGAGAGAAGCAACCTAGAATTAAGGAGAAACTTCCTGACAGCAAGGACAATTAATCAGTGGAACTGCTTGCCACCAGAAACTGTGGATGCTCCATCCCTGGTTTTCCTGCTTGAGCGCAGGGCTGGACTAGAAGACCTCCAAGGTCCCTTCCAACTCTATTCTAGTGACTACTTGCGCTCTCAAACCCAAGCGTTAGTTTTTATCAAGTTGCTGAATTTTGTCTTAATGTTATTTTATTTTTTTAACTCTTCCCTAACTGTAGCCGGACATTGCTCGTTTTTCGGACGACATCATGCCCCTCCTACTGCATTACCTGGAGGGGGTCCAGCTGGCCAACACCACCCACCTGGCGAAGGCTTACTACGCTCTGGAGAACTTTGTGGAGAATCTGGGTAGGACCCCCCACAAACCTTATTTACAAACACAGCCAGTCCTCGACTTACAACAGTTCATTTAGTGACCGTCCCGATTTACGACTTAAGTGGCCCGTGACTGGTTTTCACGCACAATGACCGTCGTAGCATCTCCCACAGTCCTGTGATCAAAATTAAGATGCCTGGCCACCGACTCATCTTTACGACGGTGGCCGCATCCCCTTTTACGACCTTCTGACGAGCAAACTCAATTCATTTAACGACAGCTTGACTAATTTGATAGCTGCTGTGATTCACGTAAGGGCAAGAAAGGTCGCAAAATGGGGGCAAACCGACTTAAATCTTGCGCTTAGCGGCAGTGGTCATAAATTGAGGACTGCCCGTGGAGCCATTTCACGACCGTAATTGAGCCTGGGATTGACGGTCGTTAAGCGGGTCCTCTCACCTGGACAGCCCAATTTTGAGTTAACAACTTTATTATTATTATTATTAGTTGATCAAAATATTAGTTGAGCAAAACGTAAGAAAGAGAAATAAAAGAGGATGGAAAGATAAGGAAAAGGAGAAGATTCAAGAGGAGAAAGAGAAAAGAAAGAAAGAAAGAGAGAGAAGAGAAGAGAGAGAGAGAGAGAAAGAAAGAAAGAAAGAAAGAAAGAAAGAAAGAAAGAAAGAAAGAAAGAAAGAAAGAAAGAGAAAAAAGGCATTGACTTCTGATTACTTTTTGGTCCAGTAGAATCAAATCTCAACTTTTTACTTTTATAGAATAAAATATACTAGCCCAGGGCTAGGCAATCTGGGCTCTTTTATGACTGGTGGACTTCAACTCCCAGAATTCCTGAGCCAGCCATGCTGAGGGGAAAGGGAGAGGTTTCCAAGCTGAGCCAGGCTGGCTCAGGAATTCTGGGAGTTGAAGTCCACGAGTCACAAAAGAGCCAAAGTTGCCTAGCATGAAACCTACCTCAAAACCCAAAATCCAAGTTTCGTTTTGTTTTTCCACCACAAGCATTAATTGTGTCCTTTTCTTTAATCCAAGCGGTTAATTCCAACTCTCTCAGTTTTTGCAGCCATTCGTCCGTTGTGGGAATCCATTTTGGGGCCTAAAATAGCCTTTTTTTTTTCTGTCAGCATGTGGAACATCGAGTGACTGACCTGGTTTTATGACATATTTTTTTTTGCAGTGGTCACTAAGAGAATAGTTGTAACTTGAGGATTGCCTGTAATGGGTTCACAAGAGGCCCTAAAGCTGTGTTTCTCCACTTCAGGCAACTTGGAAGAAGAATGGACTTCAACTCCCAGAATTCCCTAGCCAGCATAGCTGGCTGGGGAATTCTGGGAGATGAAGTCCACCCCTCTCAAAATGGTCGAGGTCTGAATGGTTAACAATTAACCATTTCTCTCTCCTCCCAACAGAAGATAAGATTGCACCCTACTTGCCAGCATTGATGGAGAGGATGCTCAGCACCTTGACCTCTCCTGGGACTCCGCGCACCAAGGAGCTGGCCGTTAGCGCCATCGGAGCCATTGGTAGGCTGATCTGCACACACACACAAAACACACACACAAACACACACAAACCCTGAGTGTGGAACTGGCCCACAATTACTCAGCCACCTTTCACACCTAAGGCGGGACTAGAACTCCCAGTCTCCTGGTCATTGGCCCAAGGTCACCCAATCGCCTTTCACGCCTAAGGCGGGACTAGAACTCCCAGTGTCCTGGTCGTTAGCCCAAGATCACCCAATCGCTTTTCATGGCTAAGGCGGGACTAGAACTCCCAGTGTCCTGGTTGTTGGCCCAAGGTCACCCAATCGCCTTTCACACCTAAGGCGGGACTAGAACTCCCAGTCTCCTGGTCGTTGGCTCAAGGTCACCCAATCGCCGTTCACACCTAAGGCAGGACTAGAACTCCCAGTGTCCTGGTCGTTGGCCCAAGGTCACCCAATCGTCTTTCATGCCTAAGGCGGGACCAACTCCCAGTCTCCTGGTCATTGGCCCAAGATTATCCAATTGCGTTCAAGCCTAAGGCAGGACTAGAACTCCCAGAGTCCTGGTCATTGGCCCATGGTCCAAGGACTGGAACTCCCAGTCTCCTCATGATTGGTCCAAAGTCACCCAAACGTCTTTCGTGCCTAAGGCAGGACTAGAACTCATCGTCTCCTGGTGATTGGACCAAAGTCATCCACCCAGCTTTCCTGCCTAAGGTGGAACTAGAACTCGCCATCTCCTGGTCATTGGCCTAAGGTCACCCAGCCGCCTTTCGCACCTAAGGTGGGACTGGAACTCCCGGTCTCATGATTGGCCCAAAGTCACCCGGGCAGCTTTCCTCCCTCAGGCGGGACTAGAACTCACCATCTCCCAGTTTCTAGCCTGGTGCCTCCCTCACCGGGCCAAACCGGCTCACAGATCTGGCTGCGGCAAGGCCGAAAGCACGAACCGGATCCTTAGAGCATTTCTGGTGGTGCCCGGTCCCTGCTGATCCTCATCCCTTGTGACCTCCAGCCCAGGCTGCCAAGGAATCTCTTCTCCCGTATTTCCAAGCCATCATGGAGCACCTCACGAGTTACATGCTGACCACCCGCGAAGACCTCCGGCCCGTCCAGATTCAGTCGATTGGTAAGGAAAAACCGTCAGCAACCTGGCAGCCATTGTTGAAATGGGAATGGAATGGAACAATAGACTAGACTAGACTAGACTAGACTAGAATAGAATAGAATAGAATAGAATAGAATAGAATAGAATAGAATAATAACGGAATGATCTGGAATAGAATAGAATTATGGGATAGAATAGAATAGAATTACAAAATAGAATAGAATTATGGGATAGAATATAGAATATAGAATTCCCCAGATAGAATAGAATAGAAATAAGAATAGAATAGAATAATAAAATATAGAATAGAATAGAATAGAATAGAATAGGAATATAGAATAGAAAATAGAATAGAATAGAATAATAACGGATGAGCTGGAATAGAATAGAATTATGGCATAGAATATAGAATAGAATAGAATTACAAAATAGAATATAGAATTAGAATAGAATAGAATAGAATAATAACGGAATGATCTGTAATAGAATAGAATAGAATTAGGGGATAGAATAGAATTGTGGGATAGAATAGAATTATGGGATAGAATATAGAATAAAATAGAATTACAGAAGAGAATAAAATTAAATAGACTAGAATAGGATAAAGAATAGAATAATAACGGAATGATCTGGAATAGAATAGAATAAAATTATGGGATAGAATAGAATTACAGAATAGATTAGAATTATGGGATAAATGTAGAATAGAATAGAATAATAACGAATGATCTGGAATAGAATAGCATTATAGGATAGAATAGAATAGAATTACAAAATAGAATAGGAATAGGAGCTGGAAGGGACCTTGGAGGTCTTCTAGTCCAGCCCCCTGCTCAAGCAGGAGGACCTATACCATCTCAGACAAGTGACTGTTCGGCCTCTTCTTAAAAATCTCCAGTGATCGAGCGCCCACGATTTCTGGAGGCAAGCTGTTCCACTGGCTATCCAGCCTTTTGGCCTAGGACAGAGGTCCCCAAGCTTTTGACTGGGGAATGCTGGGCGTTGAAGTCCACATATCTCAAAATGGCCAACGTTGAGAGAAATTCTGATTTATGCCTCTCTTCCCTGTTCCCTTTGCAGAGACAATGGCTATCCTGGCCAACGTCCTGGATAAAGACATCTTCCAGCCGCTTTCCGAGAAGTGCTGCCAGCTTGGTCTGGACCTCTGCGACAGAGTGGACGACCCAGACTTGCGACGATGCACGTAAGTCTGCTAGGGCCTCTCCCATCACCTGGTGGTGACTTTTCCCTCTCATCTTGACTAACCTTGTTTCATTTTAAACAAGTTAGACTCCAATCTACCACATGGGGTAAACCCCAAGATTAATTAGCTAAATAACTAATAAATAAATATTTTACAATATAGATATAGATATAGATACAGATATAGATATAGATATAAATTTATATCATTTAAATTCATATAAATATAAAATTATATAAATATATCAATTGATATAAATTATAAATTGATCAACAGATTATAAATTGGTATATTATAAATTATATAAAATAGATTCATATACATATAAATTATATAAATATACATTTATGCAAATTATCAATGTATAAATATAAATTTATGTAATGTAAATTTATGTGAATACAAAGTTATATAAATATATCAATTGGTATGTTATAAATTGATCAATTATAAAGTGATATAATTTAAATGCATGTAAATGTAAAATATAAATATATAAATTGATATGTTCTAAATTGATAAATTATAAATTGGTAAATTATAAATTATATAAAATAAATTCATATAAATATAAAATTATATAAATATATATTTATGCAAATTATCAATGTCTAAATATAAATTTATGTAATGTAAATTTATGTAAATATAAAGTTATATAAATATATCAATTGATATAAATTATAAATTGATCAATAAATTATAAACTGATCTAGTTTAAATGCATGTAAATGTAAAATATAAATATATATATAAATATAAATTCAGGCATGCCTGCTGAGGAATTCTGGGAGTTGAAGTCCACAAGTCATAAAAGAGCCAAGCTTGAAGACCCCTGTTGTAGATAGCGTACGCTAAACCACCATTTAATACAAACCACTGTGTTTACTCCTGGATTATCTCCGTGCAATAAGACTTGGCACGCTCTCATATCCTCGGCTTACAACCCCAATGGACCCCAGAATTTCCGTCGCTAAGTGAGACATCCCTTACGTGAATTTTGCCCCCTTACGTGCCATGGTCATTAAATTAATCACTGCAGCGGTTCAGTTAGCCGTCGTTAAGTGAATCCGGCTTCCCCCATTGACTCTGCTTGTCAAAAGGTCGCAAAAGGGGATCAAAGGACGCACACACACACACATACACGGGACGCTGCAACTGTCATAAATAGGAGTCGGTTTGCCAAGCGTCCGAATTTTGATCACGGAGAAGGCCGCAACGGTTGTGTCAAATACGGCCACGTCATTTTTTTTCCCAGTGCTGTTGTAACTTTGAACGGTCGCTGAATGAACTGTCGTAAGTCGAGGACTAGCTATAAAGTTAAATTTTAATTTTTGGGGGGTTGCCAACTCCCCAAAAAACAAGGATTATTTTTAACCCCCAATTCTCTCCAGGTACAGCCTTTTCGGATCTCTGGCGAACGTCATGGGGGATTCGATCAGCCCGTACCTGCCTCGCATCACCACTCTTCTGATTTATTCCCTCAAATCCACCGAGGGCATCAAGGTGAGAAGGCCACACACACACAAACACACACACACACACACACACACACACACACACACACACACCACGTCGTGCTGGCTGGTCAATTCTGGGAGTTGAAGTCCAAGCAGACTTCAAAGGGCTGCGTTTAGACGCTCGGATGGCACATGAGGTGCAGGGAGCTGTCTCTGGAGCACTGATGGTGTTACCTAGTTGGGTCACGAGACGTCCGCAAGAAAGAAAACCAGCTGAGGGAGCAGCAGGGACCCCACAGTCCTCCTCCTCCTCCTCTCCCTTCTTCCACTCTGCAAACCCCCTCCCTTCTAGCACTGATGATGTTCCCTAGTTGGGCCATGAAACACCTACACAAAAACCAGCCATCTCAGAGACTCCACCATCCTCCTCCACTCTGAAAACCCTACTCCCCCGTAGAAGTGATATTGTTACCTAGTTGGGTCATGAAATGTCTGCAAGAAAACAACCAAGCTCTGCAAGCACCAAGGACCCCACAGCCGCCTCCCCTCCTCCTCCTCCTTCCACACTCCCTTCTAGCACTGATGACGTTCCCTAGTTGGGTCATGAAATGTCTGCAAGAAAACCACCACGCTGAGAGACCACCCAGGACCCCACGGTCCAAAACTGGTCTACACACCTTCTCTTCTATCCATTCTTCTCATCCCGCTTGTGAGTTGCCCGGAGGGCCCTTTGCTGAATTTGCTAAATAAAAACACAAGCTTCTTTTTTGAGGGGGGGGGGTTGTTTTTTTAAACCGGATCTTAAATCTCGGGAGTCGATTTAAGGCCCGAGAAAGATCTCAGACCCGGGTTCGATTCCTGAGCCCATCCGGGAGGGTAGTGGTTTCCGCGGGCTGTTTTTTTGTCGATTCCGAATTTGAAGTGACCGGGCTGCTGCTGCTGCTGCTGTGGTGACATTTTTACGAATACGGGTGGATCGTCACTAACCGAAGCCGCTCTTTCCTTTCTCCTAGCCCCCCCTGGATTCCGGGAATTCCTTCCTTCTTTTTGAAGACGAGGAAGAGGAGGCCGAGGTGGAAGGAGAGGAAACGCTTACAGACGAGGAAGAGGAAGAAGATTCGGACCCCCTGGGGTAGCTTTCTCATCCGGGGGTGTGTGTGTGAGGGTTTATGAGGGGAGGCGGTCCCAAATTCAAATTCGGCCGTTGTTTCGTGGGACGGGACATGAGTGCGAGTTTTGCTCCCCTCCTTCCCGGTTTCTGAGCTCGTACAGGTAGTCCTCAATTTACAACTGTTCCGTTAGTGACCGTACAAAGTTACCACAGCATCGAGGAAAGCAACTCAACGACCGTTTTTCCGCACTTATGACATCATGTGATCAAAATTCAAGACGCTTGGCGAAGTGGTTCATATTTATGACGGTTGTGGTGATGTTCCGCTTTCCCGACCGTCGGACAGGCAAAGTCAATGGGGGAAGACAGGGTCCCTCAACCGCCGGGTGACTAAGTTAACCCCTGCGGTGATTCACTTAACAACTTGGGCGGGAAAGGTCGTAAAACGGGGCAACCCTCACTTAACAACGGTCTTGCTTAGCGACGGGACGTTGGGCCCGATTGTGGTTGTACGTCGAGGGCTACCTGCGGCTGAGGGCTGTCTTCCTGTTTTCGGAAAAGGTCCTCAGCCTTCCTGTGGACTAGAAACGTGACAAGCTTTCACTTGAGGCCCGGTACTCACTCGTGGCCTTCAGCTTTTCTTCTGCCCTTCCCCAGGATGTGCGTGCGAAGCGCCTTCATGGATGAGAAGGAGGACGCCTGCATAGCTCTGGGAGAAATTGCCGCCAGTGTGAGGTAAGTGGGACCGCTGTGAGTTTTCCTAAATTCTATGCCTGCGTTTATTTCTTAGATTTATTTTTTTTAATCCCGCCTTTATTACTTTATAATTAAATCAAGGCAGCGAACAGGTATTACGCGCCTTTCTCCTCCTGGTTTTCCCCAAAACAACAGCCCGGTGAGGCGGGCTGGGCTGAGAGAGAGAGAGATTGGCCCAAAGTCAGCCAGCTGGGCTTTGTGCCTCAGGCGGGACTAGAACTCACCGTCTCCTGGTGATTGGCTCAAAGACACCCAGCTGGGCTTTGTGCCTCAGGCGGGACTAGAACTCACCGTCTCCTGGTGATTGGCTCAAAGTTACCCAGCTGGGCTTTGTGCCTCAGGCGGGACTAGAACTCACCGTCTCCTGGTGATTGGCCCAAAGTCACCCAGCTGGGCTTTGTGCCTCAGGCGGGACTAGAACTCACCGCCTCATGATGATTGGTCCAAAGTCACCCACCAGCTTTCATGCCTTAGGCCAGGGGTTGGCAACCTTGGCTCTTTTTTGACTCGTGGACTTCAACTCCCAGAATTCCTGAGGCAGCATGGCTCAGCATGGAAACCTCTCCCTTTCCCCTCAGCGTGGCTGGCTCAGGAATTCTGGGAGTTGAAGTCCACGAGTCATAAAAGAGCCAAGGTGGCCTACCCCTGCCTTAGGCGAAACTAGAACTCACCGTCTCCTGGTGATTGGCTCAAAGTCACCCAACGGACCTTCAGGCCTCCTGTGGGACTAGAACTCCCAGTCTCCTGGTGACTGGCCCAGTCACCCATCTGGGTTTCATGCCTAAGGTGGGACTAGAACTCACCGTCTCCTGGTTTCCAAACCGTCACCTTCACCCATACACCAAAGTGCCTCTCCTTCTTGGGGGCCATTTGGACCCCTTGAAAGTGGGGAAGGGGCAAATTTGGGCTGGGAGGGAGGGGGGGGGCTGAAGACAGCCTGCCAACTTTGCAGAGGGCTGCAGGGGGACATTTTTTGATGACGTTAAGCACCCCTTTTCCTGTTCTAACCCCCAGAAAATTGGGTGGTAGAGGGTGGATACGGTAAAGGGGAAAAGCTGCATTTCTAGGGAGAACAGCCGACCGCAGGCTTGGAAAAGAGCTGATTTGCTCCAGAAATTCTTCATTTTTCCTTCCTTTTTTCCTTCCTTCCTTCCTTCCTCCTTCCTTCACCTTCCTTCCTTCCTCTACCTTCCTTCCCCTCCCTCCCTCCCTCTACTTTCCTTCCTTCCTTCCTTCCTCTACCTTCCTTCCCCTCCCTCCCTCCCTCTACTTTCCTTCCTTCCTTCCTTCCTTCCTTTTCCTTCCTTCCTTTCTTTCTTCCTTCTTTCCTTCCTTCTTCTACCTTCCTTCCCCTCCCTCCCTCCTCTACTTTTCTTCCTTCCTTCCTTTTCCTTTCTTTCTTTCTTTCTTTCTTTCTTTCTTTCTTTCTTTCTTTCTTTCTTTCTTTCTTTCTTCCTTCCTCTACCTTCCTTTCCCTCCCTCCTCTACTTTTCTTCCTTCTTTTTCCTTCCTTCCTTTCTTTCTTTCTTCCTTCCTTCCTTCCTTCCTTCCTTCACCTTCCTTCCTTCCTCTACCTTCCTTCCCCTCCCTCCTCTACTTTTCTTCCTTCTTTTTCCTTCCTTCCTTTCTTTCTTCCTTCCTTCCTTCCTTCCTTCCTTCACCTTCCTTCCTTCCTCTACCTTCCTTCCCCTCCCTCCCTCCCTCCTCTACCTTCCTTCCTTCCTTCCTTCCTTCCTTTTCCTTCCTTCCTTTCTTTCTTCCTTCTTTCCTTCCTTCTTCTACCTTCCTTCCCCTCCCTCCCTCCTCTACTTTTCTTCCTTCCTTCCTTTTCCTTTCTTTCTTTCTTTCTTTCTTTCTTCCTTCCTTCCTCTACCTTCCTTCCCCTCCCTCCCTCCTCTACTTTCCTTCCTTCCTTCCTTTTCCTTCCTTTCTTTCTTCCTTCCTCTACCTTCCTTCCCCTCCCTCCCTCCCTCCCTCCCTCCTCTACTTTTCTTCCTTCCTTCTTTTTCCTTCCTTCCTTTCTTTCTTCCTTCCTTCCTTTCTTCCTTCCTTCACCTTCCTTCCTTCCTCTTCCTTCCTTCCCCTCCCTCCCTCCCTCCTCTACTTTCCTTCCTCTACCTTCCTTCCTTTCTCTTTTTCTCTTTCTCAGTATGCCCTTCCTGCCTTACATCGAGACCTCATTCCAGGAAGTGTCCCAGTTACTGCCGGTAAGACTGGACCGACACTGGTGTGTGTGTGTGTGTGTGTGTGTGTGTGTGTGTGTGTGTGTGTAAGTGAGAGAGAGAGAGAAAGAGAGATGGCTTTGGGGTGGGAGGGGTCCTTGGGAAGACGATCCCTGAAGAAAACCTAAATGAGTACAAGCCACCTCAAAGTCTTTCTCCGCTTAGGGACTTTCCAGGTAGTCCTCAACGTACGACTGGCCACTTAGTGACCATTCAGAATTACAATGGACCCGAAAAAAAAGGGAAGCTTCGGGTCTGGATTCGCCCCACCCCCCACCCCTTCCCCCAGTCATGTAAACAAAAGTTTGGGCACTTGACAACATGGCCGCGTTTAAAAAAACCGGCCCTGACTTCCTTTTCTTGCCTAAAGCTGCACCCACCGCAAACGCTCGATTCGTTTAACGACCGCTGGGTTTGCTGTTTATGACTGCTGCAAAAAACATTGTCATTGTCATTGAAGATGCTGAGACTCTAGGAAAAAGTGCAGAGAAGAGCAACAAAGATGATGAGGGGACTGGAGGCTAAAACATATAAGGAACGGTTGCTAGAATTGGGTATGTCTAGTTTAACGAAGAGAAGGACGAGGGGGGGGACAGGATAGCAGCATTCCAATATCTGAGAGGCTGCCCCAAAGAAGAGGGAGCCAAGCTATTCTCCAAAGCACCTGAAGGCAGGACAAGAAGCAACGGATGGAAACTAACCAAGGAGAGAAGCAACCTGGAACTAAGGAGAAACTTCCTAGAAGTGAGAACAATTAACCAGTGGAACAGCTTGCCACTAGAAGCTGTGAATGCTCCAACACTCAAAGAGACTGGACAGGCATTTGTCGGAAATGGTATAGGCAGTTATGGACTTCAGCTGGTTTACATTGGTTTGGTAGAACCAGTAGCCAAATTTTATTGAGTTCGGAGACCCGGCTAAACCCATTCTGCTTCTGGAAGTCCGTTGGAGGAGACCTCCTCCAGGCCTAGAACGGTTCACAGGAAGTGTGTGGATGTCACTTCCGGAAGTCTCTTCTAGGCCTCAGAGGCCTGGAGGAGGCCTCCCAGGCCTAGAACGTCCCACAGGAAGTGCTTGGATGTCACTTCCGGAAGTCTATTCTAGGCCTCAGAGGCCTGGAGGAGGCTTCCCAGGCCTAGAACGTCCCACAGGAAGTGCTTGGATGTCACTTCCGGAAGTCCGTTCTAGGCCTCAGAGGCCTGGAGGAGGCCTCCCAGGCCTAGAATGTCCCACAGGAAGTGCTTGGATGTCACTTCCAGAAGTCCATTCTAGGCCTTGGCGGCCCAGGCCTGCATCCACGCAGAAAACCAGATGTTCAGGTATTTGAATCCCACCACTAGGTATAGGGTTTCCTGCCTCAGCAGGGGGTTGGACTGGATGACCTCCAAGGTCCCTTCCAACTTTATTATTATTATTAAATCAGGTCAGCCGTGCGAACAGCCCACGTTATGACCGCTATTGTCCTAAGACCATAATAGATAGGCTCCTTTCTGGCCGTACGTCAAGGACTACCTACCCCAGTCCAGAAGGCGAGCCGTGCCCGTCCCCTTTTACGACTGTGATGACATAACGACCGGAAATGGACAGGCTCTGTTCATATATCTGTATATTTTTACTGTCATTTTTTGGGGAGGGGGCTGCAGAAACTTTGGGGAGGGGGGGCTCCGGACCCAGTTGAACCAGGGTTTTGATCTCCTCTGCCAGCTTCTGAAGCTCCACATTTGTACTCTGATCTGTCTTGGGCTAAAGTTGGGATCACCGTGCCCGGTGCAAAGGTGGAGGGGGGGAATTTGGGGAGGGGGGTTTCTTCTGATCTCTCTAATGTGGGGGGGGGTGGTCTTGTCCTTTTCTAGTGTCCCCACATCCGGGTGCGGAAAGCGGCGTTCGAAGCCCTGGGCCAGTTCATCGTTTCGCTGCACCGGGTGTGCCAGCAGGAGCCCTCCGAGACTCACGCGGCGGGTGAGCGGGGTGCCGGGATTGGGGAGGGGGTGGCGTTGAAAGGGGGCACACACACACACACACACACACACACACACACACACACACACACACACGGGTCCTGGGAGGAAAAAGACAAAGGCATTTTGCTATCCGGAAGGGCCTCGCTAGACTCTGGATTGAGGCAGCCTGGGAAGGAAGTCACGGGGGTCTCCCTTTGTTTTGGGGGTCCCAAGGGGAGGGGTCTGAAGGGGGGGGTTCCTGGGAACCAGGGCCGGAAAGAGCTCTACCTGCTCTGGTTGGTGTGAGCTACTTATAGAGGCGCCTGTTGTTCCCACTGGAAGACAGGTCTGTGGTCCAAGCAAGTAAGGTTATTTGCATTCCTTTTCTCTCCTTCCTTCCTTCCTTCCTTCCTTCCTTCCTTCCTTCCTTCCTTCCTTCCTTCCTTCTCACCTCTCTTCCTTCTCTTCCCTTCCCTCCTTCCTTCACTCCCTCCCTCCTTCTCATTCCCACCTCCCTCCTTCCTTCTTTCCTTCCGCCTTCCCTCTCTTCCTCCTTTCTTACCCTCCCTCTCTCCTTCCTTCCCTCCATCCATCCCTCCCTCCCTCCCCCTTTCTTTTCCTCCCTCCCTCCCCTCTCATCTCTCCTTCTTCTCTCCCCTTCCTTCCTCCCTCTCTTCTCTTCTATCCTTCCCTCCCTTTCTTCCTTCTCATTCCCACCTCCCTCCTTCCTTCTTTCTTTCCCTCTTTCCTTCCACCTTCCCTCTCTTCCTCTTTTCTCATTCCCTCCCTCTCCTTCCTTCCTTCCTTCCCTCCCTCCCCTTCCTTTTTCCTCCCTCCCTCCGTCTCACCTCTCCTCCTTCTCTCCCCTTCCTTCCTCCCTCCTTCCCTCCCTCCTTCCCTTCCTCCCTCCCTCTCTTTTCTCTTCCATCCTTCCTTCCCTCCCTTTCTTTCTTCCTTCCCTCCATCCCTCCCTCCTTCTCATTCCCATTTCCCTCCTTCCTTCTTTCCTTCCACCTTTCCTCTCTTCCTTCTTTCTCATTCCCTCCCTCCCTCTTCTTTTCCTCCCTCCTTTCCCTCTCTCCTTCTCTTTTTTCCTTCCTTCCTCTCTTCCATTCTTCCCTCCCTTTCTTCCTTCTCATTCCCACCTCCCTCCTTCCTTCTTTCTCTCTCTTTCCTTCCATGTTCCCTCTCTTCCTCTTTTCTCATTCCCTCTCCTTCCTTCCTTCCCTCCCTCACCTCTCCTCCTTCTCTCCCCTTCCTTCCTCCCTTTCCTTTCTTCCATCCCTCCTTCCCTTCCTCCCCTCTCTCTTCTCTTCCATCCTTCCTTCCCTCCCTCCCTTTCTCCCTTGTCATTCCCACCTCCCTCCCTTTCTTCTCTATCCTTCCTTCCTTCCTTTCCTCCCTCTCTCCTCTCTTCCTTCTCTCTTCTCCCTCCGTTTCCTCCCTCCCTCTCTTCTCTTCTCCCTCCTTCCCCTCCTTCCTTCCTCCCTCCCTCCCTCTCTTCCTCCTCTCTTCTCCCTCCTTCCCTCCCTCCCTGTTGCCT